AATGTGAAACAGAGTGTAGTGGATTGCGTGCAGGCCTACCCTCTTTCACACTTGAAGAGGTGCAATGTTTTCAGGTGGCTGTAGGTAAACCTGGTATATGGAGAGGTTTATACGTTTCCCATCACACACAAAAGTAGTTCTTTTTTTTTCTCTTTTACTCGACTGCCAAATTAGCAGGAACAAAGAAAATTGGACATTATTTGTCGAGAAGAAGGAAGGTCGGTCTGGCAGCGCATGGTGACACTTTGTCACGCTCTATGTGAGAAATTTGACTAGTGCGGGTACAACCGATAGCCCAAAGTCTTTAAAATGATTCATATAGCAGTAATGCACGCCCATGTGTAGGTGCAGTGCTCATCCAGGTCAAAACGGGCAGGGGCGATCAGTGCAAGTTTTCGCTCCACACACTGCGAGCTGCAGTGGGCTAACACACTCTGCCACCAGGCCCCTCCACATCAGCACGTCCTGTCGAAGCAACGTGCAATTATTACTACTGCTGCTGATGGGGGCACGCACACGTAAGGAAGGAAAATAACAGCCAGGAATTCTGGTAAGGGGAGGATGCCATACGTCATGGAACACAGGAACAGGCTTGGCTTGAATCCTTTTTGCTTCAGGATCACTATCACTACTCCAAGCTCACCACAGACTTTGCATTCATGGGAGCTTTCTCCAGCAACCGTTTCTTTTTATGAGACACTGCACCGCTTGCAGTGGCAGCTACTCTACGACACCTGCTCGCTGATTTACAGCTGCCCGGCCCGGTATGTGGAGTCACGATAACCTGTGGGTTGCACCTGTTGTGACTCTTCCTTGGCGGTTTCTTTAGCTTAGTTATTTTGCATGGCACCAAGGTTTAAGGTTCTCTAGGACTTCAGGGTCATGTGGTAACTGCATTTTCCAAAGTGTTTCTGACATTAAACAGCAAGCACCCTGGTTGTGCTTGTCACTATGCCACAGTCACCTGTGTGGTGCATGAAGCAGTGGTTTGAACCATTGAAGGGTGCACTGGTGTCTCTTAAGCTGTCCTGGGCACTCATCGGTAAGTAATATTTGTGCTGGTGATCCAATATTCAACGACAAACATTGCAGCAAGAAGTTACTTTTCAGTGTGCACACATTACTGTTGTACAGCCTAAAATATTTCAACGGTGAAGAATAGGAGAGTGACTTGCTTCAGGCTACTGGAACACGTTATTGTGTGGGCCTTTCTTTTATGGAGGGGAGGGGAGGCGAGAGCAGAAGAGTAGCAGAACCAGGCACAAATAAAAATTGAAAAAATCCGCAGCGGAAAAAAATAAATAAATAAAAGCAGTGTGAAGAGTTGCGTTGCTTACACGTCACAAACTCGTGTCAAAAACGCAGGCTATACTCTGTTTCACCTAGTGTTGTACCGCAGGAAAGGCTACAAGCGCGAGCTCCTTGCTCTAGAGCACAGCTCGACGGTACAAGTTCTCGTGCAACAAGGGCAGCTGCCAACGCTATGAGCTCGCGCTTCTGGCCTTCTCTGCGGTACAACATAAGGTGAAACTGAGTATAGACGGAGAACGACTCATTAATCCGAGACGGGGACACAAATAATAAAACGAAGAGACGCGCGTGTGGTTGCCCTTCACTTTTATTTTTTTATTTTCCCCTTGTTTTTCTTACTCCGCAAAGCCGACATAGTACGAGAAAACACGCAGAAGTAGGAGAGCAAAGAGGCTCCTCGGCGGGCTTTGCCGTCTCGCGCGGTTCTGGGGTATTCGTATTCGAGTTTGGATCATTGGTAAAATGTATGGGCTGCGCGGAACTGAGCGCTGCGTGACAACCATACGTGCGTTCATCGGTGGTTTTGTACGTCACCACCATCGGCAAAGTGGGCGACTGAGCACGTCTACCGGTGCAAGGCGAGCTTCGCGCGGATGATCACGGAGGATGATGATAAAAGCGGCCGACGCGATCGCGGGGTGAAACGGTCGACGGGACGATACGCATTCAACCGGAGTCTGGGTTGTTTAATGCACAAGCCCTAGCACGTCCACACACACACACGCACAAAGAAACATTACTTGTGAAACTGGAACGGAATTAACACAATACAATTTTCGCATAAAATGCACACAATCGCCGATGTCGTGTTCGCGTTGACAGCGCGGTTTGTCGGTCGTGGGAACAGCGCCGTCACTTTCGAATAGCCAACAAGATCCGACCCGACATGAAGAAGTCGAAAGCGCCATCCGCCGCCCTCGCGGCTCTCCGCCGTCACTCTTGCCGAAGTATTTTTCTCCTAGCCGAGCTAAACCATTTGGCGTAGTCAAGCCAAGACGCCTTGAAGTTTACTTTTCGGCCGCTAACAGCGCTTGACGAGGTCGCCCGAGGTCGTATCACTCCCACCCCACCTGTCCCCCCCAACCCTTCCACACATTCCCGAGACCCGTCCGTTCCCCCTTCCTCTCTACCATAATGACCCGTCCGTTCCCCCTTCCTCTCTACCATAATGACAGCACCCTTCTTAGCATACGGAGCGGACCACCCCACCCACCAAAAGCTCCCCACGTTATCGCTGCAATCAGCGTGAGACTCACTCCCTCTCCCCCTTATTAGGGAGGGTCCCCGTTTTGAAGGCGGATTCCGGGCCGGATTCCGAACTATACCCCCCAATTCTTGTAAATTTCTCCCGCTAACCAAAACAACACTATTTCAAAGCACGTAGCCAGGATTTTGTTTTGGGTGAGGAAGGGGGAGGGGGGGGTCCGCCAATGACAAAATGCTGTATGAGGGGGAGGGCGGAGAGGAGGCCCCAGCAAAATGGAAAATTTCGGAGGGGGGGGGGGGGGGGGGGGGGGGCTGGCTGGCTACGTGCCTGTTACAGGGTAACACGCTGGCAAAATTTGAAGACCTTAGCTTTTATAGATACGGAGAAAAAACATTTAATCCAGAGTGTTATTGCACAATGTGCCGTATTTGTGATTTTGTTTCTCGAAATAACGATCCTAATTAGGGATGCCGCGAACCTTTTTCGAACCCAAGGTTCGATGATCGAATAAAGCGGTTCGAAAGATTTCGAATATTCAAACTTTCCATATCGGGAAATTCGACGCAAGTCGAATTTTTGAACTTGTTAAACTAAGAAGTTCGACGATTTTCGGAATTTCGAGCTTATTACGCTGCAAAATTCGATGCTTGTCGAACTTTCGAACTTGATAAACTAAAAAATGCGATGATTTTCGAACTTCCTCCACTAAAAGTTCGGAGCTTTTCGAGCTTTCGAGCTTCCTACACTAACAAATTCGATAATTTTTGAACTTTCGACCTTATTGATCTAAAGAATTCGAAAATTGTCGAACTTTCGATTTCTGAAAAGTCAAAAGGTCGACGAACTTCGAAAGTCCGGCGGGCGGTTGTATTTGGATTCAAGCAGTAAGGTACATTCGCATTTTTCTTCTTTTTTTTTATCGCATTTTTACATGCGGTGCCGCGTTCCTTGCGAAAGACAGTGCCGTTTATTTCAATCCTCTGGCATGCTTGGTTCTAAAGAAATAGATTCCCGAAGGAGCGAGGAAGGACAACGGGTTTTTGACAATTATCGTTTGTGCCATATACGTTCCATTAGGGTCATAGCAGAGAGGGTAATAGAGAGAAGAAAATGCCCTCCCCCTTTCACCCGTATGTCGTCTGCTCCGCCGAGTGGGCAGTACCTAGCATCCGGCTGGCGTGCACTCTGTTTAAAATCGCGTCATTTTGGAAATTTCAAGCGCAGACGCGCAGATTTTGGTATGCCAGTTATCGTGTAATAATATGCTAGATAAGAAGACTAACAGCGTCCAATAGCGCTGTTACCTGCGTGCAAATAAAAAAAAAATAGGGAAAACTGTCAGACTGGCCGGTCTCTCCGGCGAAAAGTGAATCCGGTGGCTGTACCTTTTTACTATGCAAAGTTCGTACTGGTGTGGGCCTTTAGCGACCATGAGTGGATGTCTGAAATGATAAATAAAAACGTGCTCTCCTGCTGCAAAACCCGCAGTAGTTGAGGGTAGTACTGCCGGCTGACTCGACTGCTATTTAAGTAACGGAAAAAAGATATGTCAGTTGGTCATTTACCGAAGTAGAACAACTGAGAGCTGTAGGCTGACTTTGGAGTGGCCATAACTATTCTAAGAACGCGGACCACTTCACAACGGCAGCCACGAGCGAGAGTTCGATGTTCCGTACAGCCCGCCAATACAGCCCAAAGATGGAGAATGGCAACCTCCCGTTTTGTCGTCTGCTAGCGGAGTCGGGCGCGTGCCCTCTCTCTCGTTTTACGCTGCTGTCGAAGAAAATGGTGCCGCCCAGAGAGAGATGTTAAACTTTTTAAGAATGATCTATGTATAGCCTAGGTAAGTGACGTCTTAAGATATCATTATTGCTGTTCAAGACGAGTTTCGAAGAAATATCCAAACATGTATCTACGGGCAATTATGCCCTAAACTTGGTAATTTTCTTCGTCTAAATTGTTTGAGGTATCGCATTTAAATTAACACAACAGGCAGTACATATCATTACCATGTGCAGAATACATATTTATTGTTTTTTTTTTCACGTTGAGGAATAAATTAACTGACGGCGGAAAATTTCTAAAATTGTTCAAGTTCAGCACGTCATAACTTTTTTTTTTTTTTTTACGTTTTTGGGACGTGTTTTTTTTAGCCTGTACACATTTTGATAGGAGAAACTTGTTTCGTAGTTCTAATATTTGACGTGGGGTCTTCCTATATGATACTGAAGATGGCTACATAGTTTTCTAAATATCAAAAATGAAGCGGAGTTGTCCTTCAAGTCTGCATTGCCTCATGGTGGGAGCGGACACAGGGGACTATTATTTTACATTCTTTTATCGAGCCCCGACCTCAAATTATGCCTTCCCCTGGCCATTTCGAACTGGATGAGTTTAAACAGTGCGTTTGTGTGATCACTACTCTGTGAAGCATTTTGTTCCCAGTTGGGAACAAAATGAGCCGCACACCATATATGCAATCTCAAGAAGAGAAGGGATGCCATCTTTATTGGATGAAGCTGATGATAAGCAACTGTACACAAATCGTCCGTGGCGTCTCACAGGGGGTACGAGAGCATGACGTCCTGTCTTGCGAGCTCCAGCAACATGGGGTCATCGAAGAACTTGTTGATGCTGACATCCTCGCTCAGTCCCTGCAATGCAAAGATTGATTGATTGACTGAAAGTATTTTTCTTTTTGCAGGAATTTGTTTGAGAGGATCTATCAATTGCAAATTGACACCACACGCAACCAATCTTATTGCAGGAAATGTGCAGTAACAAAGGATAGCAGCAAACGAAATTAAAATCAGAAAAACCAAGATAGGGATCCAGAAATAAATTCCATAAAGATGCACCTCAACCAAAAACATACAGCATACATGAGAAAGCGAAGAAGCTTTTAAATGTGTTTAAAAAATGAATACATCTCACTCTACATAAGGTTTCAATGCCTTTTCGGATCAATTTTGGTGGTGGATAATAGCACCATCAAGGTGGTGTATGTACCACTGTTTAGAAAATCCTATGCAGGGCAACAATAGTTGGCAAAACTAAATTCTATTGTCACAATATCAATGAGTGGTTGATGCCAAAGACACCTGCCTTCCTCCTGCGAGTCTTTATCATGAATTCCCTGGCCAGGTGTGGGGCAGGCTGTGGCTCCAGAGGACGAATCACAATACTCTTGTCCAGGGGATCTCCAGGCACAATCTGCGAAACAAACATTGTGTTCTCTCCTTAATCCTTTCAATACATGTACACACAGAGAAGCACTTGAGGTGCCATTCTTCCTCTTGCCTGCGATTATGCAGCAAAGAACAGAAAGCAAGCCAAAAAACAGTCCTCGTAGGTATTTTTGTGAAATACTTGATTTAAAATATTTTTGTATGTAGGTAATAGAAGCCAGTAGGAAGAGTTAAAAAAAGAAAACTCTTGCTAAAAGACGGTAAGTGTGCAGGCAAGCTGGTGGTATTACAATCGTGTGGTGCAAAACCTAAAACTGAGGCAAGAAAAAAAGAAACTTCAGACACTTGCAAAGTTTCAGACTCTTGCAGAGTTTCAGACTCTTGCAGAGTTTCAGACTCTTGTAGAGTGTCAGGCTCTTGCAGAGTTCAGACTCTTGCAGAGTTTCAGACTCTTGCAGGGTTTCAGACCCTTGCAGAGTTTCAGACTCTTGCAAAGTTTCAGGCAGCTCGCATTTTGCTATACACAAAGCAAAAGCAATGTTTTCCCCAAAAGACTATGTCCCTCAGCAGAAATTAAATGTTGACTGTCAGACTGAGACTTCCAGGGCATATCCTTTTCGAATTCAGCACAGAGGAACCCCCTCAGAATGTGCACCAACCTGCCAGTGGTGGAACATGGACAGGCAGAAGGCTTGTCCCTGCGTGTGCGTCCGCAGATCCGTCTCAAAGCCAAAGGAGTCTATGGCTGGGATGAAAGCCTTGATGGTGTACAGCGGAGAGCCAGGAACAGGTGCGTCTTGGGTCACATGACCCCTGAGAAAAGTTTAGAGAACCATGAGTGTGCTTCTAGCGGCATGTGTCAGTGGCAAAAATTAACCACTGCCTACACAGAAAACTAGTATATCCCTGCGATTACCATAAAACACAGAGCGTGCACCCACATCATAATAAGCACCCACTCCCCCTTTTTAAACATTTCAAATGTAAGCATAGGACACATAGGGCACCTACCCCTATGAACTTCCGAGCCCAATGAGCTAAGGGAGATGATCCTTCTTGTCAGCTAAATCTCCAAAAAGCTGGGGCAAATCAGTGAAGCTTTAAGCATGCGCAGGTGTGAGGCGGTGAAGTTTAATGCGAGAGCACCGCGGTCGAAAAGAGCTTCATGAAAGTGGCACAACTGCTTTAAGATTAGAGGTACTGCCAAACCCCTTCACTGCTGTACCAATCCATCCAATCAAACAAGGGCCAAGCGTGAGCCTATTATACCACATGCACCTTCTGCTTTTCTGTTCTCGGATCTAACAAGCATCCATCCCCATTTTAGAGCGCAGCTCTTAGGGGCCCGTTTCCGGCTTGAGCGGCGTCGGCGTAACCAAGGTCATCTCAAGGTCACGGGACCCCCAAGGTCACGTGACCTCCAAGGTGACCCCCACGTGGCCCCCCGAAGGTCAGGTGACCCCTAAATCACGTGACCCCTCCAAGGTCACGTGACCCCGAGGTCACGTGGCCCCCTCCCCAAGGTCACCCCAAGGTCACGCGACCTGGAGGGGTCACGTGATCCCTCCAAGTCACGTGGCCCCTCCGGGCCACGTGACTCCCCGAGGTCACGTGACCCCTTCCAAGGTTACCTCAAGGTCACGTGACCCCTAAGGTGACCGCCACGTGACCCCCAAGGCCACCCCAGGTCACGTGACCCCCCGAGGTCACGTGACCCCTAGATCACGCCTCCCCGAGGTCGTGTGACCCCCCCCTCCCCAAAGTCACGTGACTCCCCCTTCCCGAGGTCACGTGACCCCCCGGAGCATATTAAAGAATGAGGGGAGGAGGAGGAGAAGGAGGAGGGGTCTACCCTCCCCTCAGTACCCTTCACTCCCGCTCCTCAAGAGCTGCGCTCCAATTCGGCATTACAGGGACTTGTAAACGGCTTTCACTTTTTTTTTTGTAATTACCTCCAGCTTTTGGGTGGGTGCTTGCTCAGTATATTATGGTACATGTTTTGTTACCCTGCAAGTCTACATTCGAGAACTATGCCCGATTCGCTAGCAGCATTCCTCCTAGCTACTACTGTCAGTGCAGACAGGAATTGCACTTGAATGGGGATGGTATTTGATTTCCCTAGGTCCTGGACAACTCGGCTTTATAACGTCCAGAGATAATATCACTCTGGCGTGTGCACGGCAGAGCACGGTTATCTCGACCTGCAGGGTGCAACCGCCCCCAATTCCGTCTGCAATCCAGGCACATACCAGCTTACTGGTGTTGCAATCATGCAAACAGTTTGCAAACACAGGGTGCACCCCCTTCCTAAAACGAAAGAGCATGCTACAGCAGCTCGTGTACCTGCGCCTGGCGAGCACCGTGTAGACAGCAGAGACGCAGTCAGCCGGCGCTTGGACCTCAACAAAGTAGTAGGGCTCCATGAGGCGGGGGGTGGCCATGAGGAAGGCCGAGTATGCCACCCTGCGGGCCGTTGGGATGATCTGCCCACCACCCCTGTGAATGGGCTCGTTGGCAATCACCGCATCCAGGATCTTGAACTTGCAGTTCCGGATGGCTAACAGAAAGAAAAGCCCACATTCTAAACTATTGGCGATGTGCACAACCAAAAGCGTCAACGTGGTCGCCTTGTCGCAGTTGGCCAGACACTGGAGGCCTCTCCTCGCATACACCACAGTGCTATACGTACAGTCTCCGGCAATATGAAAGACCCACTGGGAGCGCGTGGCCGAGGCAGTGGCTGGCGGGGGCGCTACGAGCGCTCCGGACAATTCCATTCTGCTTCGAGGGGAGGACGCTCACTCGGGGCTCAGCACAAACTGATAAGCGCGCGCTTTAGCTGAGCCCCGAGTGAGCGTCCTCCCCTCGAAGCAGAACGGAACTGCCCGGAGCGCTCGCAGCGCCCCCGCCAGCCACCGCCTCGGCCACGCGCTCCCAGTGGGTCTTTCATATCGCCGGAGACTGTACATCAGTGCTGCAAACAGCACTGACCTTGCTGATACAGTGCTCACTTGGCACTATATTAATGATACAATGCTGATATAGGCACTGCATCACTGCTAAGTTACCTTTAAGTTGGCAGTGCTGCGGTGCATGTGTGAATCGCCCTGCCCTACAACACCTTAAAAACAATTAATTCTCCTTTTATCGATGGAAATAGTGGCATTGTCAGACTCTCGACATCGATGGTGATGACTTAAAGGGCCCCTGAAAAGAAAAAAAAAGTTTTTTTTAAACAGTCTGGTTGGAACACGCGTGTCAAAAAAATGAATTTTACGCGAAAAAAAAATTTTTTTAGAGCAATATTGACGGCGAGAGATTTATTTGAAGTTTTGCGCGCAAATTCCATGGTCATTCAGCTCGGCTTCTCATTGGTAGCGATGGTCATTCAACTCATCTTCTCATTGGCCAATAGAATGAGTGACAGCTTAGATGTTGGTTTTAAAATCTTCGCGATTTTGTTAAATCACCTTTTGAATTAGATATTTTTAGGTTTAAGAAACAATCCATCGAATGAATGTCGCAATTGTTTACAAACGTTTTACAAAATCGTAACTTCCGTTCGGATACCACAACAAAACAACAAACAAAAGCTTCGCCATTTTGTTTTCTGTCGTGGTCGCCGTCTTCGCGTTTCGCGTTCTGAAGAGGGCTTGTTGCTTGTGTTAGTTAGTCAGTCATAGTAAGTACTTAGGAAGTGGCGCGGGGTGACAGGTTTCTGTTTTTCTGCTCTTCTTTGCGCGATTCGTGTGTCCCGTTTACCTCATCTTTTGTTTGTTTTCTGGCGCGCGCCAGTGCCAATGTTTGTTTAGATGTCGGTTCCCGTGGTTCCCGTAAAGAGTTTAGTGAGGCACGCGGCACCGCACTCAACGTTTAATAAAAAAAAAAAAAAAAACAGTTACCACTGCGTGTCCTTGCGGCGGCTTGAAGGATCGTGCGGCTCGAACGAACTCGTCGAGGCACCCGCTTCGCCGCGGCGAAGCGGGTGCCTCGCGGCGATCGGAGCGGACGCCTTCCGGCTGGCGAGGCGTGTCCTCGTACGGACGAAGGCCCAGCTGCTGGCAGCGTTGAAGCAACCGACGCTTCAGGTCGGGGTCCACCGCGACGACTATGTACTGTGTGTACGACCACGGTACGTGCACGATACGACGCGGTATGTCGTTCGACCGGCAGACAGCCGGCCAGGGGCTGTGTTCCAAATCTCCAAATGGATCCGAGTTTCTCCGGCGGATCGTATCACGTGACAGCACAGATTGAAAAACGCTGTACGCGGGTAGGTTTTAGAACGCCAAGAGTACAAAACCCTCACCCTGGGGTAAGATCGAGTCAATTTTGGAACACGGCCAGGAAGTAGCAATGGCTCTCGTGCGGGGCGCAGCCAAGCCAGGAAAGCAGCCAAGCCGATCCACTACGAAGAGGCGGGGACTACCTCTCCTCCACGCGCCCGAGATGCCGAGAGAGAGAAAAGTGGAAAGGAGGTGACTGCCGACTAAATTGCGTCTGGCGCAGTCAATATTGCTCTAAAAATTTTTTTTTTTCGCGTAAAATTCATTTTTCGACACGCATGTCTCAACCAGACTGTTTTTGAAAAACTTTTTTCTTCTTTTCAGGGGCCCTTTAAGAGCCTCCAACCTTTCACTGCGCTTTAATAAACACGTTTGGACTTGTTGTTGGCCAACTGATGATAGGTAACAAGGATCGCAACTTGTGACGTCATGGCGAGGCAAATCCTGGTAGCGAGGCCACGTAGGAAAGTCATGAGAGGATGCCAACTAAATATCTAGGTGCCTATACAGAAGAACTAAATCCGCCGCGGCATTAATTACGCAGCCTTTTGTGCCACTCAAGGATGGTACGAGCCAATTCTCGGGCTGGGCATTCCACTCCGAAATGCCACAATGATGAGAGAGATCCTACTAACGTTCTTCGCAAAGTGGTCCTTCACGTGTGGCCCACTGGAAACCCTGGATGATGCTGTCTTTCACCATGCTGAGCAGCCCTTTGTCAACCTGCATATGGCAATTAGTGCATTTTATTTTTCAGCTAATCTACATATACAAAATTCTAAAAAAAAAAAAAAAAAAAAACCTAAAAAGAAAAACAATGTTTTGAAGAAAAAGTGGCTATAGAAAGTCGGGGCGCAAAGGAACTGGACTGGTGGAGATTACTAGACATAACACAACCCCAAGACTGCAGGAAGCAGTCTAACAAAGAGATACTGTGTATGTGTGAGTGTGTGTTGTTTGAGCTCCCTCCAGTCTCAGGCTTGTGTTATATAGAGTTGCCATAGGCACACAGAAACACAGTACAGTATAGACCACTTACAACGTAACCGCTTATAGTGCAGGAACGGGTATGACGCGGTTTTTTTAAACCACTGGTTCACCTCCCATAGAACTCCATGTAATTACATACCGCTTAAAATGCAGGCGCGCGAAGGGAAATACCGGTTACAGTGCGGCTTTTGGCACGGCCCGCCGACCGCGCCGACGACCGGAGCAGCGAGCTCGCTTCCCTGTGCGACACTAGATAACGGCGCTGACGGCGCGAGCCGCAAACTGCACTCGCGGGGCAAGGAGGTTGCTCGAAAACGCGGGGAGGAGCGAAGAGAGAGGCTCCAGTTGCCATAGCGACGGAGGGACGCACGCACGAGTCGTTCACGTGCGTGCGTCCCTCCGCTGCGTTGGAAACAAAGAAACAAACAACCGCAACGACAGACCAATCCCAGGTCGAGGAGAAGTGTTCGCGTGCGTTGCATGCCGGTCGCGGGCGTCGGTTGTGATCGTCGTCGTAGACGGCGTGCATCTCATCGTTCTGCGTAAAAGCGCTATCCTTGACTCTGAATTTTCGTTGTGTGTCGCTATAACCCAGCACGTATTAGAAGGGAAGATCCACCTACTCGTGCGGCGATGTCGTGGCGGTGCTCTCAAGACGGCAGAAACGCCCGTGTCGTCGTGTTTGTTTACTTCGACTACAGTGGTGATTTCTACGCATTTGTGTCCTCGAACATCGCCCGGATTTCTTATTTGGCGCATTTCATGCGTGTGCTCAAGTTCAAGGTATTACTGGCGCGTACCGTATGAAGGATGCGAATTTTCACGCGGTTTCATCTCCGGAGAAAAGTGATTAGGGTTAGCAATCCTGAACGCTCGCGACGTCCGTCCGCAACCCGCGACGCCGTTAAAAGGCTGCGCCAGGCAAAAGCCGCTAATTTCTTTTAAAATGTGCGACACACTTGAGACATATCTGTACTAGTCTATTGAAATAAAGACTTTCCTCAAACTAAGCTTATTTTTTCATCTAACATAAAATAAATTTTTTTACAAAGGTAAGTTGTCTCATGGCATGTATTTTGGCCTGAAAAATTGATGTTTTGGTTATAGTGCGGTACCGCTTATAGTGCGGATTTTCGCGACTCCCGAGACATATGTTATATGCGGTCTACACTGTATGATATACAGAACTTTCTGCTAGCATAATCCACCACTTGCAAAGCCATCACTGTCAAAAGTTGAAGAAAACTTAAGACTAAGAGGAAAATTGGATCAAACCTGATGATGATAATTTAAAAAAAAAAAAAATATTGTTGGCACTTAGTTGTGTTGATTCTAGCCATTTGGCTCCAATCTGGTCAACACTATCCTATGGTGGCACAACAAATGATTCTGGTGCTCCATCCAGGATTCAGACTCATATGAACACACAGTCGTTTGATCACAAGCACGATAACCACTACCACAAAAGGTTGTTTATCATTTTAGCACGGAGAGTAATGAAAAGAGAATTTTAAACTTCCCCATAGCACTCTGATATTGAAGTTTTCAGTAATCTGGGGCTTTATCCATTATATGTACAAAAAGGGGGATGGCATTGACCAACCTCGGAAGGCAGGGTGTCGTCGACCAAGATGTTAGGTCCCGTGGCGTCGGGACCAAAAGCCCAGATGGAACGGGCGGCAAGGAGATCCCAGTCGTACTTCGTCTGAAAGAAATCGCCAAGACGCTTACGGTTCCACGTGATCTGCACCACCTCACTCTCAATGTCCTCTGCCAGACCCTTCTCTAGTGGTTCGGCAATCATGGTGATCTTGTTCCTGCACGCAGCATCCACAAAAGCAGCATGTTGGAATAAAAAGATATGTCTAACAAAAAGCCCTTGCACTAACCCCACTCTTACAGTAGACTCTCATTAATTTAAACTCTAGGAAGCCTTAAATTTTGCTTGTACTATCAGACATTCATCTAGATATGATGCAAGATAAAATTATGATTTGTTATATGGATGGCTACACATGAAAGCAGACATTTGATGATTTCCTCTACACAGGCATACTAATCACGAGAAGGTATGCCACACATGAAACATAGGGGAAATGTATGAGACAAATTTATTCATCCCTCAAAAATGTCTTCTATAGTGCACTGTTTAGACAGCACATGACACCTCAAAACAAAATTTTGTTCATCCAGCAAAAACGTTGTCTATTGTGAGCTATTAGCCTTGTTGAGTTCTGGTCCACTGCAGAGAAGCAACATCCATGAAAGCAAGCTCCATGGGCGTGGCTTCTCCACAGTGCACCGGTGTTCGGAAAGAAGCACGCTGAATGAGACAGCGAGAACAAAAAGTATGTTTTACATAAAAACACTGTTTGAATTAAGTGGCTTATAAATAAATTGAAAACACAGCAGAACAACCAAAATTTTAAAATTTGTTTAAACTCAGATGTAATATCCGAGTTTGAATTTACTGCGAGCCTACTGCATTTTTCTCAATAGTGCTGCAGTACATGTCTGAGCTGGAACATCTAGTGGTCTTTTAAGATTTATGTCAAGATTAAACATATACTGTATTTACTCGCATAATAAACGCACTCGCATAATAAACGTACCCCCAAAATGGGTATCCATATTTGGACTTTTTTTTTTTCCCCTCACGTAATGAAAGCGCTTCCAATTTTCGGCTCCACGAGTCTCAAATTGCGTCCGACTTAGCTAGCCATCAAGTCAATTTTCTTTTGCCGCCAAGCGGTCAGGCCAAGTCAAGTCAAGCCAAGCCAAGCCGTCACATAATGGCCGCAAGTGCGTAGTTGCAGAAGTGATCAACCGTAAAACTGAGCAGCGCACACAATTGACGAAGCTTGCGTCGAGCAACTGCCCGGCCCCGGACATTCTTCGCCTATCGGATGCATTGATGTCAACAAACACGCCATCGTCTGTGGTCCGCTTTAGGACAGTGAGTGGAAGTGGTTAGGCCTAAGAACGGTCACGTTGCTCTCCGTGCTGAGTGAGTTTCGTAGGGCGCTTGTTCTTCGGCAAAAGGCACACCAAAGGCGACCTTAAAAGGTTTGCAATTTATAGAACATGATTACTGTGGCGCGCCCACGACCAGCCGTGTGCACGCCTCCGTCAGTGGAGACGTGCCACAGTACCCTGCCATGTCATATTGGCACCTAAAATGACATTTTCGCAGTGTGTAAATGCAAAAATTTTACCCCCGTAATTAACGCCCCCCCAAATATGGGTCAATTTTTCTGGAAAAAAATTATGTTCATTATACGAGTAAATACGATACTACATACACATCACCAAATGTCCTAAAAACATTACCTTGTTCATTACTGGCAACACAAAATAAATGTTGTGGCCTTTGAGGCATACCTTAAGAAACTAGGCCAGCAGTAAAGGGTCACTACCTGTAAGCAGTTTTGTTTTGTATGAGGAGCCCTTAGCTTGGAAACGCAATTTACGACTTTTATTGTTAAATCCTTATTGGCCTGCGCCCCTTCGAATTCGTAAATACCACATCTTCCCAGTCATCAAAAATTTTGGTACAGTCAGAAATCCAACAATCAGCTGTATTCATAAGAATACAATTGCTAATCAGCCAGAAAAGTATAAGAATGCAATTGCTAATCAGGTTGAAAAGGTGAATGATAAATATGCAAAATATGAAGCACTAGCATGAGTAAACCTAGTACAAAAACAAGGTGACCATTAATACGATACATAGACGACTAGAAAGAAAGAAACTCACTTTTTGTTTGGAGTTTCAGCAAAGCATTTGAGAGAAGACGTCTCCACAACTGTCTCGCAAAAGCAGACCACGGGGTCGGCAACCTTGATATCTGCAGACGAAACACGAACGTCAATGCAAGATGGGACAACAGGCACAAGAGAGAATCAAAGGCTGGAGACACCAGACCAACACCTTGCACCCCAACAAGCCACATGAACCTACCGATCTCAGAGTACATCTTCCTCAAATCGTGCATGACACAGTCCAGGTAGAGCTCTCCAGTTCCGAAAATGACGTGTTCTCCCGATTCCTCCACCTGGAAATGATTCACCAACGTGTTAGTAAAGTAAAACACACAATTCTCTTTATCCACATTCAACGTGCTTGGCAGATACAAGTTGGTAAACAGCACATGGTAGATACCCCTTAATAGACACCACTTGGTAGACACCACTTGGTAGATACCACTTGGTAGATACCACTTGGTAGATACCACTTGGTAGACACTGCTATAATCACGGAGAGGATGAGAATGGCAGGGCATGTTTTTCGGATGCAGAGCCTCCAGATGCGCTCTTTGCTTTCCATCGCGCGCTCTGGCTGCGCATGCACGCTCAAAGCCCCCGACGTGTCCAAGAGCCACCAAAGGTTGGAAGCTTGTGCCGGAGGCGGGACAACAGAAAAACCTTCCTGCTGTTCTCATCCTGTCAGTGACCAATCATTCTCAAAGGACCTGACCTTGGTGTTGACCAGGGGGTATGATTTGTTGACTTTGCGCAGTCCGTCGAGCATCTTGGGCAGCTCGGAGGGGTTGACGGGCTCCACGGCAATCTTGATCACCGAGTGGGTGCAGAAGCGCAGCGGATGGAAGATGAAGAGCTCCTCCTGGACGCCCACATCTACGATGGTGGACGTCTTGACCACGGGCTGGTCAATGCCCTCCATGAGCACCCAGTTGCCGGCAGGCACCCTGTTCACCTCTACCTTATACCTTGGGCACGAAAAAAAGAAGAGAAACGACATACAGTCAAAAGAAATACTTTGCCCTATCTCAGCTTTGGTTTTTATACAAAAACTGCAGATTCAACAGCATATGTACCGTGATAAGAGCTTGATGTCCTTGCCAAATGGTAAAATATAGTAGTCAGGATTGCGAGCTGGTTTGGCAATCACTTAACATATTTAAATGGAAATGATACTAAATTTTGCTATCTGGCAGGGGTATGAGACACCCAAATCTAAAATGAGCACTTCAAGTGCCCTGCTTTAATGCTGAAATGAAACTATGAGGCCTCGCAACCTCATAGTTTCACTGCTTCAGAAAGCAAGTGAAGCACGTGCCATATGCAGAATGCTCAAAGTGGCACCAACCAGAAAGAAGCCCCTTTTCGGAATGAACAACACCACTTAGCAGTAAACCAATCAGAGACCATGTGCCTGTTGACATGGCTACAGCTCCCGAATACCCTCAGCACCCAAACTCCCAAACTTCGATTCGGAACCGCACCTCGGAGCAGTAATAGATGCCTTCGAAGTGGTGGCCCCGTGCAATCTAACTGAATTGGAGCAGGCGGAGCTGCAGACTTTGATAAACTACAGATCTGCATTCTTCTCTTGCAGACTAGATTAAAAGCTACTTGATACGAAAAGCCTTGACAAAAAGCAACACACCCGGCACTTTCCAACTTACGTAAATCACCGGTTGTTCAGAGCTCCCGCATAAATGCTTTACACAAGTTTTTCGCTTTTGTTGTCTCCCATCTTCAAGATGGCTGACGACAGCCAATCAGAAATCTCGATCGACTCTACTCTTCACTTCTAAGTGAATGCTATCGAACGCGGTCATCTGTGAATATTCAGTGGCTCTAGACGCATCTACCATAAAATACTGAGCAAGTGCCATTGCAAAAGTTAGAGATAATCGATAACCAAAAAGCAGAAGGGGTACGTGGTAGGGTAGGCATTTGTTTGATCCGACGAAACGGTACAAGAGCAGTACACGGGTCCGATAGAACCCCTCATTTTTATAACAGCCATGCCGCTCTCGTCAAGCCCGCTTTGCACCAATGCTGTTGCATTGAGCCGCCTTGCACCAACCCACGTGCATAAAGCATCATTGCTTCGCACCGGCATCTCGAATCAGCAGCCGACGCAGGCGAGCACCTCGGTCAGCTCAGGGGGCTTAGAAGATTGCCCCTCTGAGTGCTTGATATGTCCTTCACTTATATTCCAATTGTTTAAAAAGTAGCTGATGGGAGTTGATTGCAACGTGGGTGCATGCTCGGTAGTTTACGCATGTAGAGCACGGGATCTCAATATGGCTTCCCAGCAGCCCACAGATTCCCCATGGTATACCCTCCAGGGTTCCCCGAGCGCCCAATTTCATCAACTGTCCCCGCTTCTACTTAAAATTCTTTCTTCCAGTTTAAGCACTAATTCAGAAGATCTGAGCCATCCACTGATATGTAACCATGTGCCAAGCAATTCTTAGTAAGGTATGTCACTGTTTACCAGGTCTCTGGATTTCTGCACCGCATTATTGCATTGATAACAAGATTGGGACGGGTTCTTTGGCTTGCAGTACAAAAGATGTGCATTCCTCGAGATAGAAACGTTTGAGAACTCCCGGTATGTAGCAGAGTGAAACTGCACCATTGCCCAAACTTCCACCAGACATGGCGGGAAGCGGTCTTCTGCGGAGACTCACCGGGACTCGTGGACCCAGAGCCTCCCGCAGGCGAGCACGCGCGAGTCCTCCTCGTCGGTGGACGTGTAGTTCTCGCCCAGGATGCGCACGTCCTGGTTGGCGTGCAGCGTCCCGCTCATGACGCGCCCAAACACGTGGAAGCTGGTGGCGTCCTGGGTCGAGTACTGCTTGGTCGTGTGCACCACCAGGGGGCCCTGAATTGCCCCGGAAAAGAGAAGACACAAATGCGAGTCAGAACCTACGCAATGGAATTGAGAGGTCTTCGATGGGCTACGGCGCGGGGAGGTGCAAAGCTGGTCAAGAAATGTCGTCTACAATTAATTTCGCCGACTTCCGAAGTTTTGTAGAATTTGTGAGATCAAGTCTATGCACTATTATCTTTGAGAAATGGTCACTCCTATCATTGTCGGAATTATTTCGAGCATGCGGTGAGAGAATAAACCGTAAAATATGTGCAGGTTAGAAGTGCTTCGGAGATACTTGACAGATGGTGCCAGCGTGTCCGAATGAAGATGTCACGAGCAGTTTCGACATCGTTAATCGCACTCGAGCGCAAATGTGAGAACTAACCTTAAGGCTTCCTTCCACCTCTGGCTGCCTCATAAAGTTCAAATTTCACTTTGTATCCTTCCTACCACTCTAGCTCACTAAGATATACTTGGAGCCCTTAAAGGGGTACTCCGCCGATTTCTTCATGGTCCCCGATTTGCTTGAAATTTTGCTAAACTCGCCGAACAACATCGCCAAAATAGTATCCAAAATATTAGGTCAAAATAACTTTTTTTCACGAAGTTATTGAATTTACAATTTTGGCCCTCATCATGTTTTTCAAACTGAAAGTCTCTACTGGCAACAATGAAAAAGTGACGTCATTGGAAGTGCAGGGGTTCACTCTTTGGACTGTACAATTTTTTCCCAACTGATTCGAAGCAGTTTCATGGTGTCAAATGAATGCTTTGGAAGCTCGCTCCAGTCCCTGCGCTCCAGCACGAAACAAATGATTGGCATATTCTATTTTTTAGACTGCTCGCCCGACTGGCAAGCTTGCCTTCCACTGACGTCACGGCACTGAAGAGTGCGGGTATATTTGAATGTTGGTTTTTGCATCATTTTCATTTGCCGATTTCACAATAACTATTATGAATTTCGCGATACTAAATAGCATACCAGAAAGGGTAAAGGCCGGGGAGTCAAAAAATATAGTTAGTTGAAGTAGCTCAACTAACTAGAAAAATTCAAATGCAACAAAACCACGGAGAAAGAAGGTTGGTTGCTCGGCGAACAATTAAACATACCGTTACAGGAACAACGCACTGAACTTTCACAAGGTAACAGAAAGCCGATAGGGGTACCCCCCCCCCGTACGAGCCGTTCGCCATAAACGCCTTCTTTCCACTTAAGGACACGGGCGAGAGAACACGTGGTTACCTCAGGATCACACTTGAGCATCGCTTCTCCAAGCTCCGAGTCAATAGGCCCTGTGTAGATGTACTCTATCTTCTGCTTCGAAACCCGTGCCGGCGGTGGTATGTGGTTCACGCACATGTCGACAAACCCTGCACAAACATCACGCAAAGTTACTACTATGCATCAACCAGTGGCCAGACATGGAACACTCTACTGCATGCAACCACTGCTACACCTCATATTCCACCTGTTTTACCTGGCTCTGTGCTGTTTCAGTATTTTTGCCTTTGCATGTTTAGAACCAGGGGTTCTCTAACCCTTTAATTTCGAGAAACCCCCGTGTACTTTGAATGGCAGCCAAAGAACCCTTCCTGGTCTCGGCGTTGATGCAACAAAGTGGTGCAGAAGCCTACAGGCCTTGCAAATAATAATGCACATATACGGCTCAAACTTATGTATCAACAGGTGTCACAGACCTGTTAACATAGTGCTTAAATTATAAAAAACACCGCTTAGAAAAAAAACAGTCAAGGAATTTTGGGAGCTCAGGGGGACCGTGACAATACTCCGAGGAACGCAACCAAAGAACCCATCTTATCCTCTGAACATTTTTGTGTCTTGAACTACCTAATTTGCATAAATATAACACGAGTCTTTTTTCTAAATTACGTGCTCCAAAACGCACCTTGCGTTATATTCGGAATCGAGTTCAGCCATGAGGTGTGCAAGTCTGGAGAAAGCCATCCCTTTGGTTAAATGCAGAAGATCGGGTGGGAACAGAAGTGGGGGAGGAAATTTACTAGCTACTGGGCCACTTGAAGGGGGAATAGAAAACATAAAAAGCATTTTTATCACTTTTGTGTTTGTACTACGCACGCCGAAAAGCACGCTGCAGATATGCAGTGCACGCGGGAATGCGGGCAGTGGTCAATTTAAGCTAAGTCAAGCCAGGTCCAGCCATGTCAATGCCAGCCAAGCCAAGACCACCCTAGAGTGGTCTGGTGTACGTGTGTTGGTGCTTCTGTTTCGTGCCTTGCTTTGCCTGTGGGCTGCCGAGGAGCTCACACCAAAAAAAAAGTAACTACCAGACAAGCGGCGCCTTGCAGCTGCATATCTGCAAAGCCACCGAGTGGATTGCAAACGAAAGGACCTGAGCAGTGAGGACAAGTGCAGTCAAAACATAAACTGATATTTCTTCAATTTCCATTGCCTTTTCATTTCTGCCATGCCCCCAAATGAGGTAAATTTACACGGCCTCGGCTCGCGTTATAATAATAATTTTGTTTTTCCTTTTTGGGCATCAAAACCTGCCCTCGCGTTATATCCATATAAATACAGTAATCTCCCCATAGTTTATCGTTAGCCCCGTATGTAAGTTATCAAAACATTCAGAAGCACAGCACTCAAAAAGCAAGACGCTTGGACTCGTATTAGTGCTCACCAGAAAATTCGCCCACAAAGCGAGAGCAAATGAGCCGCAGGAGGGGACGCACGTTGAGCTTCATTTCTGTCTTGGAGAGCTTGATGCCCAGTTCGTCGAGGAGCTTGGGTAGACTCTCGTCCACATCTCCGACCACCTGTGTCGAAAGAAACAATGTCTTCTGTATTGTCTACTCCAAACATGCATCCAAGAACTATTCACCCCATGCGATGCCACCGCACGCCTGTTACCAAAGGTAGGCAGTGAGAACCCCGGCAAAACGAAACCACACAGCATACTTTGGTACTCATTGCAATCGGAGCAGTGCGGTTGCGCTAGCTTGACTGCATTAACTGCTGCGTCGTCAAGTGCTCCAATAATTATGTGTCGTGTCTCATGGAGAAAAAGTTTCGTAGCTTTTCAACTGGCCAATATTTTGTGGGACAGCGACAACGATGAACCCGTGCCATACGATGCGAAAAATTTGGTCTCCCGACAGGGGCTCCAAAACCAGGGGTGGCAGTGGGGGCAGTCACTCTTACAGGTTCTAAACCGGGGGGGCGGCATGCCCCCACACTCAGAGTTGTTCCGATCCCCCTCCCCTCCCCCCCCCACCCCACTCCACCTCTTCTCCCCTCCCACCACCCGTGAGGCTGTTGCATGTTGAAGCTGCACTCCGTAGGCAAAACGAACAATGATTTTGGAAGCCTTGTTAACCCATTCATTTGAAGTTGTCATTCATTGTTTGCCCCAATATGTGCATTCTCACTAATAAATCTCCAAAGATTCTATCAGACTGCAGCCTTCATTCCTCTGCACCGCGCTTCATCAGTTGTTGATAGATAGATAGATAGATAGATAGATATGTGTGTGTGTGTGTGTGTGTGTGTGTGTGTGAGTGAGAGAGAGAGAGAGAGGGAGGGAGGGAGGGAGCGGTGAACTACACAATGCAACATGAGCCCCCAGACGTCGCCCCCCCACGTCAGATATACTTAAGAAGCCCCTGTCTCCCGATGATATCTGCTACTCTGTCGGCACGACGGACATATTCTCCACTGCCGCTTTGCACTTTGCGTTTGTTTTTGTAGCAGTAACGCCTAAGTATGTCAGCGCCGATGGGACGAACTGAAATACCATTCCACACTCGCGGGTATGCAGTGCCAATTTCGTACGAGGAACGCCCTTCCAAGACATCTCGTCCCCATCGTACGTGTCAATGATATTTCCAGACCAGTATGGCACGCAGTCTGTACTTCATAAAGAAAGATTCAGACGGTACAAGAAGTGACACATATGAATCTAAGGAAAACTACAATGAAACGTGGAATCACTGGACAATCGACGTTTGAGTATGGCACTTTATGCGGTGTGCTTTCTTTTTTGATCAGCCTCCTTTCGGACATGGAAACCGCCTTTCTTCATATATGAGGTTGCCGGTAGGCAGTAGGTGATTGCAAAATAAAAAGCTGGAATTGTTTTTGATCAAATTAATGCAAAACAACTGACACATCTCAATAAAAAAAATTTTAAAATAATAATTTTAGAAAGTCAAGGAAATTAGTTTTTTCTTTATGTCTAAACCAAATATAAATCGGAGATATCAGAAACATATATATAATATAAATATACATATAAATCAATATAAATCAGAAATCAGATAAAGTGAAGCCACTAGAAAGTGCAGTGGTATCACATTCGAGAAGCCGGAAGGTTTCTCGTCGGAAGCCAGCATGCAGTGTGATTGATAGAAAATGTAAAATTTATTGTCTAGGGATATATAAGAAGCGGAGAACAGCCAGACGTCCTCCTTAGGTCTGCTCCAGCCCTCATGCAATGCCACCCTCAACATATTGGCTCAAAAAGCCAAAGCTCTGTCCGTGTGCGCTTTCGCCGCACGGGAAAAGACGCCACGGGCTGCTGAATGCATTTCACTGTCAAACGGCAGCACCTCCGCTAGCGGCGCTACGCGCATTTTTTTAACTGCCCCCTGTGGTTCCCGCACGGACTGTATTGTAGAATGAGCTTTGGCAACCACGGGAACGCAGATTCTTATGTGGAGCGCAAGTTCATCTGCTTGAGCTGAGGTTGCGGCGACATCAAAACGTCGAGCTCTGATTGGCCCCGATTGGAAGCATAGTGGGTAGACCTCCAAACAGCTAATGGTGAGATCTATGCACTATCCCCCCATCAGAGCCGATTAGACCTCATTGTTCTGACATCAGTCCAACCCCTGCAAAAGAAGCAGACAAACTTGCACTCTTCATATGTGCAGAAATCCAAATAACCTTGAGAAATACTAAGCTCGAGGAAGGTCTGCATCATGCTCCACAGGCTCGGGTCATAAACATGAAATGAATAAGACAATCTTATAACAGAAAATGTTACAGGCTCTTTAGGAGGGCACTGTACCTGGGCAAAGAGCTTGTACAGCGGTTCCAAGATGAACTCCACGAAGCTTCGTTGCGCAGAACTGTGTGGAGGTTTCTTGGTGAATTTCCGTCTGAAAGTGTGCGAGAAATTTATGAGAAAAGAATGCCAAACTGGAATTTGATAGTTTTATTTAGTCAGAAGCAGTCAAAAATGCAAAGGTGTGTGGGACAAACTGTCAAACTACGGAGGATGCATCTGCATGTTTGTACTTTGCCCCTCCTCAGAGCAATTCAACAATGAGCGACCATAAGCAGCCCCAACTCGAGCTACCGTAAACTTCCGCACATTGTAGAGCTTTCCTGTACATCTAGTTTTCTGGAGAGCATGCGGAGGCCTATTACCGTCAATTACGAAATGAAATTGACGAGGCGCTTGATGGCGTTCTAAGTACAGCAATGTGATTTGCACTGAAATTTAAACATTATTAGTGCCTGGACATTTGCTGGTCTCTTTCCATAAACAGCAGTGATTGGCTGTTCCTACGCTCTGCGGTGAAGTGGAAACATGAGCTCTGTCCATAAAAAGAATATATTATCTGTAGGACTTTAAAGTATATCCTTCATTAGATTCTGCACAGTTCTCAAAACTACCCAATGGAGCACTAAGGGGAGTGGCAACCCAATATGCAGCTCTCCAAATACTACCGTACCATCAGGTTACGGCAAACTAGTAATCCATTATTTCTTGAATGTGGTGGCTCTAGACGAGAGCTTCGTAATTTTCGAAGGCGGGACACTGAACCGACACTAATGACAAGTTCATTTACTGGCCTCGGTGTAAAATGTAGTGTGAATGAATCTTCAAACAGCCTATTCCTTGAATTATTGGGGACCTGCATAATCCTTCTGTCTAGAAACATAGAATTCAATAAGCCAATCATTTCTCTGCATAATATTCTTTTAAAAAAGATAAAAGTTCAAATAGCCGGACACAAGAATATTCAAAATACCCCATCTGGGAATTCCACCACTATGCTCATTAGCGAAAGAACTATAGTTTCTAGTCCAAGGAACAGTATATCCTGAGTAGGCCTAGCATGAGTACCAGAGAATGCTACAGTTGTGATCATATTTCACCGAACCTTCAGTGCCTCCATAAAAAAACTCACGTCTTGTTGCTGAAGTAGATGTCCCCCCAGAGCCGCCGCGAGAATTCGGCCACATTGACGCCCCCGAAGGTCTGCGCATACATGGAGGCAAAGGAGCGCAGCGTGAAGCACAGGCTGTACAGCGAGCTTCCAAAGCACACGTTGCCCAGCAGTGGAGACACTTGCTGCTGCTGGGGGTCTTCGGAGTAGAGACTGAAAGCAGAAAAGTGACATACTCTCAACTTGCTTGCCACTAAAGTCTATTCGGATTAAAACAAGCAGGACAGGCTCCTCCCACAAAGCCCTCCACTCTTTCTACTTTAGCAGAGCAAACACTGGAGAGGAGGAATGCGGAAAGGAGAAAGCCACAGACCGTGGCAAGCAGAAAGCTTTGTGGGATGGGCTTGTCTGTTGTCCTTAACCTGCAACAGACTATAGCAGAGCTTCCATCTTGCATAGCGTGCTTTTAAACTCGAGAACCTCGCAAAAATGCGAGCTTGTCAGGATTCAGAGTGGCATTCCAAACCAGCAAATAATGAGACATTTGAAACAAGGCAACCAATGGTGGTAGGAAGCTTCTGGAGGTGACAAGAGGTGTGGAGGAACACTTCTGGCTTTACCTCTGGGAGAAAAACGCCCATACTATCGTCTCCCCTCAAGGATACTTTACACCAGTGGCTCTCAAATGTAGATCCGCAGACCCTTTAGACTTTTCGGAATCCCTGAAGGCCTTCTTGGGGTCCCTGAGGCCTCACACCATGAATCAAACTGAGCACTAAAACCTTTTTTTTTTTTTTTTTGGATGCTGGCTGTTACACAAAGCTAAATAGACAGAACCATGTGCACTGAGTAAGTAGGGTTGAATATTTTGTTTCAGGGCAGCAAAAGTGGTTTGCATGCATTTAGTTTCCTTCAATTACCCTCGTCATTGCAATCATTCAATACCACCCCCTGGCAGATGGGGTCGGCCAACGGTTCCACCAATCCAGTAGGGATCTTGGAAACATTCGTGGTTGAGAACCACTGCCTCACACTGTTTACAGGGAAAGCCTGCATGCCTGCTTTCCCACAGAGCCTGCAGGAGCCAATCATTTCAATCCACTGAGAAAACAGAATATTACAATAAACTCAACTTACATACGAAAGAATAAACAAATAGCACAAAACACAACATCTTTCGTGCAGCGTGAAAAATGTTGTGTTCTGGGCTCCGTCTTATTTGTTTATTCTTTCGTGTGTAAATTGAACTTTACCAACTCGCACGGTTTTTAATAATTCTCACAATAAACTGGCAAAGATTTGGAAACAAAAATGCTATTCACATCACAACACCAAGCGAAACATTTCATATGCACAAAATGCAGCCTATATAGCAGTTTTGTGAAGAAACCTTATTGACTCTTATTTGCTCTGAGGGCAAGCAGGTATGCACGACTCTTGTATAAGCAATGTGGGATACACTTGTGCAAACACTATATATCTATTGGCAGCATCCAATATATCTCGATTCCCGTAATTACCCTCCAAAAGTGTGAGGAATCTGAAGTTGATAAAATCTAGGCAGGGTGTTTGGCATAAATGCTGCCCTGCAGGTAGCATCTTACTAAACACTCAGTTTCTATAGAGAAACGAAGAATTCCTTGCAAAAGCTGTTTTGGTCACCGTCGGAGCCCCGAGGCTGACCGAAACAGTTTTTGGCGCCAAGTCAGCTCTCCTTTTTGTCCATTTGGTTTTGTTTGTCCTCTTGGTCGTGTTCCGAATGGATTCGTACCGAATCGTTTGATTCGCCTGATTCGGACATATATGAACCTCTTGGTTTTGGTCGTCATTGGGGGTGTGTCCCTCCACACTCCTGGCTTCACCTCTGGTGGCCCCATGTCACCTCCAGGAGCTTCCTACTACCATTGGTTCCCATACTGCAAGCGACTATAATCAGCGCTGCCAGAGTGACTTACGCAATGAGGGCGTTAACTTCGTCAACGATGTTCTTGAGCTTGTAGTAGGCGTCCTGGGGTGGAAGCTTCAGTTCCAGCATCAGTCTGTCGATTTTGTTGATGCAGATGCAGATGGCCAGTTTTTCCTGCACGGCGTGCTTGAGGAGTTGTTCTGTGTTCAGGCATACCTGAAAAAAAAATGAAAAAAAGAAGTTGATCTTCATCAAGGACTGCTGGGACAAAAAAAAAATCTGCCATATGGTTCAGAGCAATAATCCTCTACAAACCAATCCCCCTCTACAAACCAATCCCCAAGTTAATAGGGAAATGAATTGAGAAAACAGTATTGCAGCATGATAATGCATGCCTCTTTAATAGTAAATTTATAAAGAATTTATTTTAAAAAGATACATATAATAATTTTTTTATTTTAGCTAGAGAGCAAGCACAGTAACATAGTATCTTTGGATAGCTCTATCTGTGAGATCACACATTTACGTTGCTGTCACCACTCCAAAAGCAAAGTTAGCATTTTGAATAAAACTTTGTGTGTTAGAAAAAAGTGCTCCCAAACATGCCAAATGCTCCAACACCTAATATTTTACATTTCTAAAAAACTGGAGACGACGGACGAAAAAGGGGACAACACACACAGGTAGTCCCCTTTTTTTCCCCACCTTTTCCGTCCGTCATCTCTGGTTTTTCAAAAATGTGTAACATCAACTAGCTCGCCTGCCTACTCACTTAATCTTCATTCAACCTAATATTTGTCAGGTAAGCTACGATTGCTCCCTCCACAGGCCCATTATATTATGATTTATTTGAAGGATTGGTGCTTCAAAAGACCAAGCCACACAAACGAAACAAGGTGATAGTGCTTACCCCTTCCGCTGCATCAATGAAGAGGACAACTCCGTCGCAAAGCCTAATGGCTGCAGTCACTTCGTCCGAGAAGTTGACGTGTCCTTGAAAAAAAATGACAGTTCTCTTGTGAAAACTTGAGTTTTACTTACAAAGTTTTCTATTATCAACTGCAGAATATACTATTAACAAACTTAGGTCATTAATCTGTCAAAGCCTGCATGGACATATTATGTGGATAATTTGAAGTTAAAAGGACACATATTAAAATTCTGTTATACCTACTTTCAGTTCACCACAAAGAAAGGCATGGCGCTCTACATAGTAAACCGCTAAATTGCAAGGTCATTTAGTATGCTTGTAGTGTTCAATTGGCTCGGAAGTCTCGTAGCTGACTACAAAGTGAAATGACAAATGGCTCAATTTTTGTGACCACCGTTTAGTACAAACCAAAGATTAACGAAAGGCTGACCTGGAGTGTCGAAGACATTTATGATGTATGACTTTTGTTTCAGGTCTTGCAGAAGAAGCGTGACAGGGCTGGCTTTGATGCTCACTCCTCTCTGCAAAGCCAGGGAGAAGTAAATTAGGTTTCCAAGCTTGTGAACGGAAGCTACCACCAGGAGTATAAATGAAAGCGACACAAAAATGTTGACACAAATGACCATTACACAACTTTAGGAGAGCAATTTAAAACAGCTTTCTGATGCGATGCAGTTAAAGCTGGAAACATGCACTGTGAGCCTTTGTGTAATGCAATTTCCTTTACAAAGCACTGCATATGCCTTCATGCTTCCTACATTACTGCCCCAAAGGTTGTCTCAAACTACTGCAAACAACGTAATTTTCAATAGGGCCCAATTTTAACAATTTTCCAAATTGTGCAAAAAATTTACCGCTACAATATGTCACCCCACTGTTCTGAATACATGCTGTACACTCCAAAACATGCAAAATTTCCTTAATATTGAGCATGCAAAACCTAGCAAGTGGCACAAGAGAACAAACAATTGCAAAACTGTATTACCTCCTGTTCTGTGTAGAGTGTGTCTGTATACCGCAGCTGCAATGAAACAAAGATTAATAGTTAGTTACAGAAAAAAAAATCATATTCAAACAACACCAGTAGCAATTGCGGTCCAATCTTACGTTTTTGCATTCTTTTGCCCTCATGTGCGGATGTGTCTGCTCGATCAGGCAGTCAACAAAGGAAGTCTGGAAATGAGCAATGTAAGAGTCATGCATTTGTCCAGAGACAAGCGCCACAGTGACCTCCACTGTTCTATTTATTCAACAGTTTTAAGGACTATTCTCTTGCAATTGCTCTGCAGTAATGTCCTCCGATAATTAGGGATAATCAGGGACTTTTTCTAGTTTTTGAAGCTAAGTTTGACAAAAAAAAGTCACTATTATGCACACGCAAAAATTAAAATCAAGCCGGCAACTCCTGGCGGAGGGGGATGAAGTATTTATTGGAAGCACTGTTTCACATTAAAGGAACTATGAAATGATTTTTCAACTTCTTCCTCCTTAGCGTTCCTCCGCAATCATAAAGCGAAATGAGAAATAATGCGGTCGTGAAGTCCAACTAGGCACAGCTACGATGATTCCAAACTTCCACCTTATCTTCTTAAAGGGATGCTGAACCGAAATCTGGATACCAGAAAACATGGCGGCAAAAGCGTACAACAAATGCTACAAACACCACAACATCACTCATACAGCAATATCTCGAACGGATGACCGTATTTTTCAAAAGAAGGAGGCGCATTTGGCAGAAATGTTTACGTCATGTTTTTCTAAGAAGGAGAGGGAACGGCCTCGCGTCTTCTCCGCCTCGTTGCCTTGAGGGGGCAAAGCGAAGAGAAGAGGAAACAAGGTATCTTCACAACACGCGCCTTGTCGGCCTGGTTCAATCTCGACCTCTTTTTCCAACAATACGGCCATCCATTCGAGATATCGCCTTACTAGTAGTGTTGTAGGGATTGTAGCGTCCCACCTACATCTCCTGCATTGTTTTTTTTAAATCCAAATTTCGGTTCACCATCACTTTAAGTACACAAGGAAACTTGTCATTCTGAAGCGATGGTAAGTGCCATCTTGGCACTCATTGGCCACGAATGCGAATTCAAATATTCGTCGGCGGATTGATTGTTGACGAGTGCACACGCCCATGGGACGCAGTGCTCTTGTCCAACGCGGCTTCCTTGCTCGGCTGGTGGAACTTCCCTTTCCGGTAGAAAGACATACTTTACGTCACAGCCACGTGATTTCACATGATGGTGACCGAGCCAGGTCGAGTTGAGGAGAAAAGCAGATGCGAGTTTTCATCTTTTTTTCTTTTGTGTAGAACTGGAGGCAATAAAATGAAAATAGATTCCTGCTCTGGGTTCTATGAACACTGAAGATAAATTGGGGTCTTCATTTGGAAAAAGCTGATAAATCATTTTATGGTCCCTTTACCAAACTGCTTAAATCATTATTAAGTGTAAATATTAAAAATTGATATTAAAAAAAACCATTGCCAATTATTATTTTTTTAATTTTTAAAGAAGATATTGTATAAAGCAACAAATGATAAGTTGGGCTAGTTAGTTCATTATGCAGTAAAAGTACCAAAAGATGGGGACAGAGTAAAGACGACGACAACACAAGGTGCTTTGTGTTGCGGTCGTCTTTACTCCGTTCCTGTTTTTTTGGCGCTTTTAGAGCGTGTTGTCATAAAGCCCTTTCTTTAAAATTTTACAGCTTTGTGTAAAAGTTGCGAAGCACTGGTCAAGCAAACTTTGTTTAATTTTGCCAAAAAGTGTGAGGGTTCACCAAACCAGTCGAACCCAATTCAAGTTTGTGACATCCCCACTGATAATATACACTTCACGTGTAATGAAACACAAGAGGCCCCGAATTTCTGTTGCAGCTCAACGTACCTTTCCATGATGTAGATGACCAATAAGGGCAACATTTCGAATGAGCTCAGAGTTGTCCATGAGATCGGTCAAGAACCTGTTGCAAGAAATTATTGTCATCCCAACTAAAATAGCAAGAAAAGTTTTTGCAGCACTTACTCGAGGTCAAAGGTTGTCAACGGTAAATCCTGTTCAACGTATGAAAACTTTCTGTGTTTTATTGGGGCGATGATTGGTTCTGAAATAAAAGCAATGTAGCATTCAAAGACGAGTTCCTTTTCGTAAAGACTGCTTCAAACGTTTGCGCTCGAGTGTCCGAAGCTGTTAACTGCGTTACGACGGCTTGTGACCGCTTATGACGAGAAGACACACTCATCTGCTTATAATTACACTGAAGGTCTTGCAGCATTTGTGAGATAAAATTTATGCCCTATCTATGCAAAATGGTCACTGATAACTAGGATTCTGTGTTTTCGGAGTTCATTTCTCAGCAAATTTGGAGGGTTTTACGCAGTCATGGGCACGTTACCAGTAAAAAGTAACAGTGTTACAGTTACAGTTACCTAGGAGGAAAAAGTAACTCTGTTACAGTTACAGTTACCGGTTTCAAAAAGTAACGTGTTACAGTTACAGTTACTGCAAAAACAGTAACGCCGTTACTTTCGCGTTACGGTACAAAAATTGGACACAAAAAAAGCACAAACTAAGACAATATTATTTTATTTGTTACACTATACACGTTTGCAAGTCCTGCTTCTGGGCGCTGCCATCTTGTTCGACTGGGGTGCGCTTGGACGTCGCCGTAATCACATTACGAAGCCTTGCTAAAGCGTTGTAATCGGATTGTGGCCGCGCCCAAGAGCGCATCCCACTGAGCAAGATGGCGGCGCCCTGAGACAGGACTTGCAAACGTGTATACACGTTTGCAAGTCCGGCTTCAGGGCGCTGCCATCTTGCCTGTCTGGGGTGCGCTTGGACCAGTAATAATCCGATTACGAAGCCTTGCTAAGGCGTCGTAATCGGATTATGGCCGCTCACGAGAGCGCACCCCACTGAGGAAGATGGCGGCGCCCTGAGACCGGACTTGCAAACGTGTATAGTGAGAAGAAAGGTAAACTGAGAAATTAGAAAATTTTAAACCCGAAGGGTGTTTCTTTTTTGCGCCATTCGCCGTTTCAGCATTTTGATGCGCAAAATTTATTTGCAATAATTGTTATAACTTAGAATCAACGGTTTTTAAAAATTGCCATCGACACGCGCCAGTGAGCGTTTTCGTTCATTTTTCACTCCGAAACGAATGAGGACAGATAATGTCACATAATAACCTTATGGAATATACTCGGTCGGAAGCAGGCCTAAACATAGCAGGTCAAACAGCTTCGGGAGAATAAAGGGGGAAAGGAGACAATTAGCTTCTGGTGCACTACATGTACGACGACCACCGCGGCGTCTTTGTCCGAAACGCCAACTGTAGAAGTCATATTTACTCGAGCGGCTCAGAAGAGAATACAAGCGCCGGCTTTTTGCACAATATGGGGACGGCTTCCTTGAAAACTTATAGGGGTGAGGAAACGGCGATCGGCTGGGTGTAAAAACGACAGTCCGAACATGCCCCAGACACAGCCCAGATGGAGCGCTCGGAGACATCGCGCGACCATGACACCCACAGACGGTCCCCACAAGAGAAGAGTGAGCCAAAGTCGATGAAACAGACATTGTTTGCCGCCCCTACAACCGCGGGCGCCGCTTCCTTTATTTCCCGGTTTCGTGCTGACTCGTCTCTCGTCCATTCTCAGTCGTGGGCTAAACCAGGCAATTTTTTGTTTCTTTAATGCGTGGCCACGCTTCTTTTTTTTTCTTTTTGTCAGCGAGGAGTTTTGAGAAAATGCTTCAAGATGGCAATTTCACAATGTCCTGGGCAGTAGGTTCTAATTTATATAGTAAAACAAAAGTAACTGTAACGGCCTAAACAGTTACAGTTACCCAATAAAAAAGTAACACTGTTACAGTTACAAGTTACCAGTTTTAAAAAGTAACGCGTTACAGGTAAAAGTTACCGAAAAAAGTAACTAGTTATCGGTAACGCGTTACTAGTAACTAGTTACTGCCCAAGACTGGTTTTACGGAGCCTATTTTCGCTTTTTGCTAAAAATTTGGGGTTCATCGGAGGTTATATTTTGTTAGATTCCCAATTTCTTTAAATTCTGAGTTTATTTTACCGTGTTTGAAATCTTAAAAAAGAATTAAGAAAGAACCAAATATGGTGCGTGTGCCATAACCCGTTGTCCTGAAGGAACTTTGATGAGCTAAAAGGCTGTGTCGGTAGTTCCGAGATTTCAAAAAAAAAAACTGAAGTGGCATTTTCTTGGGACTACTGACCCTGTACTCTTATAAATTTAATTGAAACTAAGGTCATATTTACTGCCCACAATGCGCAAAGAAACGACAGCGATAGCTGTAGCATGGTCGCGCAATGCCGATGGAATGGTGTCGTGATGGCCAGTCTCGCCTCTGGCCACCACGAGAGAAGAGAAGTGAGGAACTCCCCTTTCCCCAGGATTCTCTATTGTGTGTCCCAGATGTAGCTACTGTCCCTTTACAAGATTATAGAACAGGCGTGGCCAAGCTGTGGCTCACGAGCCGCATACGGTTCTTCACGTGTTAAAGTGCAGCTCGCGGCCCCCCCCTCCCCCAAAAAAAGAAATGGAACGCGTTTTAAATCGCAAGACAGGTTGCAGTTCGGTAGTCCTGTGCTGCTGCTGCATTACATACAGTTGAACTGCTTTCGATCCAGATAGATTGAAAGTAGTTTGAGTTTCTTTTATTGCTCTGGACAAAAGATTTTTCCCCCCCGTGGCTCTTGGAAGTTTCGTGGTAGTGTTTGCGGCTCTTAGGCCGGGACATCCTGGCCATTCGTGTTATAGAAGATCAACCCTTCACTCAAAATTCGTACAAAAGCAGTTTTGGGGTTAGTTGCTTCGGCCGCTTTGGTGGCTGGAACAGCTAGGATATCCTGCTAACGTCAGCCTCGCCACAGCTTTGCTCGTCCCGAGACAATCTATGTCACAACTGCACCGGATGTCATGTGCTCTCCACTGGCTGCTCTCCGAGCGTTTGCCAGAGTGGGCAGTTTATAACGAAAAATACAGCCATCAGACTCAAAATACAAATAAGCGATTGTCATTTATGGATATCGGGGATCATATTCAACCTATTTCTGAACACAACAGGTATATTTCAAATTTCATTGAAGTATACCAGACAGATGGCACCTCTAGTATGTCCCACCATTCGTTTTGTGGCTTTTCTCATCCAAGTAATTTTAATTTCAAAGCTGACTCAAAATGCACTAAAAAAAAGTCAACAAAATGATCATATTTCTGGATTTCCTTAAAAACCTTCAGCGCTCTAAGGGGTCCATTCAAGGGTTGTATGACCCTCATTACATCTTTATAATGAACCACAAAAATAATCAATACTCTGGTGCATTCCTGGAACTCAGGTTTATGTAGCGAAATTTGCGCATTGAGTGACGAGCAGGAGAATCCCTTATTAATTCAGCGAGGCCAGCGGAAAACTTTACAGAGTCGTTCACTGCAAATGCATTCTTCAGCTTATTGTCTCTTTAAAAACCAGCTGATCAGCAAACTCTAGCTGGCAAATCTCTTAAATTTGTTCGGAGTTAATATGTCCGATTATACTGGGTTTGGAACCAAACGTGCCTTTTGCCATGGAGTGTTTGTTTGAGAGGGGTGGGGGTATTCTGCTGGCGTGCCGGGGGCCGCGTTACATTACCTCGCAGGCCGGATCCAGCCCACTGGCCGCCAGATGCTGACCCCTGCCGTAAGTGATTAAAAGCAGTTGAAATGCGGTCGACTATTATCAAATGCAAATGTATGAACCAGCCCTATTAAATGCTGCTCAAATTTCATGAAGACAAACTCGTTGTTAGTGATATGCGAGGAAGAGAGGACCATTGCCAAAGCACAGGAGGCCTGAGGGCAAGCGAGCACGAAACGAGGCACCGAGAACACAAACCGGTCAGCGGCTGGGCATCCTCCTCTTGTACGATCGTCTCCACATCGGGACCGTACACCTCCACCGCTGAAGGGTAATATTTTTTGTCTTCGTGCAGGACGACTTGCATGTCACCCATGTCGTCGTCGTCTCGGCCCCCGTCCATGTCTTCATCCTGTTCATAGTGTTCTCGTTCAAAATCTGCTCTTCTCATCAAGAGATGAGGACCAGCGAAGACATGCCATCTGGGGGGCTATGTTCGACAAATGTTTCGTTTCTCCTAAAAAGAAACGGAAGTGGCTGAAGCGACGATATCGCTTCTGATTGGTTAGACTCTCAAATGACGAAAGTTCCCTTTATCGTCATTTGAGCCTCTAGCTAATCAGACGCGATATCGTCAGTTCCGTCACTTCCGTTTCTTTTTAGGAGAAACGAAACATTTGTCGATCATAGCCCCCCTTGGGTCTAAGTGTCTTACCTCCTGAAATTCTGGGGCGTCTCCGTCCTGCCGCTCGTACCTCTCGTCCTCGTCGTCATCTGAATCACTCTCGAGCTCGGGCCCGATGTAGTTGCCGAACTCGTCGTATAAATCAGCGTCCATTATCGCTAAAAGGAAGAGAAAATATATTCAGACAGGAGCGGCAAACGACGAACACCTCGAACAGAAATGTCAAATATACGCCGTAAGCAACTGTATTTATGTTCGAGCGTCCTTCGCTGGCTAGAAGATAACATGTTTTTTTAAGCATGCGGTGCGGCGGAAAATTCCTGGATGATTTCGTTTAGTCTTCGAAGGTGTCTGTCGCGCCGAGGAGTCTATGACAAAAGCGCGGAGACACTTCATTTGCCTCAAATTATGAGCGCGAATCAAAAATACTACGTGTAGCATTCGTTTACACGAACACAATTGGCTAAGAACTTCTGTTCTGATAATTTTTAAGCATACTTTATGTAACACAAAATTAACCCGGAGATAAGAGGGTTTTTTGTCGGAAGCACAAGCGCGATCCCGAGTACCGGCGTTTTTAAACGGTTTCTCTTTACCGAATTTCGGTTCGTTACGACCAGTACGTCATTGTCTATTAGACGTTAAACTTTGCGATTCTAGTACAGATCGGACTAATCATATAAACTGACAATAAATAAGTGTCTTACAAACATCTCAACTTACGGTATTCAGGGTATTCAGCGTATTCAGTGTCATCAACGCGAAAACGAAGAACATGCGTTATCCAATGTACCCAGACGCAGCACAGCACGAACCGACATCCGTCAAACTTGACACAACAAAAACCTTTTGTAATGTGGTCGTGGCGACAATTGAAGCGTCAACTCAAATTTAAAACACGAGGTATTTTTTGTAGTATATTTTATGCCGTATTAAATGTGGACCAATGACTCAGCACAGTGAAATGACTCGAAATGTTCCATTCTCGCGTTGTTCCGAAAGGGGGCTTGTGCCTATGACGTCATTCCCTTCGCAGATGAAGGCGTTCCTCGAGCGCGGGAGCGCGCGGGCTTTGCGTCGATGTGTACTCCCGTATTTCCACCGTAATGTGCCTTGAATTTGCGATCGCTGACGTAAAATGTATTCAATCGCGTGCGTTCTTTTGTCTGCTGTGCAATCCCATTTGAGCTCTCCAATTCGGGCAAGTATTCTGTGTACGTAGACCCCACTCCTATCATCTAGTTGGCGGGAAGTTCTCCACCTTGAGAAAGGACATTCCCGAATGCTTTGTGCATAGTCACTAAAAAAAAAAAAAAGTTGTGCGTCTGTCTGATAAGAGTTAAGCTATTATGATATTAATATGATGGGCCTACAGCACTAACATCTGAATCTACGGCTGATCGATCGGTCCTTCAGGGGTAAGTGCGTTCCTACACCCGGTTCGAATTTCCGCGTTCGTCCCGTTTTAAACTGTCCTTTCTTGTATGACTGTTTTCTACTATTTCAGTGAGATGAACAAGGTGAAGTCTGACGCGCCAGCGCAGTGCAAACCACTGGAAAAGCTCAAATTCTTCTTGGATTTCAAGGGCCACCGACCCCAGACCCAGCTCGTTCGAGACTTAAAGAACCTGGGCGCTGTAAGCTCTCTGAAAACTTGTTTTTAGTTCGTTTCTACATTCTTGTGTGTGGTTACACCACTTAATCGGCTTAGTAGGTTAGCTGATGCCCATATGGCCTCTATCATATCACATGAAAAAAAGAAAAATGCTGAAAGTGCAGACATCTCGGTCGCGCTTTTACTCGTGTACACCAGTCCTGCGTTTTTACCGTCATGTTTACTATCACATGAGTTTGTTATATCCAAGAAAACAGTAAAAATGAACAGCCACCAGGAAGATACAATCATCATGTGCAGTATGTGCATTTTAAGGGCAGTGTATGCATACCTCAAAAAATAAATAATCCAGCTCTGCTTGCAGGTTGTGGAATCTTTCTTTGGAAGAGACGTCACCCACGTTATCACTGACAAGCAAGACTGTAAAGCATCACGGAAACCCAACTCTGTTGATTCCAGCGGTCAGACAACGAGCCCTTTCTCGAACGAGTAAGCGATCGACTGTCTACAAACACCAGCCATCTCTGGCTACCCAAGAGACTTCCCTTCCGTTCGCTCCATTTCCGCAAGCCTTACGAGCTTGTCTATGTAAAATTTTTTGGGACGATGAAATTCTAGGGAAATCGCTAAGTTACAGATTTAGCGAGGTTCTTCTACTATGCTATTCATCATATAACATGGGATGGGTTCTCTTACAGGAGTATTAAAAAATCTCCAACAAGTATCGTGCTAACCAGTTCTTTAGCTATCCACCTGTATCGTAAAGTACTACATGGATGTTACAAGGAGTGGTGCTACTGTGGAGATTATTTGTCTTCTCATATGACCGGAACTTCACGGAGACGTAAATCACCAACAGCGCCTTCTAATGCCGCTTTTAAAAGAGGGTCTATAAAATTTGAATTCTTGATGAACACTCTTTCTTTTTTCCAGCCTTGTGTAATGAATATCCTTATTTCTATGCAGGTGTAGCCATGACCTGCCATGCACCTCTGCTTCCATGGATGCAAAGGTCGTACCTAGAATAGTAAGTAAAATTGAATATGGAGCAGGAAATGAGAGCTTGCAAAAGGTTTTGCCTCATATTTTGTTTGGCACTCTGTGTAAGAGGCACTGGTTCAGCCCACATTTCTTTAAGTTTGATGGAGAGTATAGCCTGATCCACATGGTGCAATTTTACTTGCGATTTTGCAGTTGTGACGCCGCTCTTGGGTAAAAAAAAAGTGTGGCCGGAGCAAATGCGCTTGACGTCGCAAGTGCGAGACTGCAGGCAAAATCTCATCATGTGAATCGTGCATACTCTTTGTGTCTTGCAGGAAATCTCAGCAGATCGGTAGTTCAATTCGAAACAAAAAGGAAGCAACAGAAGAAACATCCAGGGGAAATTTTTGGAGGCTGCTGTTTTAATTGTGAAGTTTCACATGGGAACTTGGGATTAAGAACTGTCTACTGCTAAGGGACATGCAGTATAATTGCTCATATTGACAGAAATTTCTAAAGATGATATACACCTTCCCAAGAAACACTCGACCCCAGGGGCAACAAACCGTTCTCGAGCCCAGTCATTGGCTTTGTGGCTAGAGTCTCACTGGCGGTCCTCCTAACCCTAACCGAGTGGACTGTGATTTCGATAGGCGCAGTTTCAATCTCTGCTGGTGGCGAAATGCTCGTCCTTTCCCGCTGTATTTTTTGTTTCATGGTGTATGTATTTTCCCAAGAACATCGACGAAGCATTGTACCACATCTAAAAACACAAAAAAGCAGAAAAATTAAAAACTATTTTAGTTGGGATTGCGCAGCGCCACCCAATTAATCGCATGTCAAACGGCAAAGCGCTTAGCTGTCTAAAATAAGTTACAACAAAAGATTGCCGAAAGGCATGCATTTTTCACGCTCACAAATAATGTGTTTACCGACGGACAGGACACATACATACAATTTAGCAAGTGTTAACATTCAAACAATATATTGTATGTACCACACGATGCGGCGTTATCTGAAAAGAATTTATTCGAGTCAAATAACACAGTCACAGTCGACGACAGCCACATCTTGACGATCAGACGGAATCCAAGCTGACTTCGTTTTGGGGAGAGCTTCCCTTTTTTCACACCAGCACCAAGGCAAAGGAATGAATGTGACTAACCCATTTCCCCCTCCAACCTGGACAACTATTTTTGGAGATGACTGCGAAGGACTCTATGCGGATTATCTCTGGGAGGGGGAAAGAAGAGTTGTCATCGTTCGCGAAATCGCATCGAGGGCCGTTCCCTACCTTCGTTTCCTGTGAATGTCGAGCAGAAAGGCTTGAATGGCAGGCATTTACCGGCCCTATTTCTCACACTGGAAGATAACACAGAAAGGATACGCAGCATGCATCACAAATGCTAAGTGAAAACTCTCAAGAGGGGCCAGAAAACGTTGAATGCAAAATTGCAAAATTTAGGTAGAGAATCGCGCTGAGCGGGTTTTCATAGTCCAAGAGAGTGAATTTCTAGCTGACAGAGGGCGCAAAAATTGCACCAGCCGCATCAGCAACATGGCAGCGGCCTAGGAGCGTTTTTTGGAAAGGTGTATCTACCGCAGTTATTGAGAGTGGCTTTAAAGGGGCCCTGCAAGGACTTTTTTACTGGTTTTTAATTTGCACCGAACCCGAGCGCACTGAATGTGGTAACTTAATGAAACTTTTCTTTTTCTCGAATTTCGCTCCATTTTAAAAAGTTATAAGCAAGTTAAAATGACAAAAACAAGCAAAAAATAACCTCCTTCATGACGTCCTTGGTTGCTTGAGTGGCCGTGTACTAGAGGGGTAGTGAGTTCAACGAGCGCTCACGGCTGCTGCACTTCGTGTTGACGGCTTGAGAGGGCACCACTAAAGCATCTGTTGGATAGGCTGTGTGAAGCGGGCGGCAAGGGCGGCTCGCATTGCATTTGCTGCGCGATTAAACACTAATTCGGCATGACACTTCATTGGCCACAAACAACAGCAAACACGGGGTGAAGATTAGTTCAGAATGGGAGCCACTTTGCGTTGCCCTACCGCCAAATGGTCCAACCGTAAGCCAAACCTGCTCGCCGAAGGCCTTCGGAACCGGTCGGATCCTCGAGCCCGTATGCGACCGCAGCGCCGTCACATACATCCAAGACCTTTCTACACTCGCCGCTCGTCAGTACTTGATCCCACCACCCCTTTCTAATAGGCGCCGCCTTTTCCACCGTTCGGTGGCGGGTATGTTGACGGGTCGTTTCTTGTTTCCACACTTTATAAACTGCATTTGTTTCTTTTCTGATCTAAAATACTGAACAAAAACTACTTTCATAAATAATTAAAACAGTTTTCGCCACTTATATTTTGTATTTCGACTAAAATGAAGCTTTTAGCGGCTCTGACCAGTAGTAAGCCCAGGACCAAAGGCTTCACTTATTGCGCGCTTTCAGCACCGCGGGTCGCCCCCGTAGGTGGAGGAGGTTTCCGCGTCGTCTGGTTAAAAAATGACGCTCTGATATTTAGTTACTCTCTCCGTGTCTGCTGGCTTGCCCGAACCCCAAGAGATGTGGAAACCGCAAAAAAGGTAGGCGCTTAAATATGATTGCAGGACCCCTTTAAAGGGCAACTCAGCTTAATTCTGAAAGTTTTGGAATTATTAGTGATTTCACTTTATAAAGCGCTAATAAAAAGCACTTCATTGTTTGCTTCGCAAAAAAGGGGATATATTTTGTGAAATCTTATTTTAAACACGGGCAAAAACCAAAACTTCGGCTCTGTCGGGCAACATTGGCCTCGAGCCGACATGGTACGGCGGTCATGTGATCCTCTACGCGACGACGGGTGGAACCGGGCAAGCCACTGTTGGGGCAAGCGCGTGCGAGGTGCAAGTGTCTTCTGCACTGCAGTCTTTACCGCGTTTTGGTATCTACAATATCCGACAACATCCGCACAATAGTGGCATCAGTCTTTGCACGTAGTGTGTATGAAACTCCGAGAGACAATCGTAAACGACGCAACAATGACGGCGGTTGGGACGCGGGAGTCTGCAGGACGGCTCCCAAGGCTGAGAAACGCTGCATAGGCGCGTTACGCCAGTCACGTAGACACCGCCGAGTGTTAAAAGAACATCTTGCTGATGCCACCTGTTATGCTTGCCTAAAGAAGTAAAAACAAAAAAGTAGTGGTTTTGATGACGTTTAGCTCAATGTTGGCTATGCCAACACCGTTGCCTTGATCATGAAGATTGATTGTACCTCAGTTCGCCCGCTAGAGTCTGCCGATTGCAACACCTTTGCGCAACCTAAAGCTTGCCAGACCGTTTAAGAGGCATCTGGACCGAACTGCATCTGGACTGCATTGTGTCTTCCAAAACAAGAATGAAGCAATGTTGCTCACTAAATGAAGTTCTAACTCTCAAGTGACATTTTCATATTCTGCGAAAGTTCTTTGATCAGGAGAAGAGATATTGCAAAACTTATCAAGTGACCCTCATATGAAGTATGCAGTATGGTCTACTTGTCAAGCTATTATAATTTATCATATAATTTATTTTGTTCTTCAAGCAGGCAAGGGGGCAGGCCATGGTTCAGAGAGCAGTTCGAGCAACGGCAAGTATTTCTGCCTTTTTTTAGATGCAGTAGAAGTGTTTTCTGCTTACAACTAAGTTTCTTTGTTCCGTGCAGCCTGGGCATACAGACATCTTGGAACTGTGCCGCCTGTGGCAGATCAAGGTCCTCTACATCAAGAACTTTCTGCCATGGCTGCAGCAGCTGAAACAGAAAGCGCTACTCAGCAAGACGGGAAAGGAGAATGTAGCGAAAGCGAAGCAAAAGTCGGACATGCCCCAGAAACTGGTGCCACCTTTCATCAAGGTTGAAGACCCTAAGTGGTACCTATTCTTTATTTCATTGGTATCTGGCGCTCGTCGTGATGAGTAGGTCTCGCCACTCAAGAAACAGTGGACACAAGCTTACTCAGTAGTAAAACTCGCCACCATTGCACATCTCAGACTGCAGTCTGTTGCAAGTTAAGAACAGCAGGACAAGCTCCTCTCAGAAAACCTTCCACTCTTTCCACTTTAGGAGAGGAAACACTGGAGAGGAGGCAACAATTAATCGCGTCAAGCAGAGAACGTTGTGGGAGGTGCTTGTTCTGCCGTTTTATAACGGACTACTCGCAACTCCAACGCCCTATAGGTGGCGGGGCGATAATTCCAAGGTAGCGGGAGAGACGGGGTAGACCATAGATTCTCCAGGATTTCACGTGCGCCTGCTTGCCGACACTGGTCAGTGCGCTAAAAATTATTTATTTCTCTACAAATGCAAAGCAGTCTGGGCAGGAGCATATTACAGGTGACAAAGATGTTGATGTGCATTAGGAAAACAAGCATCTTGATATTTAAAAGTTGCAGAAACCTCAACTTGCAAAGCTTTGTGAAGGGCGAGCACATTTAGGGCAGCGGCTACGTCGCTGCTTGGGGCAAAATTATTTTGGGGCTGATGAAGATATTGTGGTGTTTGCACTTTGCCTGACCATTAGTGTTTTAAAAAGTGAGCCGTGCAGGGTGACAGTCAGGCTGCAGAAAGCGCAGCGTTCACAATATTGATGTCTCCGTGCCACGGGCTCACAGCTCGCTGCTCACTGTCGCAGTTTTAGTGTATTGCAACACATGATCAAACTGTGCTGTGGCTATTGATAGGAATTTTTAGGATAGTGTGACCGCAGACCACCGTCTGGTGCAGCATTGCAACCAGAAGCTCGTGCTGCATTTTTGAAACATAATCTTCAGAGCGGTCTAGGAGCGTTTCCGTGCTCACGGTAGCCTGCGGTAATGCTATGCTAAAACTGCCTATTAAGGTTATCGGTGTGTTTAGGGCCTTTATTTATTGCTCAAAAAAAATATTTTAAGATATTGTTTGTTTGTGTACCGTGTTATTTGCAACGTTTCAACCCGACTCGCCAAAACTGCCCGTTCTAGTCTCATCACAAACAGCTGGCTAACGCAGGTGCGCCTAAAATACTTCATTCATTTCTTTATTTGCCTTTGTAATTACCTGAAAACAAGTTCAGTGAGTAAATTCTGTCTTTCGAAAGTGCTTGGGGCAAATGGTCATGTTCCTTGTAACGGCCTTAAAACGCGAACCCATTCCCGATATCTACTGCTCAACATACCTTTACGCAACCAGTTTTCTTCTACTTAGGGCAAAAAATAAAATTTTCATAGACCGTATGGTAAAGCTCTACACTACTAGCGGGATTGTTGTCGTCACGTTAAGCACAGATTGAGCTGGCGACCGCAGGACCAGAAATCTGCAGCATATGCGATATATGAAAAGTCCCTAATAAAATTATACATCACGGTCCCTTCGTGCAACGCTGTTGCGAAGCGGAGCATAAGAATTCCTATTTTAACGTGCTCACTTTTTTGTTAAAACTGCTTCACGCACTAACACGTCGTCCAGAACCGTGCAGTAATAGCAGCACCAAGGCCGACAGACCCTGCCACCATTTCCACACTGCCACCGCTGCCATCCCCGCTCCTCTGGTTCTCCATTCGTCCAATAGAGGGCGAGCAGCGAGCTGGAGTTGCGAATAGTGCTTTGTGCTGTACAGTTGTGAAGCACGTTTGGCAGACACCAATTTAGTGCAAATGATATTGTAGTGTCTTGGAAGATATGTCAACATGTTACCACAAATGGTCTATTTTGAAGGCCAATTCGGCGACCGTGGTGGATTTCAGGCAAAATTAAATAGACGAGCTACTCTAGTAGCAGTGCTCAACCTTTTTCGGCGCATGTCCCCTAAGTTACATCACTGCAGGGAGTCTTGACTTTCTCTGTGACACTAGAATCGATCTGCCTGAGCCATTCTTCTGATTCACCTCCAAGTTAGGCCAGTCTGTGGCTGCATCAATTTGCATCAATTTTTGCGAGGCAAACTGCCAGCCTACAAATCCCTACTTGATATGTTCAAACTCTGGCCAAGGTGCCTGCAGTTGACGAACACTTATTGGAGTGTAGGGATCATATAAGATCTTGGTTGCACAGATGCATGCAAAATGTCCCCTTTGGTTTGATGCATAAACCCCCAAAATTGAAAGCTCAGCTATAAGCACCTAAATAAGAGCAGTTATTTTCATACTTCCAGCATCTATACATGTCTATACACAACTTTAACGTAAAAGATAGTAGACGGGACCTAAGATGCAAGGCATGTTTGTTTTGTTTCTTGTACAGCGTTTACAGACCACTCTTCAAAAGCCTCAAGCAGTGGCCAGATATCAGCACTGAGCAGTTCTCAGAGCCAATCCCAAAGACCATTGCTGTCCCTGCCCGAGAGCATGTCGCAAGCACGCAAGCAAAAGGAGTGCTGCTCACGTAAGTCATGGTGGGCTGGGTATGTGCTTTTCTATCATTAACATACTTCTATTCACAGGCTTGACACAGCCAAGGCCATGCCCAAGACAACCCCCAAGATCAAGGTCACAGAACAAAAGAAGTTCAACTGTGAAATCTGTAGTTGCTCTTACCTCTGCCTGCAGAAGGTGTGTGCACGTCGCTACTTGCTCTTCTGCATCAACTCTCGTGCACACCTCTTCCTCGCTAGCCCTGCCCCCCTTCTCTGCTTCATTTGATCTTCCTGTTGGTTCATGCACTTGGTTTCCCCCATATATTAGAAATTTTTCAGTCAGGATTGAAATAGACGTGTTTCTAAGTTGGATCTATAATTTTTTGAGTTCTCGGTCTGAGAGGTTTTTGTGCCACGACCGAGTGCGAACATTCCTTCAAGTGACAACACTAGACCTTGCTTGCTACTTTGAGCTATGATGACCTAGATTGAGCTCCCACAACATTGCTTGTGTTTATTATGGCTTATCTACAAAGAAGCCTCTTCCCCTCTCTTTCTACCGGCACCTTTTGTTTTCTCGAGTGTCCTATGAAGAAATCCTCTAACCAAGTCTTCAACAGGGCGCACTATGGTTCTTCCGAAAGAAGTGGATTGTGAGAGGCAAGGCTCTAGTCATAAGAGGCAAACGAAAGTGTTTTTGGGTTCTCTTCATACTGGCTATCACTTTCTAACTTGCACGATTCCCAGTTGGGAATCGTCTTGTCTGCCTTTGCGTTTATGTTCTTCCCATTGTTTATATTACCTTTACCAGCATGCTCTCCATTCCAAGCAGCGCGAGGTTGTGCATTCCCTACAAATAGTAAAGGGTGCCCTTTATTTGCCAAATGTGGTCACTATTTATCTATTTTTTTTCTATATTGAGTCATAACGGCAGTCACAGTGTTAAACTGAAACATTCTAAAGAGAAATCAAAGCCTGGAACATTTTGGCCTCTCCATTAATTGGAGGCAAGTAAATTCCGGGAGAAGTGGCCACTATGTCTGCACATGTACTCCGCAAGTTGCCAGCCTCTCGTGACAAAACATGGCTTATCTGTGACATTGTCACAGCATGCTTGTGGTCATGCCTACCTGTCGTTTCATAGGGAAATAAATTCAGTGTGCCGCAGGAGGCACGTGCTCGGCAGCAAGGCCACCACAATGACAGCTAATGCGACATCAACGTAGGCCACGTAGCAGTGTTTATTATCAGAATAATTTGCCTATTCCGGTCTGCCGTGATACCTTTGCTGCGCCGAGAGCCCACATTGGCCCACTCGCAAGCCATGTTCCCAGCCAGTCTTTCCTCCTGCAACACGCATCCCTTATTTTTTACAGCACTTGGAGTCCGAGAGGCACCAGGAGTTCATGAAGAACGCCAGCAACTTCAGCGTGCTCGGCGAGCTCATGTCGACACTTCGTTGCAAGGCACGCGGCCCGCTCACCGAGATCCACCTTCAGAGCAGTGCATCCTCAACAGACAGCGGTCCCAGCGACGAGTGTGGCAGGAAGCTTCCCACCTCGAGGGCAATGCTTTCCGTGAAGGGCGAGCATTCCGGCATCGTCGTCCAGTCAACTTACTGCGGCAGTCTCTCGTCTGTCAAGCATCTCAAGGTCGTTCGGAGACTCACGGAACCCCTCGCAAAAGCAACCCCCACGTCACCAAAGAAGGTGCCCAATCCAAGAAAACGACCGCTGCTTCGTTCGGACATTGGGCTGTCTGCAACTCGCGATGACGGAGACACCAAGCCGAACGTTTGCTGCAGCGACCCCTTCAATGTCGAAAAGGCGGATCACTTGGTACCCCCCAGTCATTCAACGGACGTAGATGCCACGGAGAATGGCCTGCTCGCCAACGTGTGCGTCGAAAGCAGTGCGGCAGACGGCAGAGTTGCAGCAAAAGAGCAGTCGAATTTCGTGGAAAATGTACAAATCGGAACCTTCCGGGATCTGGTCTCAAAACTGGTGCCCGAGAGCCAGCGCGAACCGTCGACAATGGAGTACTCGTGGACGGACGTTGCGAGCGGGTTTGCCGTTGAGTCTGGGCTCTCCAGGAAGCGTCATGCGACGGGGTCCGATTACAGCGACGACTGCTCGTTTTCCAAGATGATATCGGCTATTAACTTTCAGAATTTTTCCCAGAGATCGGACTGTAAAGACGCGTCCGACGTCGATCTCAACGGACTTGCCGAAGGGACTCCGAGCGACCATGCGCAGCTGGACAGCTCACTCTGCTTTTGACCACCGTTTGACTTTTTAAGTTGTAATTTCATCTTCATTGCAATTTTCAGATGTGTGACTAGAGCAGGATTGTGTAATAATTGACACTTTCATGTTCTTTATACGAGTGGTGTTTTTTTCTTCGGGAGGGGGGGGGGGGGGGGGGGGGACTTTTTAAGACCACCCAATTGTTTATTGTTTCGCTTACTCAGAAGACACTGTAGGGTTTATTTATTTAATAAAGATCTCGGGCTAACTTCATGTTCATGAAGATGAACCTTTTCATTTTTAATGTCCCGCTCCAGCCAAAATTGTAAAAATGTACTTGTTTAGAGGTATCTGAACAGCAGTAACAATATCTTTTCTTAACATCTCCAGGAGAAGCTATAGTAAGACCATTGTTTTGCCTTCTCCATAGATTCTATAAATGCCCCATAATGTTGGGGGATGATTCCCCTCATCTTGTACGCTCCTTTTTACGACCATTCTCTCTCTCTCTTTCTCTATTTGGGTTAAAGGATAACCAAAAAGGAGGTGGCATTGGGTGATTGATTTCTTGTCACTTCATTTAGTGACAACAAAGCTTTTTTTGGCCAAGTGATTAACTTGTAATTACATTTCTTATGATAAATTTTGGCAATATGACTACACTTGAGCTTGCTTATTGTGGAAAATATGTGGTGCTCGTTATATGGGCAATGTGGACATTGTTGAAGTATCTTAACAATGTCAACATTTCGGTCTCATGACTTGTTTTAAGACTAGAACTTTTGGGGACAGGTTAGAGCATTGACAATTGACTGCGGCGGATGCACCGCGCCACCAAAGCCAATCGAATGCCATGCGAGTGTTATGTGACCATGTTACATGGCCTTCGGAAGAAACGCAGCAACATGCGGGTGCATGGCCCTGTGATGCGTTCACAGTGCTGGATTTTCAAGGATGGCTGAAAGCATCCAGTACCGATGAATAATAATTCACCGCTTCACACAGTCACAGTGAAACTTGTGATGCTGGGCCTTGTCTCACCTGTGAACTGGTATTTCTAAATTAAGATTTTCGTAAATTTCACATGCTCCGAGCTGGTGTGCGCTAGCCCACTCAGCCACCAAACCCACTTGCCTGCGCTCTATATCCAGGCATGATGTGCATGAATTCCGCTACCGTCAATTTAATTACGACAAGCATCATACTGGCTTGCACGCACGTAATCACTGCTTAGGGATCTATGTTGGCAGTCTTAATCTTATATAGATCATTCCAATAATCGCTTTCCGCGTGCTGCTATCTTTGTCTGCTGGAATGTGGAACGTATGCCACTTGTGCACAGTAGCGCTTTTCTGCAGAATATCGGATGCCGCACGTGTCCAAGCCAAGTGACTCGCCATTTTTTTGCCCAAGTGGTGAGCGATGGGATAGGTATAAGGCCAACCACGTTCCCATTGCCACAATGTCCGTACAACAAGTTTGACTTCTGCTTCTGCCACAATGCCAGCTGACACAGTCCGGCAAAGGTTCTTTTACCATCCTCCCCGTCTCCTTTTAATGCGAAAGCATTAACTGTCCCGTGGAGCGAGCCAGTCTTATCAGTTTTTCAAGCCATGCCAAACAGCTCCTAAATTCCCTTTTCCCATGGAGCGAAGTCTAGTCTGTAGCAGCAAATTGGCGGATAACCTCCCATTGGCTGGCACGCCACATAGTTCCAAGGAACGCCACCCCACACTCCATGGCGCCGGGAGGATCAGAGGCGACCGCGGCATGAAGAATGACATTCATGCTTTCGCATTCACAACTCGTAAGAAGTGCTTAGGTATCCTCGGAATGTTTCTTGTTCCCATGTCCTCATATGTTTTGAATACTCAAGTTGGGAGCTCTGGCCCTAGGTTCAATCCCTGGCCCTGCCAGTTTCGATCTGATTAAAGAGCAGCGTACCGGCGTGCAGTCGCATATCACTACTGCGTAATGCACGTCAATGACGCCAGTTTAGCGGCCGTACCACACTAGCTAAATTTCTTGTGCACATAGTGAATCGGTGTCGCCGCCACATCTCGAAGGAAGGAGGACAATGCTCATGTCCGATTTTCTCCACTTTTTTTAGTTTCATACCAATGGAATTTCCTGCTGACCCACGCTTGTAGCTTTTTTTTATTTCTTACTCTCTGCCATTTTTTCTGTCCTTAGTGAGAGGTGTGCCCAGTGAAGTTATCCCTGGGGTGAGTACATCTACTCAATATAAGTTTTGTTCCATCTATACCTTGTTTCACCGCAAGTTGGAGCAGTCGGAAGCTAGGAATAAATAAACATGGACACTTGCACTAAAAGTGTAAGCTCGTAGCGCATTCACTGCTCTTGACTGGTTTAGCAACAGCAAGTTTGTCTTGGGTCTACCTTATAAGCTTTTCATAGAGCAATATGCTTGATACTATTATATTCTAATTTTGAACTTACGGTAACTTTATTTAATTCTTGTTTAGGTGTGGTTCACCTGGACGGGAGGCAGAGGCAGAAGTCCGTGAAGCGTGACGAGAGCTGCACCCCCCCAGTGTTCTTGGTGCAGGTCAGCCAGCAATCGAATGTAAACAAATAAAAGCCCCTCTACTATTCCTTTCCACTCTTTTCCGTTTTTATTAATTGGGCATTATCAAATATGTGTGACACGGCCTTTAATACTAATTGACCTATTCAGTAGTATGAACAGGGATCAGCTAATGGGAACAAACCTATGATGGCAGAGCTGAACTCAACCGTGCATTATCAAGGCACTATGTTCCTTTACAGAATCTGTTCGTAATGCACCCCCCCCCCCCCCCCCCCCCCCCCCCCCCCCCATCTTGTGCATTCACACCATAATTGTCTTTACTTGTAAAAAAAAATGTAAAGCACACATTATTTTTCTTTCGAGATGGAAGCCCATACCTGAATGAAAAAGGGCTCTGAAACTTATTTTTAATTGTATGTATCGTGAGCACTACACTTTGTTTTACTTTGAAGTGCCAGTGTTGCACAAGCTACAAAAGTGAGCTCCGGGCTTTCAGCGTATCTGCCAGGCATGCGCACTCGTGCAGTGCAAACCTCTTTTACAGCAACATGCCCGTGCTTGTAGCTTTGGCTTCTGTAATTGTAACTTTAATTGCCATGAAAAGTTGTTTTACATTAAAGCCCTAAAATATTATTTGGTGATGGTGATGGCAGTCTTAGAATCACTAATGGGTGGAATGGTGCTCGCACAGGTGGTAGAGTTTAAATACGAGGAGTTTATTGCAATGTATTACAGACAGAAACGCCGCTTTACCTGTAAGATAGACATTCGTGGGGCTGTTCCTTTTGGGAGAAAGACGAAAGCGTTTTTAAAAATAAATTGAATGAAGATGGATGAATGAATGGGAAATGTGTCATCAAAGAGGCGTGGGGGGTTTGCCAATGCCGGTGGAACCCCTCGCCGGTTCCCCACAAAGCGTGCAGGCACATTCCGTTGGGTTCTGATACTGTTTCTGAATCTTGGAGCCGTCTCCACAAGTGAGTGTCACCGTTCTCTGGACGGCACTCATGATTGTGCAGCATCTGCACGAGCTCGTGAAGTTGTTGGTGTCTGAAATGGAGCAACAAAGAACGGAGAAGTGGTTTGTTAAGACGTCTAGGCATCAAAACAAGCCAAGACATGGGCTTCACCTTTTTTTTGTTAATATAAGAAACCAACTCTGGCTTCAGGGTAAGTGCCGCATCAACAACTTTCTGGCTGGTGGATTCAGACCCTGACCAAAAGACCTGCAATTTGCTGAAGGCCGACTAGAGTCTAGATTGTCTACCAGATTCGGTTAGATGTCAATGATTTTTCTATGTGGACTATATTAATCCTTAGTTGTTCTCTCGGGCAACCCTTACATTGTGTCTCAATTTTAAATGTCAGGTGTAGAAATTTTATTTATAATATTTATTTATTTGGAAAAACAGCCTAAAACTATTAATTGAAAATAAACACTTGTTTGTGCAGTATGAACAGGTAACACAAATCAGTAACGGTTGTTAATTAATTGAACAAAAAATCAAGTTAAATCAACTCAAATCACTTCCTGAAAAAGGTGATCCCATGTTAATACTCATAGTGGCAGACTCGGACACTGCATTCTATTAGTAGTAGTATGATGTACCAGGTTATAGAGAAAATGAAACTTTGTTTTTTGGCCCGCATAAAGCACTGCAGAAAGCTTAACCAGACTTAACGCTAGCTGTGATGATAAAATGTGAAAGTTTGATCCCATGACGTTGTACCGGGATTAAAAATACAAAAGTAGAACAGAATTGCTCTATGAGCTGATGTCTACCTATGCCAGATTACAAAAAAAAACAGTGCAATAAAAACATTGAGGGACGGAGAAGAGTACACAGACGGAGCACTAAATGTCAACTGTTTATTTTGGAAGTAATGGCATCAGTGTGCGGACACCAGACAAAAAATACATAAAATCACATGACCTTTCATATTGAAACTGCTCGAAAACACAAGCTCACAGTCATGAAGAGTAACCGAAGGCGTGCTAATACAGATCTCTTGATTCCTCGAAATAAAGAATGGTCTCAGTTATCTGGGTTGCTAAACTCGTCACACACAAAGTTGGGGCTGAAGCTCACAGAGCGTGCTGATTGGTCTCTCGCAACGATGGCATCACGTGGGACGAGATTTCAATCATCCAAACTCTCTTGGTGTTAGAATTCCAGCAAGATTGTGAAACGCAAGTGGGGCCAGGCGATTGAACGGCTGCACTGATGACATCGCGCCTGCATGTCCCTGCATCCCTATGCTGTGTTAGAGTCTATGCTGTCTAGATTGTACCTAGGCAGGCTGTGAATACTCCGAGCTTTCTCGTCGCGAGATCGTCGTTTTTGTAAGTTATTGGTGACGACAAAGTGACGCTTCACAACTTTGGGAAAGAGTTATTTGAGGCCAAAATCTTAGCTTCGGAATTGAGGCGAAGATTGAACTTTGTGATACTGTGGAGCTGTGCGTGGTGTATGCTTTAGAGCTCATCATCCGGCACTGTCAACAATGTCACCAAGGTCACCCAGAGGCGGTTTGTGTACTAGTGACGACAGTAGTGTTTGAGAGATAAGGAGGCGGCGGGGTATGGCGAGGAAAAACCGAGAGAAGGGAAATAAAAAGGGGTACAACCAACACGCACACGCACAAAATGGAGTGGAAAAGGTTCGGGAGAGAGGGGAGGGGGTTATCCCTTTTCCCGATTTTTTTTATAATAGCTTTCTTAAAAATATAGGCACTATATAGGAGGCTATTGTCTAAGGCTGTGGCGATCGCCTCACTCCCTCCCCCTTTATGACCCTTGCAACCTCTTTGGAGGCCACTTGGGGGGGGGGGGGGGGGGGGGGAGCGACACACTCCCTTTCTTGTCCCCCCAGTTTGACACCCCAGCTTGAAGGTGTTCCAACTGATTGGCGACGAGGAACAGCACAGCGTGCAATTTTTGGAAATAATGGTTCTAGAGGTTCTGGAATTAAAACGGTTCACATTCTATAAACTGGCCATGACTGACTTTCAAGAGAGATTCGTGCTAGAGCTCGTAGTGTGCAAGCGCATTCAGTGGCATCCTTTTAGTGTTCTTATACCCTCGACGTCAGGGTCAGGATTATCAGTTATGAGCGACAAATTCAATGGTGCGTGTTCGAATAGACAGTGACAAGTTCGATTGTGTATGATAGAAGCTTAGATTCATTGTGTTCTTAAAACATCACTGTCAATATTGACAACGTGACATTACTCTTATTCCTGTGGATGAAAGCAGAATTAATCCCAGCTTGGCTAACCTAAGAAAAAAGCAGTAAAATGGTTTTATCCTGCCGATGGGGGGACAACTGCCCGAAAGCGAAATATGCCCGAAAGTGAACAATGCTACTCAGCTGGTTCTGATCTAGCTACATTAGGCTACACTTTGATCATGTTCAAAAGGCAGATAGAAATTAAAGGAACTGCAAGAACTTTTTTTAGTAAGTTCTGCTTTATCGGCAAAATTAAGAATAATATCGGACTGTCAACATCGACGGTGTTGATTTTAGAATGCAATTATCCCAAGCTTCCGCTATGCTTTTTGGAAACCATCAAACCTGTTGGTCGCAGGTGATGAACTTTGTCGTGACATCACACGTATGAACCACAGTCCTCTCCGCGCGCCCTTGTTCTGTGCCTAGGGAGTGGTAGGGACTTTTCATCCCTTTAATGAAAACGTCACTACAACAAACAAATCTGCGAGTTTGTGAGAAAAGAATATTCCGCGGCAATCTTTCGGCTCCTTCCCTTATAATGTCATAACGCGAAGAATCTTTCCGTCTGACAAGTAGCGACCCTGGTGACGATGTTGTCCCGCATCTTTCAGGTGAAACCGCAATTCTAGCTTGACAATGTCACCAGTTGACTACTAGAGATAACCGTTTTTTGTTTTTGTTTTATTTCGAAGGATCAAGAGACTTGTATCAGCACGACTTTGGTCACTCTTTATGACTGTGAGCTTGCGTTTATGGCGGTCATATGTGATCTGATGTATTTTTTTTTGGTGCGACTATGCAGATGGGCGTTCTTCCAAAACACTTGACAGTCAGCACTTCATCTGTGTACCCTTCTCTTTTCTTCATCATATTCATTATGCAGTTTTCGTCATGCATAACCAACTTGCCCAACTTTGCACTGTGTTCTACCTAAGCCTAATATTCATCAAACCAAAATTTGAGATTGTGAGCGCTGTAGCATTTATTTCAGTGAAAAAACTTGTCAGAAAGACAACATTGTTTTCTTTCTTGCTGACAGATTTTTTTCACTGGCATAATTGCTACAGGTGCCCACAATCTCAAACTTCCGTTTGATAAATACAGTGATATGTGTTGTTAATATAGACACCTCCGTTCCCCCCAAAAATCGTCCATAATGTGAGTCGTCCATAATAGTGACACAAGAATGCATGTATTTTCCCAGTTTGTCCCCAAAAATGGTGTCCATATAGTGGTGTATCCATATTAATGGGGTTCATATTAACGCGCATAACTCGATACATTGAGCTTAGGTGGACTTTGGTTCAAAGAGAAATTGTGTTTTTCTTTTGTATCTTTTCATCCAGGTAATGCCATATGCTTTAACTTTTGCATTTTATCACCACTGCTAGCGTCACATTCTGACGGAGGTTCAGGTTCCTGCTATGGTTTGTTTATGTATGCAGGCCAAAAGACTGGGTTTTGAATGCAGATTCTTTTTATTCATTACACACCCTTTTGGTTATAGTCTAGTTGGTGACAGGTTAAGAATGCATTAGAAACTGCTTCTAGCATGCACTCATTGCCTTTCATCGTTCTTTGGCTGTGTATACGGCACTCATGAGAGACCAATGTGTTATTGGAGGTAGAAAGCTCGTGCTGGAAGCGGATGCTTCTACTGCATTCTTAACCTGTCACTAACATAGGCGTGCACAGTGGGGGGTGCATGCTATGGCCCCCCCTGATGACTCCGGAGGGGTGCAAATTCAGCAAGGTTATATTTTTGTTGTGTTGCACAACAAAAAATAGAACCTTAGTGATTTTGCACCCCTCTGGAGTCATCAGGAGAGGCCATAGCACGCTTGCCCTCCCTCCCCCTCCCCCCCTCCCCTGTGCACGCCTATGGCCAACAACTATAGACCATTCCATTTAGCGCTCTCTGGGCGGCACCATTTTGTTCGACGGCATCGCCCTCTCCACACATCCGGGAAGTTCAGCAGGTTCGGCGGGGTAAAACGAGAGAGAGGGCACGCGCCCGACTCCGCTAGCAGACGACAAACTGGGAGGTTGCCGTTCTCCATCTTTGGGCTGCATCGGCGGGCTCTACCGAACATCAAACTCTATCTCGTGGCTGCCGTTGTGAAGTGGTTCGCGTTCTTAGAATAGCTGTGGCTACTCCAAAATCAGCCTATAGCTCTCTGTTGTTCTATTTTTCTAAATGATCAACTAGCATATCTTTTTTCCTTACTTAAATAGCAGTTGAGTCAGCCGGCAGTACTACTCTCAACTACTGCTTGTATTGCGGCAGGAGAGCACGTTTTATTTATTAATTCAGACTTCCACTCAAGGTCGCTAAAGGCCTACACCAGTACGAACTTTTGTATAGTAAAAAAGGTACAGCAACCGGATTTACTTTTCGCCAAAGAGACCGGCCAATCTGACACAGTTTTCCTTATTTTCTTTTTTTTTTTAATTTGCACGCAGGTAACAGCGCAATTGGACCCTGTGAGTCTTTTTACCTAGCATAATATTACACGACAACTCGCATACCAAAATCTGCGCATCTGCGCTTGAAAGTTCCAAAATGACGCGATTTTAAACAGAGTTTTGCATGCCAGCCAGACGCTAGCTACAGCCCGCTCGGCGGAGCGGACGACGTGCGGGGTGAGAGGGGGAGTGCATTTTTTTTCTCTTTTACCCTCTCTGCTATGACCCTAATGGAACGGTCTATACTGCCGTCCATAACCATCTGCTGAGAATGGTTTTCTTTTCAAAATAGTGGAAATTTAAATTTAATTACCATATTAATATCTGCTCCTTGTGGTTGTACAATGACGAACTGCTACTTAGATGAAACCAACAAAAACACTTTGCACAATGATTTCATTTATCAGGCATACTGTGCAAGAGGGGTGTGCTTGAATGAGATGAAAAAGAGTGCTCCAAGGTACAGGACAAGAGAAATTAATGCAGGACATGCACATGCTTTCATGCTTCATTACAAGTTTTTTCCATGCTTCATTACAAGTTACAAGAAGAAATAGCATACCATGTGAATAGATGGTACTTGAATAGCACTGGCCTGTGCACTCCTTAAGATCTGGAATTGGCTCAGAGTTTGAACATAATCCGCGTGATCTGTCTGACAAGGTAAAGTACTGCAGTGAGTTGGCAGCATTGTGAGGCCTACAGGAGCCTGCAAAAAGAAAGAAAACATTACATTGCATGAACATTTGTCCAAGTCGTCTCCATATACTTTTAAAGATATGACTGCAAATATTTTTTTTAACTTTCTCAAAATATTTTGTTATGAAGAGCAATTTACCTGGTGTGACTTGGCACTTTTGACAGCATCCTGTCTCGTCACGGACAATGTTGTTCTAGAAAATAGAACATGGTAGAAGCGAGTGACTAACAGCAGCAAGGGGGAGATAATATTGTGGACACAGCTGTCTAAAACGTGCAAGTTGTCACTGTTCCGTATTCCCAGTGCCATATGCTCTTTGAGAGAGATCCAGCTTCGCAATTCCACTAGGATATTGATTTTTCTTCCAGTTTGTGATCCCCCCCCCCCCCCCCTCCCCCCTTGGTCATCTGCGTGATTTGAAAAGCAGATGACACCGCTGCGCTTGCCGGCGCTCTAGCCAGCTGTGTCCACGATGGTACAGTGTTTTTCAGGTCAGTCAGAGCTTCAATGTGGCCTCACCTTGGGACAGTTTGAAGGTAGCGGGGGGCAAGTTTTCAGTGTATACTTCATCTCTACGGCACCAGATACTCCGCGAAGGCAGTGGACACTGAAGCAGGGTCTCAGGGTAGAGGTCCACTTTTCACCAACCTGGAAAGCAGAGTCCGGTTATCTTCAAGGTTTCTCCTTAAACCATTACAGCAAGCAGTTGGCGAGTGAAAGCTAACAGCCAGCTTTATGCCAATGAAACTGCTCTTAATCAGCAGGCAAACGGTCAACTGTAGATGTCGTTTGGATCTGTGTACGTATTGGGCATAACTATAGGCTTTTGTTCTCAGAGTTTATTTCTCGTCCAATTCGGAAGGCGTTTTTCTGAGTTCATTTACTGCTAAAAATTCAGAGTTTACCGAAGTTTATTTCTGCTAATCGCCCATTTTTCGAAAATCAGTTTCAATTTGCACTGTTTTCGTTTTTCAAAAATAAACAAAAATCAATATTTGGGTGTGATTGTGTGAGATTCGAAAGAATGCGCTTGTATCAAATGATATTTCTACAGCTGTTCAGCATTGGCAATACTAATCTGTCCCACTACAAAACTTGCAAACAAGTGTTGCTTCAATAAATGTCAATACCTTAAAATCACAAAACCCCTGGAGGTAGGTAGTCGCTATAGGAAGCAATTGTTTTTTTCTCATCCTATTCCATCATTCTACCCCATGTCTGCATGAGGTGGAGTGGTAGAGTGTAATTCCCCTCCTATGAAATCTCTACGGTTCATAGCTTTCACTGTTTCAAAAGCACAACTGCTCCTTCCCCCGAGAAGCACAAATATGTAGTATGGTCCAAACTGGAAACTGGAACCGGATTTTGTCATAACTTAGGAAGTATAATGACCTGTTGTCTGAATGCACCTTGATCGAGAGAGACAGTAAGGCTCTTCTTGCCGAACATCCAAGGTTTGAGAGGAAGTTAGGGTGGCATTCTCTCAGGTTCATTGACCCTGTGCTCTAACCGAACTTAATTGTAAAATACAATTTTTTTTTTCTTTTCTTTTACATTTTGACATTACGAAAATTGTAGCAGCGAGCGTTTTCTTGGGTTTTTCCAATCTATCCAAAAACATAAAATCCTTTGTATAGCTTCTAAACTACCGTAGGAGCTACATAGTACCAAAACTCCTAAACAAGATCAGGCCCATGGGCAACTTAAAGACATTTGCTGAGGCCTCATGACTGAAAACTTTTGATTACTTGTATCCCATAACATTTCATTTACTCATTTTGGTTGCAAACTTATTTAGCAGCGCGTGCTCTCAACAGTGACATGAAACTGTTGCAAGATTAATGTAGTTATAGGAAACAGAACTCTGTGAAAAAGAGTGAAGTGAGGATATCTCTGTGAAAAAAAATTAGCTATGGTATAAACCAGAATACTCCTCACGAGGACAGGGCTTACATATATATTAATGCGAAAGCATTAACTGTCTCATCGAGTGAAGCCAGCGGTGTCTGTAGCCATTGTCTGTAGCAGCAAAAAATGGCACCTAAATTCCCATTTTCCCATTGGCTGAGCAAAACGGCGCCTAAAGTCCCATAGGCTGCAACTCGTCTATATCAAATGCTTCGTCACGGAAACCAGCGGGGCTGCTCGAGTTCAAAGCGGACGTGCCTCAGAAATAAAGCACAAAGAAAAGCCCAGCAATGCAGATGCATCGTCACAGAAGCCGTGGAGCCAGGGGGTGCGCCGCGCCTGTGCAGTGGAGGAGCGTGATGTCAGTGCCAGAGTGCCACGTGGAAAAGGAAGACGTGGCACGCTCCTTGTAGGAATGCACTGCGTGTAGGAATGGTTTTGCATTCCTACACATAAGCAGTCTCGCACGCTCTCGTGAAGTGGCTGTGCCGCGCTGAGCTTGGCCGTTCAGCCTTTCCGGAGTTTGCCCGAGCGGGCTGTGCGGCCAGGCCGACACTACCGCACCTATTAAGGTGTATCCACACGACGGACCGGGCCGCGGACCGATTGATCAGGTGAATTGCGGCCTGCGGGCCGCCCGGCTGCAATGAGCGTCCACACGGCGGACCAAAAGAGCAGACGACAGAGCGAACGGCCCGATCTAACCCTCGACCTCACAACTCTGCCAAACGCATGCAGCGAGCTGCTTTGAGGCTATTTGTAAGGAGCCAAGATGGAGGTTGAACGAAAGAGACGTTTGGCCGCGGTGGTCCTGGCGTTGACTACTGGGGACGAGGAGGACTTAAGTAAACCGAAAAAGCCATGGGGACATCTTTAGATGATTATTTGAGTGGTCGTCGCGACTACTGTCCCACAGAGCGGGGAATTGCTCCATGAGCGCGATGAAGTAAAAAGTTGCATCGTCTCACAACAAAAGGTTCCGCTTCTTCGTCTTCAACAGTTGGCGCCAAAAGAAAACGACTTTTGCTTTGGATTCCAATCCAAACAACAAAAGTCAGCTTGTTGCCAGACTTAGCGCTTCAATTATACTAAAAACGCCGCGGTCCGCCGTCAAGGTCCTAGCGAGAAAGTCGCTTGGCATTTCTCAGAAGCGCGGGCCGCGGACCGCCGGCGGACCTCAAAGAACGGTGACGTAAGATCACGTGATGCGCGGCCCGCGGACCAAAACAGCAATTTGGTCTGTCGTGTGGATACACCTTTATCGGCGGCCCGGCCGCTGCGTGCACTGCGCCGCCATGGAGAGGGCTTCTCTGGTGGCGTCCCTTGGAACTACGCCGCGCGAGAGCCAGTGGGAGCCCCGTTCCTTGATGACGCACCAGCCAATGGGAGCCCATTCATCAGAGTTTTGCTACAGACAACAGGCTTCGCTCCATGGGGACAGGGCAACATGCCATTTGGCGTGGCTTCAAAGCTGATGACGTTGGTTTGCTCCATATGGGACAGTTAATGCTTTCGCATTAAAAATACCTCTTGATTTGTAACCATCACGCAGTTTACCTGGTAGAGGTTGTGGTTCTCCTCGCAAAATTCACGAAGACAGCGGCCACAGCAGTCGTTTGATCCAGGACGAGGCTCAACATATTTTTCACTCTGCAAACAAAAAATGTGGAGTGAGGCCTTGATCATTTTGGTTCATCCTGTCCTGTCTATATTTCTAGACTTTATAGTAACTGTGATTGTGAATGGAGTACATCCACAGAGACAATACTTCATTGAGGCAGTTGTACATGTAGAAAGATTGCTTCGAATAATTTAGTCAAGATTGAAGAAAGAATAAACGTGGAGGACGAAGATGACAAAACCCCATCTTTCGTCCTACATGTTTATTTTTTCTTCATTCTTGAACCGCACCAACACGCTCTTCGTCCATTAGTAATTTAGTCGTGTGAATATGGGGCTTTGAGCTTGAAGTAGAATCGAAACGGTTAGTGGTTTTGGCCAAATAATTTTGAATTGAATATCGATTAGTTTGTTTCAGGCTTTTCACTACCGAACACAACGCTTAAATGAAGATTCAACTGAAGTCATTCAGGTTGTTCCCAAACTTCCATTAGTCTACTTGTAAGCTCACTTAATTTTAATGTAGCTATTTTTATGAACTATGGCATGTTAACGACAAAATTGTCAGCTTCCTAATCTAGGAGATTAATAAATCTGTTTGCTGTATGCAAATATTCTTGCTTTGATTTTAAATTAGACAACAAAAATTGCAAACGGTCACACAATGCGCTGCGATTGACCGCGGTGGCTGCTGCATTGTGGAAAGGAATGTTGAAGGACATTTGCCTTCAGCCAGTATGCTGTACAATGTTTGCAATGAGTTTTTTGTTTTCAGTGGAATGTATGTAGGAGACGTGTGTGAGAAGATGTGTGCTTTGGTGGAATGATTGTGTTTTTTTTTTTCTGTGGGGGGGGGGATGAAACACTCTTTTAGAGCAGGGGTATCTGTGACCGCACCTGTGGTGGAAGAAGCAAAAGTATGTGCGCTAGCTGTTCTGTAGAGGCGAGGAGAGAACACGAGATGGGAACCTGGGCGGTGGCTGTGGGCAGGTGAGGTAGCGTGTCCGCACAGCACGACCACGTTGGCATTTCGCAACGGCAGCTGTGGGAAGGGGGGAAGGGAAGGAGGAGCGTTCTTTCCATAATCACGTGGGTGTTTTAAAACATAAGCGGCCTACAGTGGGGGAGGGGGTAGGGAGGGAGAGCCCTGTCGTGTGTGAGGAACAACGAGGAGGAGAGCAGTGCCTCTACTGTAAAGTTTGGCGTTCGTACATTAGCATTTTTTTGCCGGGAAGGGGTACTAACAGCTATCGCTGTAAAGAATACAAGCACGAATGATGACCACGGATTGTCACGACATTGCTGCCTGACACATGCTTGCATGATCACGGCAAGTTAGCCCCATTGAGTGCGCTTCTCGCCGAGCACCTGTGCACTGCGGGGAAGCAATACCCACAAAGACCGCAAGCTTGGGGGGTATTGCTTCCCCGCAGTGCTCAGGTATTTGGTAAAAAAGCACTCAACGGGGCTAACTTGCCGGGATCAACACGATACGTATGAATATCGCAGTTCATCTCGAAGCAAATATTTAATTGCGTCATATGCAAAACTACAATTCGAATATTCACACAACACTAAAATAATTTATAATTTTAATGGAAGAATTGCAGTGTTCATTTATAAATATCAGCATTGGGCACAAGCAGATCTACTGCAATAAAACATACCAGAGTTATGCAAACCATGTTTTTTTTAATAATCCAAGAAGCATGAAAAATAATGTCAATTCACCTCATCAGTTTGATTCTCATTTTTACTTAAAATGGGTGATGAAGAAAATATTGCAGCATATAAAAACAAGTTGAGGACATCCATTGCCTGGGATGCGTCTGCTTTTATTTGTGCACTGCAAGTTATTTCTTGCATGAATCAAGAAGGATAACATTTTGCATTCATCGCTGTATGCCCTGGGAGTAAACGCCACACTAAAAATTTAAGAAAATTAGATATTAAAAAATTTAAACAAAATTCTGGAAAGCTATGATCCCTACATTTATTCTACACTTTCATATTGAACTTGGCGCTAACCATAAGAAAAAACTAGTCTTATGTAATAAAGCTTCTATTTTTTCTTGGACCATTTATATTTGTTTTCTTGCCAAGTCTGAATCACACATAAATATGCATGCTGTTCATAAGATACCCACCATACTTGAGGTGCACATCTCTTTCTGTAACTCAAGTGAAGCCCACAGCACATCATTATAAAATTTTATGCATATCATATTTCGTATGACATACATTTCATATAGGTTTGACAAAAGTTCCTAAAATTAGTGTATTCGAGATAAAGGGGTAAATTTCTTGGGACCGCATTACTGGTGGTGGCAGACGTCACAAAATTTATTATACATACTAATTGGTTTGCTAACTAACTAAAAAAGACTAATTAACTTTTAATTAGTGAAAATAGACATATGGTTCCAGTTAGAAACTCGATGAGAATCATTGAAAACCTCTAAATCAGTAATTTTCAGAAAGACTGAGCATGTGAGAAGCGTAGTAGTACAGTGGCTTAAAGGGGGTAGTGTAACGAACGAAGCTAGAGAAGCGGCACAGCGTTGGAAGACGGCCGCGGGTGGCGCTGGCGCTTGCAGCACCGTCGTTCCGGCTTTGGCTCCGGCTTGGCCGCTTGGTCAGCTTGGCTCCAGCCAGCTCCGGCCGAATCGCAGCAGACGACTACAGTGTCGTCTGCTAGTTTCACATTTCTGTTCACCTTCAAACACAAATCATGACGTTGAAAGTTCACCGGAAACAAATAATTGTTTTTGAGATATTTATATTAGTTATAAGCGTGTTAGGGTGTCTCTATCTGCCAGCCGATGGAGGCACCCTAGCGGTGCTACGGATCGAAGCGAAACCTACACCGTCTTCCAAGGAGCGGCCATTCCCAATGCATGGTGGAGGCTACGCGGTAACCACACTACCCCCTTTAAGCCACTGTAGTAGTAGTGCACTAAAGTTACCACTGATGGAGCAGGCAGAAGGCTGAGGCTCTCATAAGAGATGGAAAAATCCCGCGGGCATCTTACCCAACCACTAGGCTTGCGTTTGCTCCACGTGTGGTAACTTTAGTGCACTACTACGCTTCTCACCTGCTCAGTCTTTGTGAAAATGACGTACCGTATTTATTCGAATATAAGGTGAGGTTTTTTTCCAAAATCCGTAGTCTCAAAGTCATACCCCGCCTTATATTCGAAGCTCAGTATAGCAATATGACGATTTTTTTCTTTTTTTTTGGGTCCTTCAACTGCCCCCTCGCCTTATAATCGTGACCGCCTTATATTAGAATAAATACGGTATTTAGGGGTTTTCAATGACTCTCAGCATGTTTCTAATTGGAACCATATGTCTATTTTCACAAATTAAAAAGTTAAATAGTCATTTCTAGTTAATTAGCAAACTAATTAGTAAATATCGTGCATTTTCTGACGTCTTCCACCACGAGTAATGTGGTCCCAAGAAAAGTATCCTTTTGCCTCGAATACACAAATTTTAGGAATTTTTGTGTCTCTAACGTGAAACACCCTGTATATATGTAACATGAGATGGGTATCATAATTTCATGTGAGGCTCGTTACATTATCCGAGAATTAAAGTGAATATAAGAAAATCAGTTTAGCTTACACGCAAGCAGGTTGTGTTGCAGATCTGGGTGAGAACAGCTTTGACTGCTTCTCCCGTGGTGGGCGACCTCTCGCACCGGTAAGACCGGCACTTCTTTTCCCCTGGCAAAGCCCACTCGGATCCAATCTTGTACACTAGACCTCCTCCTTTGCATGCTGTCCGTACTTGTTTTGGACAGCAGACTCCAGAAGCACGAGTGTCCACAGTGTACTCATAGTCCTTGAAATGACAGTAATATAGAAAGTGTCTGAGCATCAACAGTTGAACTTGAATACATTGTAAATAGGTTACATGGCAAAATTTAAGCATATTTAATAAGGCAATTTCACGACATCACTTTTCAGAGCGATCGATTCACGTCTACTTGCACCATAATATACCTCTGCAATAATATTCTGCTGTTAAGGAAGTTGCAATTTACTGCACGAGTACGAGAAAAACACTTGCGATGGAGTTAATGTAAAAATTCATTTTATACCCCTGTCAGACGGGCACGTTAAATGACATTTAAGCAAAATGACATTGCAGCTTGTCCAATCCGCGCGTTTAATATGCCACGCTGCGTGTGCAGGCGCCACGTGCAGAACCACACGAGCTGATTCGCCGAGCGGTGATTGACATTCAACCAAAATGACATTTACTTTCCCGTCTGACATGGCTATTAGATTACTTTACCATGGATCTAAAAGTCTTCATTACTGATATTTCTGTTTGTGTTATAGATGAGAGTTTTGATCAAAACGCTTAGATTCTCAACATGCTAGTGGTAGCTCATTTACCCACATGATTTTTGAACTGATATAAACTAAGATGCATGTCTACATTTTTGTCAAGCATAAGTGTAACTCAATACAATAAAATAGTATGATCTAGACAAAGGCCCTGCATTGATTGCTGTAGGTAAGAAAAAGCTTATGCTTAAAAATGTGATCAGCAATACATTCTAGGTATGTGAGATGTCAAGTGCTGCAGCACAGCTAGTATATATATTTTGGTGAGGCTGTTATTCCTGACTCCTCAATCACTAATCATTTGTAGATAGCAAAGCAATGATTCATTATATTACTTACTTTGTGAGAAAGCTAGTCTAGATTTTTCAGACTCTTTCATAAACACCACAAAATAATTACATATAGAATTCAACATCCACTCTAGAAGTACTTCATACCTCAGTATCTTGTTGCTCACCAGGACAAACCTCCACCCTGCAACTGTATTGGTACTGGTTGAAACGTTGAGAGCAACTGCAGTTTGTGCACAGGCCATCTGACCAACTGGATTCCGGCTAAAGAAAAAATTTAAGGCACAACGGTGTGAAAAGGCCCCGTGACTAAAGGAACAATAATTACTGCAGGGAACACATATTGCAGACCTACCGGATACATCTTCTGGTACTGCTGGGCCGGGTGCAGTTTCATCTGCATTCCATTCACAACCTTGTACTGGTGAATGTAAGCACATTTGTTTTTGGGAACTGCAAAGAACATAGTGGGAACTGAGTAGAAGCTCCCAAGACTGTGACAAAGCAAGCTTTTCTGAGTTTCATACAAGCCTGGGGGGGCACATTTGCTCAAAACATGAGCATGGAGCGAGTTCACCACGCTTGTGAAACTTGATTCATTGGCTTTCAGCGAAATGTGTCCTGTTCTACACTTCCTCACTAATACCTTGGTACATTTCGAGTAAGATGAACTTGCTCGAAATGTAGCGAGCATGTGCTAGAGGCGAGACACTTCTTCATGCTGTTCTCATCCTACTAGTGACTACAGAGGGATGCTCACTCATTCGAAACTTTGAATCATTTGCGAACTGTGTATGCTACTCGATTCGATTTGCGGCACACTTTTACTGTTCAATATATTCAACTCCTTTTTTTTTATATTCGAAAATTACGGATGATGTCCAGAATACTCCGATGTCTCGCTTCGAGCTTCACCGCTTTGCACCAGTGCTTTGGTGTAAAGCTTCATGGCAGTGCTTCAACACGCATGCATCAAGCTTTGCCGCTTTACACCGGTGAGCTAAGAGAAATGGCTGACGTTTCGGAGCACCTCGTTTGGCTCGATTGTTTCGAATATTTTCCTCACTGCTGTAGGTCAGTCTCCTTCGGTAAAGAAAATTACTGCGCTATCCTCGATTTTAAAGGAAAGTTCCATTAAAAACAAACTCGGATATATTAAAAATTTATAAGGTGGTCATTGCTTTGCTTTTTATGTGTTACATGATATTTGTCCTCTATCGAGTCCTTTTTTTTTTTTGCTTAGTGAACGTATGTGAATTGTCAGAAGTTTTTAATTTATTAAATTTGTCCCTTTTCATGGGTATGGTTAGTCGAAAGGTTTTTCAGCCATGCCTCCGCAGGTGTCCACGCTCAATTCACGTTAAAGGTAAAATATCTTTATTAAAAAATATTGGAATTTGATTTGCAGTTAAATTTAAATTTTAGTATTGGATTTGCAATATGAAAATGTGATGTACGGACCCTTCTAGTTGCCACTGTTCATTTTTTGTAACTTACACTTCGTTTCCCTTTTAAGCTTCAACGGAGCCAATTAAGCAGTGCCAAAAGTGCATCGTTGCAGCACTCAGAGCCTCAGTTACGGTCACGGTATGAAAAGAAGCATCGCGACAACATAATTTTCGAACCAGATATCTTTCCCAGGCGTCCCGTGTGCACCTCACTTACCGCACTTGTAAGTGGTGCAGCACTCCCCCGGTTCGTTTAGGAGCTCCGTATCCGGCGGACAGTTTGGCATGTCCTGGCAGCGCTGGGGGTTGCAGCGAACCGACACCTTGTTGCAGCATCCCTGGAGCTCCACGAATGCCTCGAGACCCTGCTCGAGGTTGGCTGGCCACTGCAGCGACGGACACTGCTTGAGGTCGCATTCTGAAAGAGGTCAGTGTCCCGGTGTCAATGTGCTCATTCATGCCGCAAGACTGCAACTTTGCGGGGCATGCAGTTGTGAAACACGCTTTGATTAATTACTCAGCTAAACTATGGTGCCATTTCAGAGTAACTGGTTCCTCTACATTAATTAATGCATTATAAGAAAACATTACACATGGAAAGCATAATTGTATAAGAATTCACCTGTGTAATTGAAGAAACAATCTTTTTAGCAGAATCTCTTAATGCAGTAATTGTGCTACAATAAAGTAACAAACGTTTGCTTGAAAAAATATCTGCACTGGCAGTCATACAAAGGCCTTATTGTGTAAACAATTACCATAGAATAAGTTACTTCTTGTGAAAAGGACATGTTATTGCAATCACTCTGCAAACTTCACTGCATAAAGAGCAATTTTCAGGTAATTAATAAACTTTGCATGATCCATTAAACTCACTGAATTACCTTGTTTGTTTGTAGTGGAAGAACAAAGTTGCATTATTGAGTATGGTATTGAACTTGAAATATTAAAATATTATGCGCTTGGAAAAGTTATTGTGAAGTGCTAAACTTTCAATAATAAACTTATGCATCACTATAGGCTCCTTGCACTGACGTCACATCGCATACTTTTGAACACCAAGGAAAAGGAGGAGAGGGAAACTGCTTTTGTAAGAATTTTGAGTGACAGGTTAACCTTCTCTAATCTTCTGGAGGGAGAATAGCGACGCCTGTACAAATCCGGGAGGCAGAAAGGAGGATCCTGATAAGAGGGTAGCTCCTTCTTCCCCTTTTCTCTGGAGGACATCGGAAATGACGTCATGTGCAAGGAGCCTATAGATGGCTACCTATTGTCTCTAAAATGACAGAATTGCCAAAGTCATACAAATCCTAGTTTAAGCCTATAACCTCAACCTTGGTCAGTGGTTCCTGAGTTTTAAAGTGGAGCTCTTAGACGCCCGTTTCCGGCCTGAGCGATGTCGCCGTCGTCGTCAGCGTAACTGCGCAGTGCATTATGGGAAATGTCCCATAATGCACCGAGCAGGAGGGAGGGGAGGGTAGGAGGAAGAGAAAGAGGGAGGAGAGGAGAAGGAGGAAGAGGGGGAGCAGGTGAGGGGCACGGGAGGAGTAGATGAGGAGGGGAGGGTACGGATGAGGAGGAGGGGCATACCGTCCCCTCCGTACCATCCCCCTCTCCTCCCTAAGAGCTGTGCTCTAATTTGGCATTACAGGGAGCTGTAAACGTTCATTTTTGTTTGTAGTAGTACCATTAAACACAACGATTGTGACAAAAGTAGACTGTCCAAATATTTGTCATTCAATATATGCAAAATTCACGTGCATGCTGAGTAAACACCTCAAATTAAGTGATGAGATCCTGTACGCTTATGAATATTTAGCATTCTCATCTCTTTCCTGTGCCACGCTCTCAATTTCAATTGAGCACCCAGATATGTTTTTATGCCTCCGTGGTTGAAATACATTTCTAAGAATGTTGAAAACATGTTTTAAGTACTAGTATACCGTATTTACTCGCTTAAGAACGCACCCTCACAATGGGTACCAATATTTTGACTTTTTTTCCCTCTCGTAATGAACACATTTCCAATTTCCGGCTCCGCGAGTCTCGAATTGCGTCCAATTTAGCAAGCCACCGAGCCAGTTTCTTTTTGCCGCAGAGCGGTCAGGCCAAGTCAATCCAAGCCAAGCCGCTCTCGTAATGGCTGGAAGTGCGCATTTCCGTAAGTGATCAACTGTAAAACTGGGTGCACTTGACGAAACTTGGGTCGAGGAATTGCTCAGCCACGGACATTCTTTGCCTACCGGATGCATTGATGTCGGCAAACACGCCGTCGTCCGTGGTCCGCTTCCGGACGGTGCAATCATGAAAGTGGTTAGGACTAAGAATGGTTATGATGCTCCCCATGCTGAGTGAGCTTTGTGGGGCGCTCTTTCTTCGGCAAAAGGCACGCCGAAAGCGCCCTAAAAAGGTTTGCATTTTATAAAGCATGGTTACTGTGGCACGCCCCTGACCCGCCGTAGGTGTGCCTTTATCAGTGGAGACATGCCGCAGCACCTTGCCGTGTCATACTGCCACCTAATATGACAATTGCATGAAGTGTTTAAATGCAAAAGTTTTACCACGCATAATAAACACACCCCCCAATTGTGTGTCAATTTTCGGGAAAAAAAGTGGGTTCATTATATGAGTAAATATGGTACCTATATTCTTGTCATACTATTTGCTGTTTCTATCCTAATGTAACAATAAGCCACCCACTGGGCACCTCACATACATACCACAGAAATAGCTTGGGCATCCATCGTCATTCGTTTTTAGTTTGGAAACAGCTCCTGGTTGGCAAGCAACTGGTGAAGGTGGCTTGCATGAGGACAAAAGGTTGGCATCTGCAAACAAAATGAGCAGAAAACAAGAGTAAACTAAACTTTTTTTTCTCTCAGTTTTTGCAATTTGTCTAATGCCACATTTTGCTCAAACAGTGTATTGAAATGCATAAAATTTTGCCAACTAAGTTGATGTCCCAAATGAGCACTTTAAACTCCTTTTGTAAAAGCCTTTCAATTAAATAAAGAAAGATCTACCTAAGTCAAATTTTTAATGTCACCCACACCTGCATGAATCTTCACATTATGCTGGGTAGATTAATCACATCTCAATAATTTTAGTGCACCCAAAATTCATAGAAAGATGCTTTGAAATGGGTGGTAGACTATATTTGGAAACTCAACGTTTTAGGGGGCCGTGGTGACTGAGTGTAGGTTAGCAGTCATACTGCACTGACTAAATTTCTGATCTGCAATGCAGACATCAGACAATCTGAAGTTTCATACAACAGATTACATCTAACATTTCTATGGATCAGTCAGTGGCAATTTGGACTAACACAGGGATTTGCTAAAGTGCTAGACACGTATTTTGGTAATACACCATGCAGGTCTTACCACACAGATAGGCATCACAGCAGGTTCCATTGCTCCGGGGAAGGTGGATCAGTTTTTCGTCATTTCGGCACGTCGGTGGTGCCGGGCACAAAATGCTGGTGCATCGTACCTTCAAATTCTCGCCGCATTCACAAGTCTCACAGGGACTCACTTGCCAGCTGTCCCCAATCTTGATAGATGAACCAGAAATCACTTCAATGGCATGCTTTTGTGTTGCTTTTCACATAGTACTGTGCAATATATACTCAATTTGTTTTTGATAAATGCTAATGCACTTGTGCAAGAAATATCATGCCCCTCAAAAAAAAAAAAGCTTAAGTCAATACTAGTAGTAAGTGAATGCATTGCCTTCAAAATAAGATGCTTGAGGCAATATCTGAACACAAAAGAATCATAGTTGAAATCAGTAGCATAAGCAAAGGGGGGCTTGGAGGTCAAACCCCCCCCCCCCCCACCCATTTTTCACATCCATCTCCATAGCCCCTCCCCCCTTTCCATCAATCATCCTGGCAAGCCCCCGGCCCAAAGAAAATTTCTGGGTATGCCACCACTTAAAGTAAATGCTCTAACCGACAGAGTAGAGCATTAATAGTAGCAGTAGGACATACAGTAGCATCTTGAATCACAAAACATTTGCATGATGACCTAAGATAAGAATGTCTGATCATTCTGTAATGTAATTCTGTAGCATGCACACAACATTGATTTAGAAACAAAAGGCTCAAATTTACTTACCAAGTGGCCCTGTTCATCACAGGCCTCTTTGGTTCACAAGAGAGAAAAAAAGTTGTGTTATTATTAACATTGGAACACAAGGTGCAAACATGCTCACAGCACAGCATTCTCATCCACCTACCGCAATTCTTGATGGCAACACACTCTCCATTTTTGAGAACAAAGCCATTTTTGCAGAAGCAGGAGTAAGACGGAGAGAGTGGGCACACTTCTGCCGGTGTCCTGTAGTTAGCGCAGGTCTTGGGGCATCCAGAATCACAACGAAGTTCCATGTTGCGAGGACATCCAGAGTCTAGGAACAAAAACAAGGCAGGTTAAGATTAAATCAGGCTTTTCCAGGCTGTGATTTTTATAGCTTTAGTTTTCTCTTCATTTAAACTGCCAGTGATATCCAGTGCCAAGACGGGTGTATATAGAATATCTGTGCATTTATTTGCTCATTGCAAATCTCCATTCAAACAATATACTTTTTAGTTACCCTGTTTATTTAAACTCCACGCAACATTTTCTTTTGTGAACTGTGGGATGACTAGCAAGACTGACTATTCACCTAAGTGGCCTACAACACCTTTTAAGAGATGCCTAGTGCAGTCATAAAAAATAATGTCACCTTTATTTTTATTTTTTCAGCCCAAGTAATTGAGCCTACAGGTATTTGACAAAGAAATTCATTGCAAAGTTTACCTTGATACAAAATTTGCTTGTGACTGTTAAAGGCACTGGTTCATCTAGTAAATCAGTGGTGCACCGAAGGGAAGTCAACAAGCTATAAACCTCAAAACAAACAAAAAACAAGAAAAAACTTTCTTTTTTGGCAGAATTGTTTTTAAATAATATACCCATTTCACTTAGATTTCATAAGTTAATTCTTAGTTAACAAAATCAAAGTGTTTGCCTTCACACCAGTGATAAACATGATTTAGCAGATAATTGCAAGAAATATTTTTTCAACCAAGATTTTATTAGATGTTTTAAGCAAAAGAATGTGGTTGCTGTGTAAAATATTTTAAGACACTAAATAATGTAGAGTTGTGCAAATATTCGAATTTTCAAATAGAAATTTCGAATAATGCGCTATTCGATACTCGCTTCGAGATGAGCTATGTTATTGTTACTTTTCAGATTGATAATCGCGTTGGGTTAGCCCCATTGAGTGCGCTTCTCCCCGAAAACCTGTGCACTGCAGGAAAGCAATACTCACTGGCTCCTCGGGTATAGCTTTTCTGCAGTGCACAGGCGATTGATGAGAAGCGCACTCAACGGGACTGGCTCGCCGCGATTGTGCAAGGGTATAGATAGACCTTTACATCGCTTTTCACCTGGGCGAAGAATGCTGAGTCACTGAGTTGTGGACGCATGCACAGTGTCTAACATACGCGCATAGCAGATCAACAGCACAGGCTCAGAAGGCATTCCACAACCCAGCAGACAAAGATGGCAGCACGCAGAAGTTGATTTTTGCAACTGTCTATAGCTCACATTTATGGTCAATGCTTGTTTATTTTTTTCCCCTTTTTGAAATTAAAAAATATATATTTGAAATTGAAGAAAAATTATCTGCACCTACCAAGCAGATTTAAAAATCCCATTGATTAGAATAGCTGCAACAAAGTTGTCATTTAATTACATACTATAGTTTATAAATACATTATATTAAAACTAACTAAGCTTAGGAGTGGACAAGTGGAAGCTCGGGAACAACCTTAACAAGCTCTGCTTGGTTTTAATTTAAACTTGGAGTAGTGAAAGGCTTGGAGAAACTATTTAATAACCTACTTGAAATTATTTAGCCAAAACCACTCTTCACTTCGAATTTGCTTCAAACTCAAAATCCACTATTTGCATATGCCCTCACTAAATATGCTAAAACTAACTTATTGAGTCACTTATCTTCAAGATTAAAAAAATCATGCAAAGAAGCAGGCTTTTTGAAACTTGGCACTGAAGATTAAGAATGGCAACCAGTGAGATTTTTAAAAAAAAAGGAACAAATTTGAAGATTCCTAAAGGTTCATTCTCTTAGGAAAAAAATGTCCGAGGCAACTTCTCCTAAATATTGATACGAAGCTGAATGAAAGTTAAAATAATATAGCATATCTTTTCCTCTCTGTAGACCCATGGTCTAGAGAGAGGAAAAGATATGCTATATTTTTTTAAATTTTCAGCTTAGCTTTTATATCTAGGAAAAGTTGCTTGGGACATTTTTTTCCTAAGGGAATTAACCTTTAGGAATCTTCAAAATCCTAGAATTCTCCAGAGCAGCTTCAAGAGTTTTCCAAGCTCTCAAACTTTTTTAATTAGTCACCCTTATCTCAATGTAAAGTTAATATACACTATTTTATTACAACCATTTACTGACGCACGACTAAGTGCCGAACACTTCTTAGAATATGTGCATAATTGTCTACAAAGGCTTTTGAAATAAGCACTCTCAAGAAAAGGAAGCCGACGTGTTTTTCAGCCCAGGTAATAAACTTTGTGCATCGCAGAAAGCTCAGGCCTTGTGAGAGTAACGCTAGCAGTTAGAATAAAATGCAAAAGTTTCAGGACGTGATGTTACATGGATCAAAAAAATAATTGAGAGAAACAAAATTTCTCTATGAGCCGATGTCCTCCCCTAAGCATTATATTTGCCTAACCAAAAAATTGCATTGTGGATGCCTGTAGCATCGATTTCAGTGAAAAAGACTTGCCAGCAAAAAGCAAACTAACAATACTCCTTTTATACTTACTAGTGTTTTTGACCGAAATAGATGCCACATTTAACCTTTAGACAAAACTTTGCGACACAATGCAAGCTGAAAGTCACTGTTGTGGAAACTTACCACAGCCGGAGTCCTTCAGCCAGTGGTGCACAGAGACGCCTCCCTGGGAGCAGCAGTGCTCGGCGTACTGCAGTTTAGAGCGGCACACGGAAGCACTCAGGTTGCGGGTGTAGCTGGCGTCGTTCAGGCACGACTTCTGGTACAGGTCGGGATCGACGTAGAGCTCGCAGGCGTTGCGCTCGAACTCGCAGATCTCTCGGGGCACCGACCGCTTGCTGGCTGCCGCCTGGATTTTGCAGATCTCGGGGGTGCCCTCGACGAGCCAACTGTACGCGAACGACGGGATGTCCGTGGACAGGCGGCCGTTCTTGTGAAGCAGGTCGTCCGATTGGTCAAAGTTGCACACACCTGCACAGGAATGAGATTGAAGCAGGTGATCAAACATGTCAATCGTTTCTCTGAAGATAATTTCTTAAAAAAAAAGATTTTTTTTTATAAAGTTTAATGTTTTAAAAGCAACTGGAGTGTTTGTAATCTTCAAAGAAAAAACAGGACTAATATTTTGCTGCAAAGTGGTGGTTTGAGTGCCACTTGGTTCATCATACAAGGAAACAGCAGCAAACAAACAGAAGGACGAAGATAGATCAAAGCAGGACAGGGCATGCTAACAACGAAATTGAACGGAAAAAACAGACACCTATATATGTATAGGCCAATGCGAAAGGCCAGTCATCTTCAGGCCATCATGAGCCTCTTTATTTCTGAAAAAATTAAGCTCGGCTCATGATTGCACCAGGGAAGCCTCACTGACAAAGTCATCCCCCTGGGTTCTTATTACAAGCGCTTCGCATATTTCTCTTAAGTATTTTCCTCGAAGTATACTGCAGGGTGTCTATATGATATTGACACTTGCTAGCCTAAGAAATTGTATAAAAGATTGCTTCTTACCACACAGCCCCTCCGTCTTGTTGAAGTATGTGAATGATGGTAGCTCAATGCTGAAGCCATAGTTCAGCTCAAAATAGCGGACCACCAGGCTGATCTCGGGGACATACACGACGGTGCTGCGACCAGGAACCCAGCTGATGTTGAACCCCTTTTTGTCCCACGGGTAGTCTCGGTCTTGCAGCTCATAATCGTTAAACTTAACCTGCACAGGTCGGAAAAACAGGACACAGACAAATGCAGAAAGTTTATTGTAATTATAACTACTATAATTAAATGTACTATTGTGTAATCACAACTTCTGGGAAAGGTTTTGACAAACAAATACAGTTAAGTGCCACCATGAATGAATGAAGGGAAACAGCTCTAGCGAGTACTGTAATTAAATTATGAGTGTATATCTCTATACTCTTGCTTCATTCTCACTCAAACTTTATGGCCCCGTGAGGCCAATTCTAGTAGAAAGGTGAAAAGGCTTCCTCTGTTTGGTCGTACACCAACCTTCAAATAAAGGAACGACACGAAAAACAAAACAGAAAAACATTAAATTAACCCAGGCAAAGCAATCTAGCCCTGGGGATGTCTGCAGTTGATTGGAATGTCTTAATCTCAACAAGGACTTTAGATGCACATTGTCTGAAGACCATTTCTGACCATTCTGAAAAAACCTTTTTCTGAGAGTCTCATGGACGTCTCGTATGGACCGAAAAGTGACATTCCCCTTTGGCAGTGTCTGATTGTCCTTAGAACATCCTTAGGAGGTCACTGCACCTGAGAATGAATCACTCTCGCAGCTCACTACACTGGTACGTACCCGCTGACCCTTGGTGATCCGTACGTGGTGGTTTCGATAACTGATGGCCAGTCCCTGAGTGCAGGTCGTTCGAGGTTCCTCAGGACACTCCACGTTGATGCCCAGCACTTGAAAGTCAAGCTGAGAATCTCCGGACACGTGCTGGGCAAGGACATAGCTGCATGTCCCCTGGAAGTCGTAGTAATGGCCGTCGAAGGTGATGTAGTTGGGGTCGCCGTGGCCTCTGCAGACACCTGCAAATGTCCAAAGAGATGATGGCCTTGGTGCAGTTCAGAATTTGTTTTCGAACACTCTAAATGACTTGGTATACTTTGAGCTGACTTTTAACCTTTGCCAGTATTGAGTAGAAGCTCTTTGATATGTTTTCGGTTGATACATCTTCCCGGCTGTTACATTCACAAGCACCACCTCTGGTGAACATCCATAAGGATGTCTGCGTTAACTTTCTGTTTGGTTTCTCTTGTGAAGCACCTTGTGTGTGCATCTCTTACTTGTGTAGCTTACTTCTGTCTTTTTGCACTGTTTTCCAAATCTTTTGGTATGTACATCAACTATCCCAACTTTATGCTTCGGGTTTCATCTCAACTGTTGCACCCACAAGCTGCCTTCCTAAGCGGGCTACACAACCATGGCTGCCCTCTTTCTTTTTCTCCAATGTCCCTCTTTTTCACCTTTTTTTTTTTGCTTTTTGCACCGTGCTCTTGGCAGGCACGGCTTTACTTGGAAGAAACTAAAGCTTTTTGCAACAGCCCATTCATCTTTATGCCACTTTCTCTGGCACACACGCACACACAATTCTACCGTGCTTGGTGGTGCAAGTATTTTCATTCTGTTTCTTTTTCAGAATCAAGCAGCGGAGCATCTGGGTTAGCTGATGGACAAAGGGCGCAAAGATAGACAAAGGACGAGCAGAAGTGCTCAAACAGATTGCTGATAGGTTCAGGTGTTTTGCACACTCTTGCAGATCAGTATTTTTTCACTGCAATTATATACTTGACCCCTCACTTTAAATTATATTTCTAAGAAAAGTTGACCAATATTTGAAGAAATACCATAGTTCACCACAGCTGCAATAGTTTTTGTAAAATGAACTGTTGCATGATAGTTGATTCTTATTTAATTCATTTAAAATTCGAAGTTCAACTTATTATCAGTAGTATAACGTGTGCATAAACTGGTTTACCCGTGCTGGTAAAAATTTATTTTGAAAAATTGTTTTAACATTAGAAAATCCACAAAAGATTAAAGGGGCACTGACACATCAAAATCATATTTTTTTTTTATTATCCGAAACGATTGAAAACGATGCCGGGACATTACCCTCAAAATTTGAAATTTGGGAATTCAGTATTCGTGAAGTAAAAAAACAATTTCCAAATGCCGAATTCGAAGTTCCCGCGCGATCGGCGCCGGTGCCTTGACGTCAAAAATTGCGGAGACCTGAGAGTCCCTCTTTCTTTCACCACTCCCTGCTGTTGCCATGGCGACCCAAAGCGAGGAGGAAAGGAGCGAGCGGCGGCGTTCCGGCGGACCGGTTTTGAGCGGTGTCGCCTGTTTTCCGTTGGAGGATACAAATCCAGGAGACGGCACCACAACGAACTCCCGATTTTTGGTATTTCAAAAAGAAGGGCCGTACTGTGTTCACAATTGCGTTAAAAAACATGTTTTAGGATTGCCGTAATTAAATGTTATAGAGATGTCGCCTACAAAGCTTCTAAATTTCATGATTCTTGACGTCACCGATCAAAAGAAGCGAGGAGGCGAGAGGCGGGAAAATCAAACGCCAAAAATAAAAAGGCGCGCGCGCGCGCGCGGGAAAATTTTTTTTCGCGATGCGTTTTTTTTTGCGTGTCTATGACTCCAACTTGCATCGTTTTAGACAATAAAAATAAATACGACCTTTGGGGTGTCAGTGCCCCTTTAAGTTTGCCACTAGACCGTGAATTACATCCGTTTCGTGTTGACAAATTTTTCTTTAGCTTTAAGAGTTAAAAGCAATAAATAATTAATCAAGTAAAAAAATTGTCACAATAAGTAACTCACGACATAGTTTAGCCTCGATCATGTAATTCAGTTTACATAAATTACTTCATTAAGAAAAATTTGCGAGAAATCACAAAATATTAAGTTTAAGACTATATGTTTATTTATACTGCAAATATTTATCTACAACTTAAACACCATAAGATATCAATACAAAAAGAGGATGTTAGCAGACAAAAAAGTCTAATGACACAGAAGTCGACAGCAATAAACTATGTGATCTGGAACAGGAAATGTTAAAGTGGGACATGGAAATGCACAACACTTTTAAAGCATTGAAATGCTTTTTAACAGAACCCCCTTCCCCACCTACAAATCCTTAAATATTCTCCGTACATATGTCCATTCGTCTGTGCGTTTTCCACTAAATTTAGCAGGAAAATTGATGTCACGAGACTTAGGTACTACGTGACCTATATGTAAATTCAGTTTCCCCGGTAAATTTAGCAGAGATATTAATCTTGACCTAAACTCCAATTCAGTTTGCCCACTAAATTTAGTGGAAAAATTGATGTCACATGATCTAAACACTAGTCTTATGCGAATAGTGGATTTTGAGTTTGAAGCGAATAGTGGTTTTGGCCGAATATTTTCGATTCGAATATTGAATAGTTTTTCCACGCCCTTCACCACCACTAAGGTAGCCATTTGGGCCAGTTGGTTCATGATCACCTAAAAAAAGCACCAAAAATGCACAAGGACGAGGAAGTAGACAGAGCGCTCTTGTCTGTCTACTTCCTCGTCCTTGTGTTTTTTGGCACTTTTTTAGGTGCTTCCACTACCATTGCATAATGCTTAGACAAAAACCCTACTAAACCTGTGAAGGTGGTTTCACTTGTTCATTTATAAGCTAAGTTTAATCTATCTATATTTATGAACTGTGACCTCAGAAGGTCTGGTGTCCTGAGATGGCAAGTAAACAACAAAATTGACATAAAATGAATCCTATAAAGATGACCAACTATACCCGATTGAGTGAATTTACAAATCTTGCCATATAAAATATTCTTTTTTTAATCTCGAGTTAAAAAAAGGATGAACCGTGCATGATGAATGCAAGTTGTAAGGGCATCCCTACCTAACATAGTGTACTCTTGCATAACAGTTTAATTTTGAAACTTTGACTACAATGTCGATATACAGATTCACAAAGTATCCATTTATTTTCAAATACAGTGGGCACGACACCATCCCGCTTTGAATGTATGCTTTTCTTCCGAGCACGCAATTACGATATTCCTACTTTTCCAAGTGTTTATCGCGGCGGGTTACCCCATTGAGGGCACTTCTTACCGAGCACCGATGTAATGCAGAGAAGCAACACCCGCGGAGCTCGCCTTTGCGGATATTGCTTCTCCGCCGTGCACCGGTGCTTGGCAAAAAGAGCACGTAACGAAACTAACCCGCCGCAATCGAAATCTTCGAAAAACGCGAAAAGTGCAGTTCTTCTCGAAGCGAATATTAAATAGTGTATTATTCTGAACAACTATTCGCAATTTCGAATATTTGCACAACCCTACTAAATACCAATTCAGTTTTCCTGCTAAGTTTAGCAGGAAAATTGACATCATGTAACATACACCACTGCAGTTTCCCTGCTAACTTGAGCTGAGCAGGGGAAATTGAGGTCACGTAATTTGATGTCATGTTACCTATACAAAAAATCAGTTTCTCAGCTAAATTTAGGGGTAAATATGTTATGTAACTCCAATTGCCTCTCCCCATCCCCCTCCTCCCTTCCCCCTCCTTTCTCCTAGGGTGTCCTCCTCCTCCCCATCTGTACCCCTTCCCCTCGCTCCCCCTCTCTCCAATTCGCTACATCTCTCTCCCCCCCTTCCACCCCCTCTCCTTTGTCACAAAAGACACATTAACAATTCAACTTTCTCGCTAAATTTAGAGGGGAAATTTACCTGACACACCAATTCCCTCCACCCTTCTCTCTCCTCCCTCACCCTCCTAGTGTGTCCCTCTTCTCCCTATGTCCCCCCCCAATTTATCTCTCTTCCTTTTTATCCTTCCCCATCCTCCTACAGTGCCCTCCCTCCATGCTCACCTCCCTCTCCCCTCCCCCTCCCTGGTCATGTGACGCACCAATTCAGTTTCTACACTATTGATAAAAACTTAGGTTCTTCACTCTGTTTAATGTCTTCCAAACGATTGAAACAATCGCTCCTAGATGCTGCAATTCATGTATTATAGGACTCTGAAATACAAAGGTCGCTGCCAATTTTTTTTAAAGTATCCTCAGCATTGAGCACAATAGTAAGCTCGGCGTATTCTATTACCATTTAAAGGGGCACTGACACATCAAAATCATATTTTTTTTTATTATCCGAAACGGTCGAAAACGATGCCGGGACATTACCCTCAAAATTTTAAATTTGGGAATTCAGTATTCGTGAAGTAAAAAAACAATTTCCAAATGCCGAATTCGAAGTTCCCGCGCGATCGGCGCCGGTGCCTTGACGTCAAAAATTGCGGAGACCTGAGAGTCCCCTTTCCTGTCACCACTCCCTGCTGTTGCCATGGCGACCCAAAGCGAGGAGGAAAGGAGCGAGCGCCGGCTAGCGCCGGCGTTGCGGCGGACCGGTTTTGAGCGGTGTCGCCTGTTTTCCGTTGGAGGATACAAATCCAGGAGACGGCACCACAACGAACTCCCGATTTTTGGTATTTCAAAAAGAAGGGCCGTAGTGCGTTCGCAATTGCGTTAAAAAACATGTTTTAGGATTGCCGTCATTAAATGTTATAAAGATGCCGCCTACAAAGCGTCTAAATTTCCTGATTTTTGACGTCACCGATCAAAAGAAGCGAGGAGGCGAGAGGCGGGAAAATCAAACGCCAAAAATAAAAAGGCGCGCGTGCACGCGGGAAAATTTTTTTTCGCGATGCGGTTTTTTTTGCGTGTCTATGGCTGCAACTTGCATCGTTTTAGACAATAAAAATAAATACGACCTTTGGGGTGTCAGTGCCCCTTTAAGTCAGGCTCTTCACCGGCTAACGTCTAGTTTATGCCAAGATGAGCCATTCCTTGAAGTATCTCTTTCCTTCCATAAATCCTATCTTTCTCAACTTGAATTGGTGCAATTGACAGATTGCACGCTGCTTTGTTACCAGAATGCAGGATAACGTTCAAAGATACCACTGTAAAGTTCCACCCAAAGTCGGTAGAAGAACAAAAACACTACAACGTCAACTCACAGTCATGGCAAAACTCTGGCGGTACGCAGGTGTCCCCACGGCGCACAAGGCCCATGGGACAGAAACACCCTGAGACGCAGTCCTCCGTACATTCGTTGAACTTGTCCCGCATGTTCTCACATGTCTTCTCACAGGCAGGCCCACAGTCTCTCCACTCCATGCCAGCCGGACACTTTGGAGCTGCATTTTGAGAGATATGTTTAATGTAATTGACGAGTAGTGACGATCTTACTCCATGGTTGTCTATTGAGACATTTTGTTATTTGCATTGTTCCTGGAGTCTACAACTGTTCCTGAAGTTAAACTTCAGGAACAGTTGTGGACAAATAAGTGATGTGGACTTCAAATGGTAGGTGCGAACTAGGTAGTTTACTTTGAAGTACAGTCATGGTCAAAATAAATACAAACAATGGAGCAACGATGGAACAATACTTAGGGTACCTCAAAGCGGCGAATGCGGGCAGCATCTAAATAAAGCGAGAGATCAGTTTATTTTTTTGTTTAGTCGCGAAAAATTTTATTTTTGTGATTCATCACCAATGGCACTGCCCTTAGGCTGTGCTTTTGAGTGGCCAGCAGCAAAAATGCTTCGCGATGACTGATCGCACAGCTACAGAAGCTGCATATTTTATTGACCGATTTCTCCTAATCATTCGATTGAAGGTGTTTAAATTCCTTTCAGAAGGGGCGTCATTCTCTCATTTTGCACTGGCACTGTGCCTTGTGCACTACTAATTTAGTCCTTATATATATATATTTCAGTAAAATATAACTTTCGTTGATTAAAACAGAAAACACACCATGAGATCACTATTTACTGCAGATGACAATGCTCAATTTTGATTGTTCACATGTCTACACAAGGGCAGCAATACAAGGGTGTGTCCACAATCAAAATGGCGAGCATCGTGCCACATGTAGTCAAGGTTGAAGATAATACCACAGCGTTTGCATCGATAAAATCTTGCCGCAGAAGTACCACCAAGTTCCGCTAGAAGGTTCTGCAGAATGAAGATGGCATGTGCCCATTTCTTCTGACAATGACTGCGCCTCTCCTTCTACTTGCCACTGCTTTATTTTTGTTAAGTTGTAACATTTCCATTTTTGCTACCTCTAGAAAAGCTTGAGGTTCTCTTACCACATCCAAGAAGAAGCCTCCACTCAGAAGCAATCTTCTGACGAACAGACGCATCACAGGTGGCGACGAAACCCTCGATGGCTTGGCACATGCACTTCTTGGCATCGTTCTCCGAGTAGGCCATGCACTCGCACACAAAATCTTCGCAGATGTTTATCGACATGCTCGTGGAGCTGGCCTCAAGGCACTGACTGAGGGGAGCCTCTCTGAAATATCAGAAGTATGGTGTAAGCACACGCACATCTTCCCAAGCTGGAAAGATGTGGCGATTTCTCCGAGATTCGTGGTTTATTATTGCTAATAGACTTTTTGCCTAATTATTCACCAAGAATGCTGTAAATGTAGGTACATATATGCTGCACGAGCTGGCTTCTACAGCAGTCACTATTCTAATAAAGAAACCTGAAACAAGTGACACTTCACATGTGCATTTGTCAATGCCTTATTTTAATTAATTACTTTAAATATTTTATACCAACAAGTGCACCTGTAGTGTGTGAGGTAATCCTAATAACTTCAGACAGCATTAGTATTATGACATGGCAATAGCTTTCCCTCCTCTGTGCCCTTTTGGCATTAAAATACTAAGTTAATTCATAATTCCAGCCATAGCTTCCAAAACTAAACTTTTGTATATCTACCCTGAATCACAATCCTTCAGATTTCCACCATTTTGTTATAGGTGCCACATACGCCACGTAATTTGGTGAATGTGTTGCTGTACCAAGTAATTAATGTAAATTATCCCTTCAAATTTTATTATAAAAATATGAGGCCATTCAGATAAACTCGAGTATATATTCATCTCAAAATATAAAAAAAAAAAAACAGTGGCTTTAATTATTTTTTTTTACACTGGTAAAGTTGCGAAAAGGGAATAAGTTGGATGTAGTCTTCAACAAATACTCTAAATTCATATACATTACAAACTCTATGGTTAGGTTGCCTGAATTTTGGGACATAAACCTAAAGTATTTTGTTTTCTTCAGCATAAGCAGTCTCACAATCTGGCAAAGAACCAATAAATGTTTGTCTGACCACCGCGAATGGAAAAAGCTTTGTTTAGGTTCCAGTCTGCCAACCGTACAGATGATCTACACAACAGTCACTGACAGGATGAGAACAGCAGAAAGGAGTTTCAATCGTCCCACTCCCAGTGCACGCTCACTACCTTTATAACGCTTGGGCGTCTCGTCAGCCTCGAGCGAGCACGCGTAGCTTGAGAATGACAAGAGTAAACGTTGGAGGCGCTGGAGGTGGGGCGTTCGAAAGAGACACCCTCTCATTCGCACCTTAGCAGTGTTCCAAAATTTGCTCGATCTTACTCCAGGGTAAGAGTTTTGTACCTCAAATATAGTTCCTGTGTATGTGTAGTGCCCACACCTGATGTGAGCTTGCATGTAAACAGCACATTGGCCTATAGATATTTTTTAGGCAGGAATAAATTCATGTATACATACGTGATATTTTTTTTCTAATTGTATCAATGCCTTCCAAAATTTGCTCGGTCTTACTCCAGGGTAAGAATTTTGCATCTCGGCGTTCAAAAACCTACTCTCCAGTGTTGCTCTATCGGTGTTGACACATGACACGACCTGCCAAAGTAACTCGGATCCATATGGATGAGATTTGGAACACAACCCTTGCCAGTGACTATTAGTGCCGACGTTATGGTGGTACCCTTTTGCGGTTTCTCTCCATCATGTCATGACCACGATTTGCCTTGCCAGGACGACACGAGTTGTGATCCTGGCTACTTATAAAAAGTTGAGAATGATGAATTCGATTACTTATATATAGTATATATGAAAAGTAAATGTAAGCTTGAAGTTATCGCGTTCCTGCACCAACCCTGTTTAAGTTGACAGTCTGACATTGCTCTTTTTTCCATGGTTGAAAGCAGAATTAATTCCACTAAAGACGTCATGGTAAGAGCTTGGCCAGTCGTGGAAGTCCGGTTGTTCAGATTTTCAATAATCTACACGCACCAGCAACAAGACTGCAGTTTGCAGAGGCCGTAGTTGCAAAAGTCTATACTCACTTCAGCTTGTGACACCAGTTGCGCGCTCTCTCAAGAACGTCGTGGGGGCAAGACGAAGGTGAGCAGCTGGCTTTCGCTGTAGTCATCCAGCTGTCACCAAAGACCTGACCAGAAGACTCCAGCCGGCCATCAGGAGTGCGGAGGTCATCCGCCCGGTCGTAGTTGAAGGACCCACACAGACCGCTGATGGTATCCAACAAGCATTCGGACACCTGGAATAGGGAGGCGCTCGTATGAGCCCCGAGTTTTGACCAGAATGTACAAAATGACAAACCAGGGGCCAGCTATACCTCACTTTATCATAATTTCGAGTGCAGTCAAAGGCTCAAACACTGACACACATACTAGAAATTCAAACCACTGGGAATTCACTGTGTTTGATTTGTTTAGCATATGATACAACATGTAGACACAAATGACAAACGCTATGATGTCGCGCTTTTCACGTTGTTCGATCGGTCCCATCGGCTTGTAGGGTTAGCTGCGCTTGGGCTTGAGGTAGAACGAAAGATACACCAACACGCGGCCCTGGCGTCACGCCACTGAGGTGGCGCGCTGCTCTGCGGAGAGCAAGTCGTCTGCTTCTTGCACAGCGGTTGCGGTGACGTCATAACGACGCCGAGCTCCGACTAAATTTGATTGAAAAATGGTGGGTAGATTTCAATGCTAAATGCCTTGAGGTCTAACCTCTATTTTTTTATCGATCGGCCAATAAAAGCTCAACGTTCTGACATCGTCGCAACCCCTGTGCAAGAAGCAGACAAACTTGCACTCCGCGCTGGCAGGGCGCATACTCAGACGCTTCACTTCATGCAAATCTAGTTCCTACGCATGCGCTGTTCCCACACCTTGTGTGGGCTTGATTGTAAACAATGCATTGGCCTATAAATATTCTTTATGCAGAAATAAACGCATCTGTATATACCTGATTTTTCTCTAACTGTATCAATGCTTGTGTCTTCCAGGCTTTACTATCAGCAGCACAAGGACTGACATCTATAACAAGTCCAGTTAAAAATACTGGACAAAAAATTAGTCATAATATATTATAGACCGGCACGCTGTTTACAAACTGGTGTGGGCACTACGCGTGCGCAGAAACCGAATTTGCGTGAAGTGAAGCGTCTGCGCAAGCGCAGTGCCTTTGACAGTGCCACCGCAGCTGCGTGACGTTAGGGACGCGTGTTGGTCTGTATCCACACATTCATACATGCATATGTAGTACATGTATGCACAAGCATGCATACTTGCATGGGCACATCCACATACAAATGCAGTTTCCAAACTTTTGAAACATCCAAATTACCCACCCACATGACGATGAATAGCTTAATTGTGCTTGTTTTATCGGTGGATCTGGGCTCGGGCAAGAATGCTTCCCGATATGCAATATATTGTTTTTTTCCTTCTCTCACTTAGCTGGTGAGCGCTCCGATCTTACCCCGGAACCCCGGAAGAGTGCTTTTCCCGACGCACAGTTGCAGTGTGGGAAAGGGCAAGAGCAAACTATGTGATGCCCTGTCAAGTACGAGGTTATAAGCTTTTGTATTTACGACAAGGCGCAACTCTTGCTATTACACAAATACCACAATTGAGAAGTTTTCCTCTATCTTCAGGAGACAAAGGTGACAACTTCACGGACATACAAAGTTTCTTTCAAAAACAAAAAGTAACTTTCGCCCAACAATTTTATCTCCAAAAATCAAATGGACGGAGGTAATCGTCCATGACGTCTTGAGAAAAAGTGAGCGTTGAGAGTTTAAAAAAAAAAGGGTTGATATGCCCCCTTTTGCTGCAACTCTCAACACAAAAACAAACAATACATGCCTAGAAAAGCAGTAAATTTTTATAAAATTCTGTCTTTTTTTTTTAAGAATGTTATTTTAGGTGATGAAAAATGTTCTGCTTTTCAATTATAATCATGCGCGAATTGGCTCAAAAGGCAACTTGGCTCGTTTTCTAACATTTATGTTGGTTGATGCAGGAGGACAGATATGTTCAAATAAATTATGTCCCAGAGAGCTCGAGATGAGCTTGTTCAAAATATAAACAATGGGGATATAAAAAAAACCAAAAAACTAAACGGAAAAGATGCATGACACTTCATTGTTACACACATCTTTCCTTTTTTTTTTGGAAGGGGGGGGGGGGTTTGCAGGGTATTTATTAGGTTTGGTGTACACTGCGCATCAATGTTAGCGCAATCACGACAGTGGCGAGTTCTTTTCTCTACTTTACTTTTAGAGGGTATCTTTAGGCACCAAATTTTACCTCCTAGCTTAGTGCGCTAAGTGAGTGCTTTCAATCACCATAATAGTGTTTTGAAGACAGCCCTTAAATTTTAGAAAAAAAAACAGGAGAAACCGGCGATCGCTTGTTCGCGCGAAGTGTCGCGCAGTCTACATTAGAGATGGGGGAGGAGAATATTGGACACGGTAAGCCGAATGTTAATTAACATGTTAATAATGGTTTTACAGGTCATGTTGTTATCGTGGCTTTGAAGGTTGTTAGCAGCTAAACCGACTTAAACGGTTTGCGAAAAGTCAATGGGCTTTGAAATATTCATTGGTTAGTTGTCAAGTTCTTGTCTACTGATTCCGAAGCTGGACGCAGAGAAAACTCCACAGGCCCTACCCACAGTTATGCGTAGAAAAGAGCGACGTAATCGCTTCGAGTGTCTCGCCATTTGGCAGCATGCCATTGACGCTTCGCTACACCCTCTGCAACAAAGACGCCGTCACTGTGAATGCTGGCCGTTAAGACTTGTCCACAGACTTCCGGATCTCGGGATGAGTTGCGGAGAGCGTTATGGGATGGCAAATACGATGTATGAAAACAAGCTAGGTCACTCTTCTACTCTTCTTCATATCACTGTCGACGAAAGTGTCTGGCACTCTTTGTGCGACAAATTTTGGAATCAGTTTAAAAAATTACTGCCATTATGAGCCAATTTAGTGAGGAACGTGGGGTCTTGGATGACTAAGGGGATGGTGAACAGAAATTTGGATTTCAAAAAAGCAATGCAGGAGATATAGGTGGGACGCTACAACCCCTACAACACTACTCTTAAGGCTATATCTCGAATGGACGGCCGTATTTTTGGAAAAAGAGGTCGAGATTGGGCCAGGCCGACGAGGCACATGATGTAGAGATATCTCGTTTCCACCTCTCTTCGCTTCGCTCCCTCAAGGCGGCGAGGCAGAGAAGACGCGAGGCCGTTCCCTCTCCTTCTCAGAGAAACACGACACAAAAATTTCTGTCAAATGCGCCTCCTTTTTTTTTTTTAAAAATACGGTCATCTGTTTGAGATATCACTGTATGAGTGATGTTTTGGTGTTTTGTAGCAGCCCGTTGCACGCTTTTGCCGCGTGTTTTGCGAAATCCAGATTTCGGTTCAGCATCCCTTTTAGGCTTTACATCGTTAACTTTTGAAGTAGTAAAAACAAAAAATAAGTCCCCAATTAGAAACTAGCTGAGCGTAACTGAAAGCCACTCAATTGGTGAATTTTAGAAAGACTTGGAGCGTGTGGCAAGTGAAAGTTACCTCTTGTTGTATGTACACTAAAACATGTTATACCCTTATGGGTGTAACCCTGCTGGAAATGGGAAGCCCATTCACAATGACAGAATGGTCAAGCACAGTTAGATTCAGTGCGAAGTGTAGCACCTAGTAGGACCAATGTGCACAACTTAGCTCTTGCTCATTGACGCCTTGAGGAACACTGCAGAGAAGCTGTAATCTGGGGAAAAGGTTACGACTGAGGTAAAGCCAACTTTGGGATTAGAATCTTGGCACCTAAGAGCACCAATGTGCATGTAAATTGCTCAGTGATGGCCTTAGAAATGATGCAGAGGAGCTGAACTCTCAGGAAGAGAATAGGTTATAAATCCAGGTGAAGCCAACTTTAGGGGAGATATCAAGAAAAATATTACTTCAAAATTATGTCACTTTGCACCGAAAATATGCAGGTTGAGTAGACTTCTTGGAGATTTGGCGTAGGAGATCAGTTTAATCTTATGCAAAATTACCAATGTGATTTATATCGTTGGAGAAAAGCACACGTTTGCAAAATTTCTTAACTAACTTGGTGTTCACTGTGTATGTAAAAGGGCAGTTTTAAATAGAATACATTTTTTTTAATGAGGTTTAAAAAAAATTGCAATTAAATGCTGCGACTGCAATGTGTCTGTCCTAACCTCACGTTGGCCATTTCCTGGGTTATGTTATATCGACTACTTGGTATAAGCTGTGTGGAGAGCAACCTAGATCAATAAGGGCAATGGCTCTCCTGTGAATTGTACATGTATACATAGGTACTGTCCTTCAAATATTAAGCACGAAACCTCATCACTGTGACCTTATATAAGTTGTCCAAAAAATATCTTTTGTACTCAGTGGGCTACTGCTGCTATATTGTTCTCATTGATGCTCATTGATTCTTGCTCGAGATAAACAGAGCTGCTCATTCATACGGTTTCATATTCGTGCGCATTGGGCTCCAAAATCCACCCCTTTTCTGTCTCATTTTCTACATGCACCTAGTGGATTTCTGGTTGAACTTAACATTGAAGCTTTCTTCCATTACCTCGTATGTGCCCATTAGTTTATGCATAAAATTTAATGAAAATACAACTTTTTTTTTTTTTTTGAAGAAAGAGCAGTTTTTTTTTTTTCAGAGAAAACTGCCTTTAAAGGTTTTACCCAACACCCTTGGAATGGTGGCAAACCCACCCTAAAATAGGTTGCTGGCAATCTTAGTATAACCCTATAGATATTTTTACAGGCAACAAGTTCACAAGCAACATGTGCCCCATGCAGTTTTCTCTCACTCATAAATAGGGTTCCATGGTTTCGGGGATCTTTTTTTTCTTCCAATTTCGGGGTTTATTTTATCTCCACATATTCAGTACTTTCCGGTATATATTTTCAGTATCGGGGAAAAGATGGGGGTTTATCGGGACTCATGCTGAAGAAAACAAGATACAGATATGGGGATTGCCACCCTTCAGGGAACAGGCACACAACCCGAATAGTTGGAAATCGTCCCGGTACCGATGAGAGAAGGAAACGAGATAATAGAGGGTTTAGTATACTCTGTTTCATACTTAGCGTGCAACACTGTCAAAGCTACTGGCCCAAGCACGTGGCTTCATTTATGGTATTGTTTGCGCGAGAACGCGTGCTAATGATCAACGAGATCAATCCCAACGCTTGTGCCAGTAGCTTTGACAGCGTTGCACGCTAAGTATGAAACTGAGTATAGATCTTTCTCATACCCCCAATGAGATTTTTTTTTGTTGATTGGCTTTTTAATCAAACTTTCGTTTTTGGTCATATCAGACCTTATTTATTTATTTTAATTGGTTTAAATTTGTCATACCGTTTGGTGGTGCAGGTAGAGAGACAAATTTTATTTTTATTCATTTTTGCTCTCACTTAGAAATTCACCACATTCACCCCCAATACGATGCATGCACGAAGGCAGCGGCGGAGGATCGGGTATCGTCGGTTTCATTGGAACAATCTAAAACTGTAATGTGTCTGGTTCTCTAAGGATACTGCATCGTTGCGGACAGTTCAGTGCTGGCTGTGTTTTGGGTGAACACAGAACAAAGCTGTAGCAATTTCTTTCCCTGAAACATCCATGTTTTTCGTATTTAAGGACAGCTCCAAATCTGGATTTTTTCGGTCTCTACCGATTTTAATAAAACGGGATCAAAGGCTATTTCACGGGGTTCATCGGTATTTACCAAAAAGAAACACGGCATCTATACTTATAAACCATATAACCACCGAGAGAATGAGAACGACAGGAAGGAGTCTCAGTTGTCCCACCTTCAGCGCGAGCTTTCTGCCTTCGATAACGCTTCAACGTTATGTGAGCCTTGAATGGGCAGGCGCAGCCAGAGCACGGCAGAAGGCAGCAAGCGTGTGCTGGAGACGGGGCCTCCCTGTCGTTCTCATCTTGTCTGCGACTATACGGAGCAAAACAATAAGAGGGGAGGAGATGGGAGAGCCTGCTGTGACGTCGGAACGCCAAGCTGCGATTGGAAGGATTAGCTGCTGTCTCCCACCAATCAGAGCTAACAAAAGCATTGTCTGCTTTTCGTGCAGGCTGTGGCGTTGGAATGTCGAGTACTGAGCGCTTGCGTTGTCTGCTCATCATAGCAATCACTATCGCACTTTTCTACGGCTTTCGGAAAACCCTGGCTCTTTACAAACGAGGACTTAGCGTGCAATAAAGGAGAGAGGAAATGCCTCTAAAGGGCGAAGCTTCGTCGGACACTTAATCCCTCCTGCTCATTGCGCCTCGTGCCCTCCTCTCTCTCCGTTTCATTCCGTGTGACAGGACTTTTGCGTGCTGAACGTACCCCAATCTTGATGTTTTGCCATTCGTCGAGCTCCACTTGGAAATTGTGCTTGTGCGAGGCGAAGAGCAGTCGTTGACCACTCAGGGCCAGGAGCACGTCCTTCAGTCGACGGCTGATGGTCTGAAGGCTGCGCGTGGGAACGTCGGATCCGTTCACCTTGACCTCTTGGAGGGTGGGACCCAGCTTGACGAAGACGTCGTTGCACATGATGGACACGGATTTCTCACAGACGCTGATGTCTCCCCTCCTGTGGCATCTCTTGTGGGCTTTCATTTGAAAGAGACGAGCAAGATTAAATTGCAACGATACGCCCTTGCGCCAAGAAAATGTACAAAAGTGCAACTGCCCAACGGTAATACCTATAACGGTCGTTACAAAATGACATTCTACTCTCTCTAAGAACTCCGGCATGTCTGCTTTTTCCCTCAAAGCTTTGGGAGAAAACGAGATGGGGTAAAAAGGTATGTTTACCGTAGACTTAAAACCAAAGTCTGCATGTGGCAGCGTGCATTAGTTTCACCTGTTTACGTTGTGTTCAGTATGTGTGACAAGCCAAGGAGGTAGGAAGCTTCTGGAAGTGACATGACACCAACAGAGGTGAAGCCAGAAGTGTGGATGGACACGCCCCTAACGTTGACCAAAACCACAGCTGTTCTTGCCACCCTCGGATCGTTGCGGGTCCGTTCTTTCAAACAGTTCTGGCTTAACATCTGGTGGAGTCATGTCACCTCCAGAAGCTTCCTGCCTCCATGATCACAGCAGACTGTCTTTTTAAGTCTTAACATACCAGGAGCAGCGGCGTAGACTTTCCATTTTCCCGGGGGGGAGGGGCAGGCTGAGTTCTCCCGGGAAAGGGAGGAGGGGCGGGTGCTGCGCATTATTTTTTCGCCGCAACTGGAGATTGAAGCTAACGAAAACACGCTGGAATTCCATTTACCATGTATTTTGTCAATAAAGGCAACGTGCGCGTTATTTTGTTTACATGCCGCTACTAGAAGCTCGTTACATGGCACGTAAACAGCGTCTCGGTAAGGATCATAGCCCGGGGGGGGGGGAGGGCTCTGCCCCGCCCAGATTTCACCAAGGGGGGCACAAGCCCCGTTGCCCCACCCCCCATAGTTTACGCCTATGAGCAGGAGTATCGTCATTCGCTGAGCTTCTTTCGTAAACTGCACTGACTGGCGGTCCCGAGTGGTTTGCAGGAAAGTGTAAGCTTTTTCAGCTTTGATTTTGTTTCTTGCTTTAATATTTTGTGATGACTTTGACTGCATGCAGAGTATAGTTAAGTTTTCATCCTTTAAATCCAGTATGCACTACTAATTCCATTAGCATAGCTTTTGTGTGTGTGTTACTCAAATTTTGCATAATCTATAGTTCGCTGACGATTTACAGCAGCTCAGCTGATCAATACAAGACTTCAAGCATTCCTGATATCTGACCAAATGTTCAAGGCATAATGGGGGAAAAATTCTCCAATTACCGTGAACACCAACAGGCGGGGAAGGAAAGTTAAAGAAAGGAATACCCAGGCGAAAATTTCTAACTGGGACCAGTTGGCACCTCAACTGGTTTCAACTGGGACTAACTGGTCCCAACTGGGAAGCAACTGGGACTAACTGGTCCCAACTGGGAATCAACTGGGACCAATAGGAGTCCAACTGGGGCCAGCTGAGGGGTCAACTGGTTTGAACCATTCCCAGTTGGGAGTCAACTGGTTTGACTCCCAGTTGGGAATGGAGTGCACTGGAACCAGTTAGGAAAGTAACTAGTTAGAGCGATTCCCAGTCGGACTTCAAATGCCTTTCCCGTTCCCAGTTCACACTGGGCAACAATTTGGACAAGTTGGGGGTGTATTGACCTTTGCTAATGAAGAAAACTAAAAACACTAACATTTTTAGATTTATACAAATAGGGAATTTTTAATTACTGGGGTACATTTATATATTTATAAAAATAATATAAAAATTTTAATTAACTAAATAATTTTTTAATTGGAAAATATAATTAGTGACAAAATGTGTTCACCTAAATGAACTTTTAGTGCATTATTGAAATATATTAAAACATTTATTTAAATACCTACAGTATTTTTTTTTTCTTTTAATGAATAAATTTATCTTGACTAATCAGAGCTAGCCGGCCGCCGTGGCACGCGGGTGCGGATTAGTGGTACGCGCTGTCGACAGATGGCGCTGCCTATGCTGACGCCGGATGCCAAAGAGGAAAACAAAAGAATTATAGAATGTATAGCAAGTGACATTAATGAACTAGGGAGGGGGTGTGAGATTATTATACTAGGAGACATGAATGCACACATTGAAGATATGGACGGGTACACGGATTCGACAGGTAACATGCTGCTAGATATGTGTGAAAGACATGACTTGGTTTTATGCAACAGTACCGAGAAGTGTGAAGGGCTCATAACTTGGGAGGTAGGGAGTTTGCATTCGACGATAGATTATTCACTAATGTCGCATAGGATGTATGATAGGCTAAAGGTAATGAACATAGATGAACTTGGGGTCAGAAGCCTGGGTAGTGATCACAAACGGATCAAGCTGAGCTTTACGAGAGAAACCGGGAAAGGAAAGATGCAAGATGAACAACCAGATAGGATCTTTTACTCGGAGAAGCAACTGGAGATAGCAACCAAACAAATTGAGGAATTAATTTCTGGCGATACCACAGCAGAATGGACTTACACAAATTTAATGAGATTATTTGAGCTAGAGCTATCCAAGGTCCGACCTAGAGAAAAAGGAAAAGGAAGGCATAAACCCAAGAGCTGGTGGGATGGGGAGGTTAAGAACGCCATAGAGAGACGCCAGGAAGCATCCAGGGAACACAGACATTCCAAGCAAAGGGGGGAACCAAAAGCCGAAGTAGACAGAAAATGGGATAATTTCATAATTTATAGAAGGGAAGCATCCTGTTTAATCAGTGAGAAAATGAGAACAAGGGGGTCCCAATGGTTGTCAAAAGTGCACAAAAAGGATAAAAAGGCAGCCAAGAAATTTTGGAAACATCTGAACTCCATGAGTAATAAGACAAGTTTAGAACAGAGGTTTATAGTTACAGTTCAAGGTACTCGACTGGAAGGGGATAAGGCAATGCAGCATATAGGGACAATGATGGCGGAAAAATTTAAAGACCGAAGGAATGAGGCACATGCTTTATCGCAGGAGAACAGACCGGTAAGTGCTATGGATTCGTTCGGACAAAGAGAATGGGAAAGGGCAGAGAAAAGAGTTCCTAGTAGCACCTCGACAGGCCCTGACGGTATTCCCATTATGTTAATCAAGAACTTGGGCCCAAAATCTAAGCAAGCATTAAGAGAGGCAGTGAATAAAATGGTAACGGATGGGAAAGCCCCCGATGAATGGAGACTAAGCAGGATGAGCATGATATATAAACGAAAGGGGGACAAAGCGGACATAAACAACTATCGTCCTATAACGGTGACGTCAGTGATTTACAGGGTGGTGATGCAGATTATAAAGGATAGACTGCAGGCATGGGTGGAGAGCGAGGGGGTGCTGGGGGAGCTGCAGAATGGGTTCCGGAAGCAAAGGAGGTTAGAGGACAATCTGTTCTCTTTAACGCAGTGTATCGAAATAGCAGAAAAGGAACAAAGGCCCCTATGGCTAGCGTTTCTGGATATCAAAGGAGCCTACGACAGAGTAATTCAAGAGAATTTGTGGGGCATACTGGGTACATTAGGGGTAGAAGCTGGAGTAACTAATCTTTTAAAAAATATATATAATAGCAACAAGGTGCTTATAAAATGGGAAACAAATGTATCGGAGCCTATAGAGATAGAGCGGGGGCTTAGGCAAGGCTGCCCTTTGTCGCCTTTGTTGTTCATGTTATACTTACAGGGATTGGAGAACAAACTAGAGCGGAGCGGGTTTGGCTTCAACCTTTCTTTCATCAAGCAAGGTGAATGGATTAAACAATCACTACCGGGGCTGATGTATGCAGATGATATAGTGCTAATGGCCGACAACAAAGAAGATTTGCAGAAATTAATGGATATCTGTGGTACAGAGGGAGATAAACTAGGTCTTAAATTTAGTCAAGAAAAATCGGCAGTGATGATTTTTAATGATAAAGATGGTGGCGAGCATAGGATACAAGAGGTCATGTTGGAGGTAGTGGATAAGTACAGGTATCTTGGGGTATGGATAAATAATGGTGTTGAGTATCTAACGGAGCATGAAAAACATGTAGCGATGAAAGGTAGCAGGAATGCAGCCGTCATGAAACATAGGGCTCTGTGGAATTACAGTAGGTATCAAGTGGTGAGGGGGATTTGGAAAGGGGTCATGGTTCCCGGCCTGACCTTCGGCAATGCGGTCCTGTGCATGAGACCAGATATTCAAGCAAAGTTAGAAATTAAACAGCGGGGCGTAGGTAGGCTTGCTTTGGGAGCTCATGGAAATACGCCGAATCAGGGGGTACAAGGCGACATGGGATGGACGTCATTCGAGGGCAGGGAAGCTAGCAGCAAGATAGAATTTGAGGAGCGTTTGAGGGAAATGGAGGAAGAGCAGTGGGCTAGGAAAGTTTTCAGTTATTTGTACATGAGGAATGTAGATACCAAATGGAGAAAGCGAACTAGAAAATTATCAAGCAAATATTTGGGCGGCAGTGGGGGCGCCAACCAGGAATTACGGGTTAAGAAAAGGATAAAAGAAACAGAGAAGGGTCTGTGGGAAACGGGTATGCAGACAAAACCAGCACTGGAGACGTACAGAATGTTCAAACAGGAAATTTGCAAAGAAAATATCTACGATAATTCTAGGGGAAGCTCTTTGTTGTTTGAGGCCAGGACAGGAGTATTGCGGACTAAGACGTACCGGGTTAAGTACCAGGAGATGGACACTTTATGTAGTGTGTGTGGGGAGCAGGAGGAAATGGCTGAACACTTAATACTTTTCTGTAAAGGGCTTCACCCAACAGTTAACAGTGACCGGGCGGATTTAATCAAAGCATTGGGTTTTAAAGACAGTGAAGGAAAAATAGACTTTACACGGGTAGAAATAACCAAGCGGAGGTTATCAGACTGGTGGCTAAAATCGAGGCAGGGGTGAGATTTAATCTTGGAATTCAAAACATATAATTAGATTTATAATGTTGGCTAGGTGGCGCAAGCCACCGCCTGATTCACAGGGTTTAGCCAGATCCATCCATCCATCCATCCGGAGTCGGACGGACGCGGTAGAGAAGGGTCGCCATGTCGCCATCGCCCAAGTTGGCGTCGTTATGAAAATGTCAAAACTACAGCTGCGCTTCTTTGGACCTAACTGTACACACACCATGGTGGCGGCGGTGAACTTCGAGGATGGAAAGATGCAGTTCAGCCATCGGAGGGCACCCAGGAAAGACCGGACGGAAGAGAAAACGCCGCGGAGAGCACAATGGCGAAAATGGCGGGAGGTCTACCTCGAAAATGTTCGACTGTTGTGACAGAGATTGCAAGGTGGGAGCGCTACCGCATCTTATCAGGACTTCACCTGCGCAACGCAGGATCACGGGTGAGCACCTTTCTTCACGCGATGGGAAGAGAAGCTGAGGACGTCTTCACTAACAGACGCCAGCGGCCGATCTTCCTTCATCTCATGAATACCACCTCTGAAAAAGCGATTCAACCATCGCAAGCAAGTGGCTAAACCCGGAGGGTGTACGTCACCGAACCTATTTATTTCCATTCTCCAAGTTTTTGACAATAAATTCTTGTCATCCTTCCATTTTGTGCCGTGTTTCATTGTTGCTGGAGTTGGTACCAACTCCAACTGGGACCAATTCCAGCTGGGACCAACTCCAACTGGGACCAGTTGCAACTGGGAATTGTTCCATAAACCAGTTGCAACTGGGACCAACTGGTCCCAGTTGGGCGACTTCAACTGGGACCAGTTGTAACTGAGAATTGTTCCATAAACCAGTTGCAACTGGGACCAACTGGTCCCAGTTGAAAATTTTCGCCTGGGTATCATTACGAGGCCTTTCAGGCATAGGTCATAGGAACACGAGCGTTATTAAAAACGTCATCCAGAAATTCGCTTTGTCAAAACTAATATGTGTTTTCCTCCAAGTGACAACGTTCAAGATACATGCTGTTTAGTTGGATTTTTAAATTCCAATTCACATTGTAAATTTATGTTAAAAGGTGGGAACAGCGCAGGAAAAAACCGACGAAGGACGAGTAGAAGAAGTGCACAAACACAGCGCTGACTAACAACTGAATGTTTATTTTCAAGCGAACGAGAAAGTAAACACTGGGTGTGGAAAGGAAAAAACACAGAAGCTTTCCACACCCAGTGTTTACTTTCTCGTTCGCTTGAAAATAAACATTCAGTTGTTAGTCAGCGCTGTGTTTGTGCACTTCTTCTACTCGTCCTTCGTCGGTTTTTTCCTGCGCTGTTCCCACCTTTTAAGATGCTTAACCAACTCGCCCAACTCTCTGCCGTGTAAATTTATGCCCACTAATACTAAGAAAACTGAACATGGTGCTACAGAAATATGTAAAACAAAAGGTGAAGGTGTAGGCAACACTTACCGGTAACAGAAAACTGCCTCGATTTTTTGTCCTGCAGAAGTATGTGGTCGCAGATCTCGTAGCGAAACTCCTGGCCATCAAACGTCTTCACCGAGTTGCCCGCAACCATACAGATCCCAGCTGCAACCCAAATTAAGTGGCCTTGTAAAATAAGCTTCACAGAAAATGGCTGATAAGATTGGACAAACCACAAACCAGGGAAGTTAAAGCGTCGGCTACTAGAGTGTTAACTTCGCCTAAAACAGACCCATGCTTTACATTTTATTATTAGTGGTAAAAGAAACTTTGCATATATATTAGCTTTTCGCCCTTTGAGCCGTTTGCATTGACTGATGAACGGCAAATATTGTGTTGAAAAATGACGCATTCCCGCTAGTGAGAGAAATTATATGTTACATGTTTAACATCTCACCATTGGCCAAAACCTTGCACACATCCTCATCGCCTTCGGGCACTGTAAGAGACGATTGTAAAGAGTCAATGACAGCACGTGCCGCACAGATTAAGACTGGTTCTTAGTACAATAGAGCGCATGTATGCAAAGCATACCACAAACGTATTCCGGGCATCGGGCATTGCGGTCCATCTTCGGGTACTGGCCCTTCGGACAGTTTGGTTTCTTTGCCGTCGGGCAGGGAGATATGGCGGGCGGGTGTCCCTGTGGCTCTGAAGAAGAAAGACGTACAAACATAATTAAACAACCGCCTTGCTTTCTGCCGTGGGCAACTGTAGCGACACTTCATATTTAATAATAATAATACCGGTGTGTGAATATTCAAGTTTTAAATTCGAATCAAATAATGGTAATGGTTGTCCAAATAATTAAAATCGACGTTCAAATTCCTGTATTCGATTTTCTGAATCATTCAATTAATCAAATATCAGTAGTACTGCTGGTAAAACTTCAGGTTCATGCTATTCCTATAGTCCCAAAAGGCTTGTGTTGGATCTATGTCAAGCCTGGATTTTAGAGTTCCTGACTAGGGAACCGTTTCGACAGAATGTAATTCGTTTCCTGTGCTCCTCGAACGAAGTGATTATGCTCCCAGCTCCTTACATGCGCCCAACGCAAACCTATCCATGCATGTTGCCATTTTGGATTCGAGGGCCTTTCATCACCTGCAGCCAACGTTACCTAGCACCCAATTTGGTACACTATAAACCAATTCTTGGTTGTTACGTCCCTAATATGACAAACTACCATAAAATTTAAAATTGCACTGATAACTGACCAACTGAACCATTCTCTTTTGCTAACCCGTCGCAACCCGCGCAAGACGTCACCTGGTGTCTTTTTTTTAAATGGAACATTAAATGTGATATTTTTTGTGCAGCACTTCCTTTCTAGCTGTAACACAAAACACATGTGCATAGGCAGGAGGGTGATAAAAGTATAACTTGAGAAGGAAGAACAAAATTAGGAACGTCCCCCAAGGGGAATCGAACCCAAGATCTGAACATATTTTTTGCACAATGCTCAACCACTGTGCAAAGGGGGAGACTTATGAAGCGATATAGTTATTTTGCGCTGTTCTCATCATCGCGCGGATCGCAGGACAAGGCGCTCGCTGGATGTGCTGCAGTCTTTTTCGCAAGGCCTCGCAAAATGAAGGGGTTATCTGAAAAATGAAAGATGTCTCTACTCACTACTCAAAAGTGTTTTCTTACCTTTATTTTGACAACCTTGTCGGAACCTTTTTATTTTGCCTATGTATCTCTCTAGTGTTTATACCAGTCTACAGTGATTGACTATCTCTATCCGTGCCATGTACAAAGTGATCAACTACCCCCACCGGTCAACTATGATTGTCTATCTGTGCAAGTTTGCTACATACCACCTCTCCCGGGCCACGTCCCACAAGCATACTACAATTTTGACGGGTCAGAAAATCTCAAAAACGAACTTATGAAAGAGGAGTAATAATGATAATAATATTTATTATTATTATTATTATTATTAAAGCATAAAATGATTTTAACGCTACGTCTAGCTCCCCCAAACCCAAAAGATTTTCGGATTAGGGGAGGGGAGCTTCACAATCCCAAAATCTGTTCCGTCCATCCATCCGTGCATTTTCCACTCAATTTTGCGGGAAAGGGAGCGTCACGTGACCTATACGTCAACTCAATTTCCACGCTAAAAGGGAAAATACACGCGTCGTGACTAGGGATGTCGCGAACCACCCCAGGTTCGATTTCGAAAGGTTTCGATATTTGCGAAGCGAACTGAGGTTCGATTTCGAAAAATTTCGATCTTTTCGTACCGACCGAGGTTCGAATTCGAAAAATTCGCAACTTTCGATCACGGTGGAGTTTCGATTTCGAAAAGTTCGAAGCTTTCACGGTTTCTAAAATTTCGGATTCGAATATTTCGAATATGTTTTTACTTCAGGTTCGATAAATTCGATTATTTCGAAATTCTTTGGAAATAAAATTCGAAAACTTCGAACGCTTCGAATTTTTATAGACATGAAGTTCGAACAATTCAAAGATTTCGAATTTCTTTCTGCAAAAAGTTCGAAAAGTTCGAAGGTTTCGATTTTCTTTTATCGCTGAATTCAAAAAAAAAAAACAAAAAAACCTCGAAGATTTTGATTTTTTTTTTTAGTCCAAGTTTTCAAAGTTCGAAGTCCGGTTTTCAAGTTCCTTCACAGTTTGTTTCAAATAACGTTTTCACGACTCACTGGTTTTCACAAAATCAAGTTTAGAAAAGTTAGGGTGTGATATCTAGATTCTGCGAAGTTGGTCAGGCAATTAAATGAGACGACGAGTGTCCCGGATGTGCTGGAATATTTGGCAGTGCAGAGTGACGTCTGACCATAGATCAGTAATTGTGACTGCCAGCCCGGGGGGGGGGGGGGGGGGGGGGGGGTGTCTTTAACCTGCATCACGCAGTAGTGATCACACGAACACACTGTTTTAGGAGACTCATCCAGTTTGAAACGGCCAGGGGCGACCAGTAGGTTGAGGCTCAGAAAAACGTTGTAGCAGCCTGGCAAACTACCTCGCCACCCCTTGCACGCTGGTAGTAATTCGATCGAACGCTGCTCGAATGACGCTGGCATTTAGTAAGTTAAGTTTGTAATTGTCCTGGATGTTTATTTTCTGGGACGGAGGAATCGCCTCGCAAAAAGCCGACACAACTCGAGGTCGAGGAGCGTTCTACCATACGAGTGGCGTCGGAAGAGGAAAAACGGGGGGAAAGAGGGTAGCGGGGGGGGGGAGGGGGGGCTTCAGTTTCCTTCCCCCCTTCCAGATATTTCGGACTGTTAAAGAAAACAATACGGGGAAAGAGGACGTGGTCGAGCTAATTTTAATCTGAAATTATTTACGCACATGTATAGCTACTGTTGCTCTTCACTGCATAAAAGATTGCGTAGATGGTCATTGTTAGAAACTCGTTGTCAGAAGGCGCTACTCGTCACATGCTTAGTGGTTCGGAAGTTCAAAGCTATGTCTTTTCAACCTAAATACCTGTGTCAATGGTAAAAAAAAAAAAAAAAGGAATAAATGCGGGGATAAAAAGCTGGAGAAAAAAAAAAGTACCAAGAATTCGCCGGAAGTGTTGTATTCTTGCATATTCAGAGGTTCAGAACTTTGAAACAAGTTTCTTTTACCAAAATGTGTACAGGCTAAAAGAAACACGTCCCAGTAACGTGAAGCGAAAAAAAAAAAATGTTTTCTTTTAATGACGTGCTGAACTTTAACACTATTAGAAATCTTCTCCCATGAGTTAATTACGTGAAAAAACAATAAATACATCATTTCGTATTCTGCAGATGGCAATGATATGTACTGCCCGTGGTGTTAATTTAAATGCGATACCTCAAACAACTTAGACGAAAATAAATATCAAGTTTAGGGCATACTTGCATGTAGATACATGTTTGGACATTTCTTCGAAACTTGCGTTGAATAACAATAATCACATCTTAAGACGGCACTTACCTAGGCTATACATAGATCATTCTTTAAAAAAGTATAACATCTCTACCATAAATAGCTTCGGTTACAGCGCGCTTCAAATCTGGCACAAACGATAATCGTCAAAAACCCGTCGTCCTTCCTCGCCCCTTCGGGAATTTCTTTCTTTAAAACTAAGCATGCCAGAACATTGAAACAAACGGCATTGTCTTTCGTAAGGAACGCAGCACCGCGTGCAAAAGTTCGAGAAAAAAAGTTTACGAATGTACCTCACTACTTGAATACAAATGAAACCGTCCGCCGGTCTTTCGAAGTTCGACGAACGTCGAACTTTTACCCTAAAAGTTCGAAGTCCGTCGAACTTCTGACTTTTCAGGATTCGAAAGTTCGAAACTTTTCGAATTCTCTTGATAAATAAGTTCGAAAGTTCGAAATTCATTGAATTTTTTGGTCAGTTAAGTTCGGAAGTTCGACAAGCATCGAACTTTGCAGCGCAATAACTTCGAAAGTTCGAAAAAGATCGAATTTTCTAGCGTAATAAGTTCGACGGTTCGAAAAGCGTCGAACTTCTTAGCTTAACAAGTTCGAAAATTCGACTTCCGTCGAATTTTACGATGTAGACAATTCGAAAAATCGAAATCTTTCGAACCTTTCGAACCGCTTGATTCGATCATCGAAACTTCGATTCGAAAAAAGTTCGCGGCATCCCTAGTCGTGACTGAGACAGCAATTCAGTTTCCCGCTAAATTTAGCGGGAAAATATATGTCACGTGACACACCAATACCCTCACCATCTTCCTTTAATGCATTTTATGCATTATAGCACTTTGAAGGTAAAAGTCGCTGCCAATTATTATTATTATTATTATTATTATTTACTTTATTTTATCCACTATGATGAAAAGACAGGAAATGAAACAGCCGTGCGCAGTTTCAGTCTTTGAACCCCTGCAATGGTCAGCTGCAAGCGTGCAGAAAATACTCAAGACATAAATATTGACCAAAAGGAACGACTGAAATTTATTTTGGAATTTATTTTAAAGGAGGAAAGAAAATATGAATAATTGAAATAACTGTGCCACATTTGAAGAAAAAAAAAGATAGAGGAACAAGAATATATAAAGCATTAAAACAAGTGCAAATCTTTAGACGGAGTAGATACTAATAACGCAAAGAGTATTTAACGAATGTGGGAGAGTACGCTCGGAGTGTTGACTGTTTTGAATCAACTGTTGGAAACGATGTGATCCTCTCCTGCTTGGATGATAAAAAACACCTGCAATATTCCTAAAAAAAAAAAAAAAAAGTTGCGCATTTGGATGCTATATATTGTTCGCTGAGCGACCATCCTCCAGTTCTTTTTGTGACGCAAAGGATAGGCCAGTCAATGTCCTCTCAACAACGCGATTGTATTGATCCCTCTTAGAACAAGTGCTCAATCGGTGTTCATAAAACTAGTAAACATTAACTTAAGGTTTTATATAGCTCAGCAGCAATTCTATAACATACACCAATTTGCACCATCTGATGCGTAGCAAAGAAACATATCTTTAGCCATGCCACCCTTTCTGGCTTGGTCTTCTGGGACGACACCTATAATCGGTGACAGGTAACCGTTCCGGGGAACCTCTCCCCACCTCTTTCCATTTTAGCAGAGCGAATGCAGGAGAGGAGGCGACCTCCTCTCCAGCGTTCGCTCTACTTAAGTAGAAAGAGGGGGAAGAGCTTACCATGAACTCTTAATGTGCCACCGGACGAATGGACGGACGGGTGTTAATAGGTAGCTTTCGTAGATCGTTTTCGCCGTCCCGCAGTGCTCTCCGCAACCCGCTACGATATCCGGAACTCTACAGTCAAGGCTATCGGCGCGCGGGCGCAGTAGCGGCTTCTTTGTTGCGGAGGGGTTAGGGGAGGGGGAAACGCGGTCTACGAAAATTCCCTAATGTCTATACCCTTTCTAACGGACAGTAGGTTGCGCCACCTAGCCTAAGTATAAAAGACGAAACATATGATTCCTCCCGCCGATCTAAGTCAATTTTTCGCCCCTAACTATCGCCAGGCAGTGTGGGATATCACCAAGATGACTTTTGGGGGATCGGGCAAAAAAAAACCAAGCTTTTTCCTTTCGGCGAGTGAGTTGCCAATTTTCCTCTGGTGTCGGCGTTACCCCAGCACCGGACCCACAGAAGGTTGAGACTTTGGGCCGGAGCCAAGCTGGAGGGAGTCCCAATTTTTCTCTGTCCTGCCTGTGCTAGCTAGTTGTGCACCATTCAATTTTCCCTAGATAATTTTCATCAATCTTCTAATCGCCTCTTTGTGACTGTAATCCTTTTCTCTTCCGTCCTTCCATCGTCGCCAACAAAACCCAGGGCCCCGGCCAGACCCGTTACCTCTTCAGGGAGGGCAGGGCGAAGCCTTGTGCACTTCAAAACCAAGTGCTCTTAGTGTCTCGCTATCATTATGGCAGGTGGCACGCAATGTGTCTGTCTCCTGCACGTCCTCAAAACTCCCATCCTCAGTAAGGACAGAACCGAGCGGGTTGGTATATATGATTAAACTTGAGGAAGAAAACGAGAAAGGACGGACAACCACAAACTTCTAACTAGCAACAACATTTATTGACACCAAGACTTTGCTTATATAAACAGGAAAAAGAGAGGGTGAAATAAGGCGGAAAGAAGGAGCACTATGCTGTGTGTGTGTGTGGGGGGGGGGGGGGGGGGGGGGAGGGGGGTGGCACAAAGTTCTGAGCTAAGAAATTTTATCTCTTTCCCTGAAAGGGCAATGGAAGGGGAACCGATGTTACAAGAATCGGGGGTCACACCTCGAGGTATGGTCGGGAGATAATAGAAGCCTTCGCCATGAGTCGATCCAAGGACAACATCCGTTCCCCCTCCACTTTTGGGGAAAGAGATAAGATTCCTTAGTTCCAGAGCTTTCTCCCCTACCCTCCCCCCCCCCTCTCTCTCTCTCTCCCTTCCTCCCTCCCTCCCTCCCCCCCCACCCGTTCCCGCGACAGTGACGTACCAAATACTTTTCGTCCAAATACTTACTAGTACAGTATTTGGACGTACGAGCCTCGACGGCATAGTGCTCCTTCTTTCCACCTTTCTTCACCCTCTCATTTTCCTGTTTATAACTTACAAGCAAACTCTTGGTGTCAATAGATGTTGTTGCTAGTTGGAAGTTTGTGGTTGTCCATCCTTTCTCGTTTTGTTCCTCGAGTTTAATTCTCCCTTTCTCGCCTCAAACAGTAAAGAATAATTAATTGTGAAACATAGTTTCCTTTCTTATGTCCTGTACATTGTTAGAGCTGATATTTCCTGCATTCTTTTACCTGCCACATTTTTCTTTCTGCCTCTTTCACTCTCTTCCCACTGAAGTCTGCTCAGCCCCAAGTAGGTATTTAAATGTAAGCTTTCGGGTTCGGTTCGTCAATTTTGTGTTCAAACTTTTCATGCATAAATACTTGAATACCTCCCGTGCCCACCGCGTATCATCCATTTCGGTCAACCTTTGTTCAAATTTCAATTTAGCTACTAGAGGACCAGCCCATGTCCTTAAGCTTCTCTACTCCCTCATTTGGTGTCTTTCCGTATGCTCCCAGTGCACGTGTCCCAGTGCCAATCTGCCTACACTTCTTTGTCGAATTTCTAATCCCGATTGAACCTCTGATTTCATGCGCAGTGCCCCATTACTATTAATAGCAAGTCCAAAGTGCTCGATTTGTTATGTCGCCTGTCACAGGCCAGCACCGCGGTGCTCGCGTCAATCCCCCTCAACGCGCAGTACAAGCGGTCACGGGACTCACGGCCACGCGCTCGGGTTGGTGATGCTCCGAACGGGCTCTGCGTCAGACAGTGCAGCGATTGGGCATGACCTCCAAGCCGCACGTGCAAAATGCGATATCGGCGCAGCGGAACGCGAGGAGGAAAATGCCATTCAAATGTCACCATAGAGAGCGCGCAGGGAGCGCGCGATGACGAAGGGGCCAAGCGCGCGCCGTCATTGGGTGAGATCGGGGAAAACGAAAGCGCGTTAACCAATTGCGTTAACGCGTTTGAGGGTGAAGGAACGCACGAAGTTCGCAAGGAGCAGACGAGCTTGCACGGGTCCTCGCGTCCAGTCCATCTGCCGCGTTTGATTATCGTCCTCCCGGGCGAGGCTCGCGACTACGTCATCAACGAAGGAGGGGCGGAACGAAATAATTCTCTTTTGTCCCTCGAAATTACACGTCGATAAATAAGCCTTCGGTTCAGTGGCGTTTTCTTTTTTTTTTTTTTTTGGCCCTTTTTAGGTTTCGTCGCCTGCCAGTGCCAGCGTTATTAGCTAGGCCAACCTAGGCGACGTAAAGCCTCAACGAGCCACTACTACTGGCGTTTATAGTGTAGGCATATTAGGCCGGTATGTTTACGTAGAGTGTACAACATGCAAACGCAATATCGTTTCAAAACTCCCGTTATATATATATTTTTTTAATTGATTTTCATTGTGATGGCAGTTTTTGTAATCTTGCTCTCAGACGTAGTTACTCGGAGCGTCATTTTTTGAGCTTGTCTTCAGATCGCGGGCATCTTTGTTTGCCGTATCTTTTGGCGCGCGTCGTGCATTCTTCGGCTATTGTTCACGTCTGATAAAGAGTTTTAGATTAGCATTTTGGTCACCGCGGTAACGGAGCTCGTGCTATCACACCGAAACACAGACTGAAGCACGCGCCGGGCGACGCCCACAGTCCGCAGCGTGCGCTGTTCAGAAACTCGCCAATACGGGTCAAAAAAAAAAAAAAAAACTTTTTTTTTATTTTGCATGTTGTACATTTTTAGAAACCCCTACATAAATGCTTCTCCGCAATACACACACACACACACGCAAAAAAAAAAAAAATGCCATATTTAGACAATGAGCCAAACCAGCGCAGTGTCCGTAGCAAAAGGCGTGATGGCCCAACTCGAGCTAAACTGACAAAAAGAACATCGATTACTGGGGTGTCGAGTAACGCGTCGCGAGACAAACACTTCCCGCACTCCGTTTCACATCAATTCGGAACGCAGCCGACGGCAGCCAATCCGAAGAACCGAAATTGCACCATCACGGCGCTCGTCTTTGTTTGCTGGCACCTGCTAAACCGAGCGCGCGGAATCACGCCGCGTTCGCTGCACACCACCAACACCGCTGACTGTGGACACCTGCCTGGCGTCTGATATTCCGCAGAAGATAGTGAAGTCTGCATGCGGACGCTCAGGACGAATTCCACGGTAGACAGAAGACCCGCAGAAGGCGTTTATTGAAAGAAAGCATTCCACCGAAGGTAAATGACAAAAGAGCGGTTTGGGGGCATGACGCCGCTGGGGCTCACCGTTTGCGCAGTCTTGCTCGTCGTCGGGGCAGTCCTTGACCCCGTTGCACCACTTGAACTCATCGATGCACTCGTTGGACGTCTGGCAGAGGCGTTGTCCAGGCGGGCAGAACTCGCACTTGCAGTTGCAGTCGCGATCGAACGTGGAGCGTTTGCCCTCCTAGACGACGAAAGAAAAAAGAATGTTCACACACAACTGTACCGCACAGTGAATGAAAAATCCGTCCTTCGGTCACCCGTAAGGCGGCAGTGGTGAGTATCTATAAACGCGCAGTTGCCGATCTTGCAACGCGTCAGTGCGGTCTTCTGATGTCTTGGCGCGCCAGCACGGAAAGAGCAAAGTACAGAGTGACGACTGTTTTGGATTAACGAGCCTGTGTGCCCTCATCGACAGTGTTAGCGCGAATAAGCCATCGCCGGTTTTCACCGTATTCGTCTCAGTATTGAATGACTGTCAAAAAAAAAAAATAGTGAAGGAAAGTGCCTTGTTGTGTAACTTTACCTAAGTGCTAAATTTCGATGTCCGCCAGTAATATTTCGAGGCAGAGTGCGAAGAAGCGCAGACGTCGTGTTCGCGCAGCCTACCTTTCACTTCAATGTCACCTAAAAGACAAATGCAGTATTAAACTAAGCTTTGCACTCTAAAACAATTGACTGTGAGTCTACTTCCCCTCAGAGCCGTATGAGGTTCAGTCAGTTCAGTCCCTGCTATCTGCGGAGCAGTTTCAACGAATCACAAGGCCCCATGGTAGGATCATGAACCAAAATGCGAATCGTGCAGGGAAAAATGATCAAGCGAAACGTCATCATGGTGTAATACGCCAAAACAACAGGGACAGACAAAACGAAGGTAGAACTAGACAGGACGCGGCGTAACTTTCAACTGAATTGTTTATTTAGAAGACAGAATTTAGGAAAAATATAATATAAAAGCAGGCACACGTGGCAGAACAACAGATAAGGTCCAAAAACACACCCCCCTCAAATGCCAGCGTCATTGGTTCTTCAAATAGTAGAATTCTTTATCAGTCAATGACAAAGAGGGAGCGCTTATGCAAGTATTGTCGTGGTGGGACCTAATCAGGAAAGCTTCATGAATTTCTCTTGCCGTTTTTGTTTTATAATGGCCCATGACACAGGTGTCACCAAAGATGGGGCTGCACTTTTCAGAGTTGGGCCCGCAATCGCAACGGTCACAATGAACCGCTAAGTGGCCAGAAGGGGACTGTCTGATCGCTAACGCATGCTCTCTGACCCTATCATTAATGCATCTCCCCGTCTGGCCAACGTACACCTTACCACATGACAAGGGGATTTTATACGTGACACTGGTAGCGCACTCGCGGAACTTGGTGACATGTCGTTTTTTGCATGACTCTCGTGTCACATCCGATTCGTCTCCTAATCGGCTTATCCTCTTACACAGCGAAGAAAGTTTGTTCGGTGCTGAAAAAACGACTGGTATGTCAAAGCGATGGGCCACCTTCTTCAGATTGTGGGACATCTTATGTATGTACGGTAGGACAACAGGCCTACCTACTCTCTTAGGAGCCCTTTCGCACACTGCGCTGTTGTCTTTTCTCATCTTTTTTGCTAAGGTCTCTGAAACATCTCGAAGAACATGACGGGGGTACCCTGCCGCTTCAAGTCTGCTGAGTTGAGAATGAAAACTGTTGTTCATCCTGTGGGGGCATGATTTCTTTAGCGCAGCCCTTAGGCAAGATGAAGCAATGCCCCTCTTCACTAACTTGGAATGCGCCGAGCTGAATGGAAGCATTCCTTTCTTGGAACGGGGCTCATACGCCCAGCAGGTGTGCTCCGCTCCGAAATATATCCCAAGATCCAAAAACTGCAGCCGACCACAGACCGACGTCTCGTGGGTGAATTTTAAGCCGAAAGCGCAGCTTGCGAACAATTTTAAGAAACCGGTGATTGCTTGATCATCCGCAATTACAGGGCGGGAAACACACACCAAATAATCGTCTACGTAACGAAAAATTTTTACATGTTCCTTTTGCTTTGTGTGTTTCCCGCCCTGTAATTGCGGATGATCAAGCAATCACCGGTTTCTTAAAATTGTTCGCAAGCTGCGCTTTCGGCTTAAAATTCACCCACGAGACGTCGGTCTGTGGTCGGCTGCAGTTTTTGGATCTTGGGATATATTTCGGAGCGGAGCACACCTGCTGGGCGTATGAGCCCCGTTCCAAGAAAGGAATGCTTCCATTCAGCTCGGCGCATTCCAAGTTAGTGAAGAGGGGCATTGCTTCATCTTGCCTAAGGGCTGCGCTAAAGAAATCATGCCCCCACAGGATGAACAACAGTTTTCATTCTCAACTCAGCAGACTTGAAGCGGCAGGGTACCCCCGTCATGTTCTTCGAGATGTTTCAGAGACCTTAGCAAAAAAGATGAGAAAAGACAACAGCGCAGTGTGCGAAAGGGCTCCTAAGAGAGTAGGTAGGCCTGTTGTCCTACCGTACATACATAAGATGTCCCACAATCTGAAGAAGGTGGCCCATCGCTTTGACATACCAGTCGTTTTTTCAGCACCGAACAAACTTTCTTCGCTGTGTAAGAGGATAAGCCGATTATGAGACGAATCGGATGTGACACGAGAGTCATGCAAAAAACGACATGTCACCAAGTTCCGCGAGTGCGCTACCAGTGTCACGTATAAAATCCCCTTGTCATGTGGTAAGGTGTACGTTGGCCAGACGGGGAGATGCATTAATGATAGGGTCAGAGAGCATGCGTTGGCGATCAGACAGTCCCCGTCTGGCCACTTAGCGGTTCATTGTGACCGTTGCGATTGCGGGCCCAACTCTGAAAAGTGCAGCCCCATCTTTGGTGACACCTGTGTCATGGGCCATTATAAAACAAAAACGGCAAGAGAAATTCATGAAGCTTTCCTGATTAGGTCCCACCACGACAATACTTGCATAAGCGCTCCCTCTTTGTCATTGACTGATAAAGAATTCTACTATTTGAAGAACCAATGACGCTGGCATTTGAGGGGGGTGTGTTTTTGGACCTTATCTGTTGTTCTGCCACGTGTGCCTGCTTTTATATTATATTTTTCCTAAATTCTGTCTTCTAAATAAACAATTCAGTTGAAAGTTACGCCGCGTCCTGTCTAGTTCTACCTTCGTTTTGTCTGTCCCTGTTGTTTTGGCGTATTACACCATGATGCAAAACCAACTAGCCCAACTAGCCATCCTCATTCGAAACGTCATGTTAATTGTTTCTGCACATACCGTTTTTTTTTTTGTTTTTTTTTTTTTTGTCGATACAGTTTACTACGGGAAAGAAGGGACCATTGAGCCAATCAAAGTCCCACGAAATATCCTGCGAGTTGTTTCTAAAGTTCAGCATCCGCCACAAGACCTTGAACCGCTTGAACTATGCAGACAAGGCTGGCGGCACGCATGTGCAGCTGCGGCTAACGTCCCTGGATATTTTTCGTCGAGGGACTTTAGCTGCGGCGCTTTTTCCCCGGATACTGTAGCGGAGGGGAAAAACGGTCTACTACGATTCCCTATCAACCTGTTTTCTTGTTTAAAGTTTGTCTGACTTTTCCAAGAACATGCATCACCACCACTAACCAAATCTGTCTTGTTGCCGAGGCGCTGTAGAGTACGGCAGTTAAGAAATACAGGGCGTGGCTTATATATTCTTGTCGTCGGCGACTCCAGGTTTCAGACTCTCGACACGCAACGCGGTTGAAAGGGAAGGCAAAGCAAGAGTTACCGCATTGGCCGAGACGCTGCTGCAGGCGAGCGCCAGGACACAGACAACAAGAGCCAAACTTCGCCATGGCGCACTGGAGGAAGGCGACGACACACACGCGGAGCGCGCACACGCGAGACGTCGTACGCTTCTCATTTCTGAAAGATCTCCTCACGGTCGGAGCAACCACTCCTTTGTAATCTCGCTCACGGAAAGCGAGAGCAAAGAAACGAAAAAGAAAAAGAAAAAAAAAACACACACACACACACAAAAGTACGGCTCGGTTTTTGTCAAGATAGGGATTGGTCGAGTACCGGTCGGAAACGAGCGTCTTTCCGAGATAAGGAGGTGCTCTAAGATTTACGGTTGACGAATGCCACGTGACTAAAACCGAGTAAACGGCGCGAGTAAACTCCGCTCGAAAGACGTTAGCGCGGCGGCGAATGACCTACAGTTGGACGTTACCTACAGTTCGTAAAACGGAACCGCTATCGCTGCTTTATGAGCGGCGTGGTGAGTCGATGCGGTGCAATGACGTGCGTTTCATTCTTCGCCTGCAACCGCACAGCATCCTTTTTGGTTTGCATTGTCGACAAACGAGAATGCGAATTCTACGAAGACATGTTTATGGTAATCGAAACTCCAGAGCGCGCGGAGCTTGACACCATCTCTGTTTCACCTTATGATTGACCACAGAAGACGCTATAAGCCATCCTAACCAATCCGGTGCTTCTGAGCGTACCTAGTGACTCAACGCACTGCGCTCTTCGCTGTTCTTATCTAGAATGTCACGTGACACTCACGTGGCATTGGACTGGCTCCGATGGCTCGTAGCGTCTGTAGCGGTCCATCATAAAACAAAAAGGACTATAAACGGTTTTTTTTTTTATACATATATATTTCTGGTGTGTTGGGGCAGACGCGTGCGTAGGAAGGGTTTCGTACTTTGTTCGCAACACCGCGATTCACGTACACGGATACACGAGAAGGTGAACTTCGATCGGTTGTCGGTACAAGCGTGAGTGAGACCTTCAACCATCCAGCAGCGATCTCGCTGAGTCGACAACCTGCGATACTATAAAAAATAATATTCGTGACGGCTAGAGGCCTGGATCATGAACCAGTCACAGAATAAAGTTACTCGCTGTGCTCGGGCACGATAATTGTTTAGTAATAAAGCGTCTAAGCGGCACAGCTGACGCGAACAAAAACAATGACACTTTCCCGCGTCTCGACCAGTCAGATTATCGACGAACATCGAATTCTACTCCCGAAGTTTGTACCCCGGATATGCCGATGCGGCCTATCCGGGGTCGGGATATTCGCCGAGACGGGGTCGGATATTCGCGGTGACGTCAGGTGACCCACTAATCGTTCCAACCAGAGCTCGGCGTTCGGACGTCACCTCCGCGCTCTCGTCTAGTCCTTTCGCTCAATTTCTCGACAGATAATAGAGTTTTAGCACATCGCATTTTCATGCTACGATATTTGTAGCGGGAGTTCGCGCTGCCACTTCGACACATGCTCTGACGCGCGCGCTCGTAGCGGGAGCGAGCCTTTGAAAACGGTCTACTAAACCTCCCTAGTCTTTTAGTGGTGAAGGAAAGTTTAGCGCAAAAACCGGCAATCGAATGTTCGCGTTAACTGTTTTTTAGCTCTTTAGTTTTAACATTGGGAGTGCACTTCCCCGCAATAGGCTTTATTTCCAAGAACTTTTCAAAAGGAGCTCTCTAGCAGCCGCCAGCTTGTGACTGTAGTGACCCCCATCAAATCAGCCAGACGTTTCTGCCAAACGCCTGGGGTGTGGAAACCTAGGGCGCCTTCATGTCCCGCGCAAAGCGATCATGAAAGCACTCTATGGAAACCCGGCCAGCGCGACACGTACTCCACCTGCGTTGTATTGGGCGTTCGCCGACCTTTCTTGGAAGTTTTTACTTTATTTGCCTATTCAGGATTTTGTGTTATCTTCCTCTGTAGAACCAGGGAATACCAGGGCTTGTATCCTGTTTGGCCTTCGCGGGAAATGAATAGGAAACGAACGAAAAAAGCGAACATCGACTGGCCCGCGATGCGGGCCGTTCGACGTTCTTCGAGGATTATATCCGTTGAGATAATTTCCGGAAATATTTCGCGGTCTTCACGAAAAATAGCTGATCGGGTGCGGCGTACTCGTTCGTTCCTTTGCTTCGGTGCTGGCAACGTATAGTAAAACACTCAGTTGGGAAACCCAACCTAGAAACCTGGGCCGCTGGCGTCCACAGAGACCGAGCTAAATACGATAACAGCACCACCCTTTAGCGACGAGTTGAAACAGGAAAGTTGCTTTATATGGCTATTGCTACAGTCACTGAATGTTCCCAGACTACCTAAACTCTCATGCTCGAGGTGTCAAGATGGCGGCTCAATGTTTTTTTTTTTTACTGTGGTCACCATGACCTTTTAGAGAGCATGCTTTTGCGTGAAAGCCAACGAAAAAAAGCTCTTTTTGTAGAAACTTTATTAGAGATTAGTACAAAATTACAGGCGCGTGATGTTTTCTGAAATGTTTAGTTTACAAGGTTTTGCGGCACAATTAATATTGTCTTTATACAACCACGTCCCATCGGTGATTTCAGGTAGCGCGTCCCGACCCGGAGCGTCCTAACTTCGGTAGTAATTCGCGTCGCGTCCGCTTGGGAAACGGGGGTTGGCATCCCTGAAACTACTTCCACTCTATATGTTCCGGAGCCAAAATAGCCGATTAAAGCCAGAATAGAATAGTCACAGCGGACGCCATCGAAATGCGATACTCCCGAAACAACACAAGCAGCCGTGCGGTTCCCCGAGTGCCCGCCGCGGGAGCAATGGCGGCGTTGCGATCGCCATTATCTTCTCGAGTACGGATTGGTGACACTTTTTCAGAGCAGGCTCTATGGCAGTTTCCCAAATGAGTTGTTCTAGTAACGTTGGGTGCTTGGCAAAAAACGAACTCTCTTCAAAACCTACCCAAAAAAAAAGAGTCCGGATCACGCTCCGTGCGATGGTGTATAGGTAATAACCTATACTTCGTTTCAGCTTCGGTCCAGACGCAGCCGATGCTACAAGCGCGAGCATGTGGCCCAGAACAGTGCTTGCACTGCACCAGCGCGCGTGCTTGGCAGGGATGCTGAAAGCCCGGAGCTCGCGCTTGTAGCTTTGGCTGCGTCTGGACCGAAGCTGAAACGAAGTATAGAGGGTTCTAGTGGCAAGAGCGGCGGCCACTGCGTAAAGATTTTGCGCGTAGACGACACCGTAGCGCTGCTGTTCTGTGCCCTAGGAACTGTGGCAAGAGGCTTGAATGAAGAAGAACGAAGCGCCGGCGACACATGCGCTTCATGTCTAGAGCCCAGCGGACATGGCCTCGTCTCGTCCCACCTAAAGTCACTGTCCCTCCTGTCAGCCTCGTCGTCGGCGCTGCTCGGTGTGTACTAGTCTGGTTCGACTGGAGCTTTTCGCGACGCAGAACAAGTGCTAATGTGAAAAATTGTAGGTTTTCCTTTGCACCAATACCTCTAGAGTGTGTGCTATCCTCTACATTTATTATTCGCGTGTTTTTGATGGAGATCATTTGATTAATATCGACGCCCCCCTTCTTAGTATTGACAGGTCGTTCAGAAACGCTATCACTTGGGCAGTACGCTTAATAGCTGCGAAAGAAACCACGCGATACTGATATAACAAGGAAAAATAGAAAAATAAATGTCAATAAATCTCTCACTTTTTTAATGGTGAGAGGAACAGTAAACTGGTTATTGTTTTTTGTTCGTGTTGCTGATGCGGGGACCAGCGTTGTGTAGAGTGCAAGGCGGAGCGCGTTTGGGAACGGCCAAGGTGCCACTGCAACTGGCGAACATATAACAAATTGTTTTTTTTCGTGGAAGGCAGTCTATGAAGAAAAAATTCCTCGATTGGGAGTACATGAAGGATTAAAATACGATATGAACACAAACTTCAACTACCCCTAATATGAAAAAAAAAAGATTCTCAACTCACTGCTTCATGACTTCACAAAAGTGGTAATACAGTTCATCGACATATACAGCAAGCACATGACAGATATTCAGCAACATAGTACGCAAAAAAAAAGAACTACAAAATAGTCATAATAGCCCGACTTGCATCCCGGCGCGAAGCAGTGTGTGCGTCCGTCTTTTTCCTTGCATTTATGACCGAGACGGCAACGGAATGGGGAAGACTCCCCACCGTTACACCACAAAGAAAAGAGCTACGGTGCTACATTCGGGCGAAGCGTACCGCCTCAGCTTCGTCGTCTTCTTCGCTCATCGCACATCTGCCATCTGCCACAAATTTTCCTAGGGCACAGAACTCCAGCGCCACTCGCGGCATCTACGTTGACCGTCGTCACGCGGCCCATTGTAAGCGGGCACCGCTCTTGCCACTACACACTCTAGAACACTGTAGTAATAACGTTTGGCCGAAGGTCTAACATTCCAAGAGTTCACATGGAGCCCTAAAATGAGGGGTGAGCAGACGCTCGAGCCCTATCACGCCGACGTCGAAAAACAAAATGGCGGATTAACGTCATGTGAATCCTGGATGCTTACCAGAGTGCATCGGCACACTGTCCTCGCGCATTTGGAATGGCCATTCAGTGAGCATGTGCAGGTGTTGCAGTCTCTAGTCTTGATGATCGTATTCACCTGCAATAGAAGCGAACATGACTGCGCAAGTACACATCGTAGTGCTCATTCCAGCAAGCGCACGTCCGCCACATTGGAAAGCGAAGGAAGCGCAGGCTACGCACATCGCTGAAAAAAAGAATACATATATATATCGTGTTATATATCGTATAGCTGTATTTCGAGGAACGTAGCAGGCGATGATGTCCAGTCTCGCCTTTCATGGCACGCGCCATCGTGTCTTTCCAGGGCGTCGCCTCATCCTAGTTTTGCCCCTTGATTTATTTTTCTTGTTGTTTTCGAAGCTTTGGTCAGTTGGCGAAGTCTTGTCGAAGCGTTTCCAGCGTCTCGGTGTCCTCTCTCCCACTTCTTGTTTATAGTTGATTTTCCAAAAGCTCTTCGCAGCTGACCAACTGCCACTGTGTCAAGTGATGCAAACCAACCGGATGTGTTTTTTTTTCTCCTTTAACAGAATTACATTTGTATGTGCCTGTCTCTCCAGAACAGCAACCGTAATAACATCTGGCTGTCAGCATACTGTCACCCATAACGCGTACTGATATAGCGGCCAGGTAACGCAATCAATAAAGTGTATTTTCTTCCAAACATATACATAGAGAATATGGTCTTTTTTTTTTTTTAATACTATACTGCCGCGCCATTTTGCTAAATGTCGGAAAACTATATCTATTTTATGTATTTCGACAGGAATACCGAGACGACAACAAACGTTAGCATAATTAGCGCCTGTCCTGTCTTAATTGATTATCCTTCTCCTATTTGCGCTATTTTATTTGTATTTAATTCGAAGTACTTAATATTAACTGGGAGCGTTTCTTTAATGATGCGCGTTTGGACACATTAAGAATTTCAAGGTGAACACCAGAAAATATGTTGTAAAATATTTCTTAAACAAGTTTTTCTTTTTACAGTGTTATTGTTTTTATATAAAACTATATTGAGGTGTATGTTTAGTTCTATAGTTTATGTACTGATGATAGACCTTTCGTAAATTTATCGTTAAAAAATGGTGCGGACGTATTAGCACCCCCTTGGGTACTAATAATGGGTGTCCACTCAAAGCGTCCTTTGATGCGCTATCTGGACACGATCGCCCATCCTCCGAGCGCTGGCTCATCCCCGTGTCCAATCCGTGTTTGCGGTCGACCTCACTCTGGTCACGTCAGAATCCTAGTACAGGGTCTGATTATTCTAGGTGCGGTTGGTCACACTCTGTCACCATCAACTTGATCCGGGTTCGATTAGACAGCGATACGTCGTAAGGCCACGCATTCAACCGGTCTTCGGATTGACTGAGCTGGCTTCCGCAATCCACGGAAAGTGTTTGATGACTGACTAAAAAAATAAAATGTTTAGAGCTAAAAAAAAAAATCTTATTATGTGCTTGTAATTTGTCGAGCACCTTCCGTAGATTGCATATATATTGTCTCTCTCTTAAGTGCTTCGCGGGAAAGTATACCTTCCAGATTTTTTTAGAGTGTAGCATTGTCTTGACCAGCTTTGCGTGACGTTATCGGCACTCATTACTGATTCAGAGCGCTGCAATTGGGACGTATGGTAATCACGAACACGTATGACGACGTGATGAATGACTTGCATGAAAGAGATGTTCGTCCTGGAAGCAAGGACAGTGGGACTCGGGAACGCAGGTCGAACCATCGCAGAGGTGTCCTTGGGGACAGCTGGGACAGAACTGTCGGAGGTTCTCGGGTATCTCGGGGCACAAGCTCACGAATGAAGTCGCAGTTTCTGGAGGTCAATAAAAAAAAAAAAAGAGTTAACAAATAAATATAGTATTGCGTGGGAGCGAAACAAAAAGTCCCGATGAAAACTCCCGGTCATTGGGGGACATCAACGCACCTGGTGTACCAGGACTGGTTTCTGTGACATGTGGAGGAACAGCTGTTTGCTCGTCGTTCTGAATTCCTGAAAGAGGATAAAACCTACAGATTGTGGGATGGAAACCTCGCTCCCCATTCGTGCTACATTTTTACTACGTACAGTCCATGATTACTGACTTGAGCATTTTTATAGTATTGTCGCATCGAGAGAAGACAAATAAAGTACTCAATGCCAAACGCTTATTCTACGCCCAAATGTGGCGCTAGCGGTCCGGACAAAATGTCGAAGTTTCAGCAGTAACCGTTATCTTTTTCAAAAGTTATATGGAATTTTCTAAAATTTTCAATGAGAAAATGTGTCCCGATTTCGCCCGTTTTCGGTAACTGGCGCCTCCACATGAATTCGAGAGCCTTGTATGCCGCCATTTTCCCATTGAAAATTTCAGAAAATTACGTATAACCTTTGAATGAGATAACGGTTAGTGCTGAAAAATTGGCATCTAGTTCGGACCTCTAGCGCTACGTTCGGGAGGATAATGAGCGTTCGGCGATGCGGGGTTGATTTTTGCGGTAAAGAGCAAAAGAAGCCACCGTCGATGCAGCCGAGCACGTCGAAGCGCAGTGCGATGAGCTCGTTCCAGGCGATCGGTTCCAGCCGCACGAACCGCGCCCTCACGGGTGGCTCGAAGAGCTGTCGCACCACTCCGCTCGCGTCGTGGTTGCCCAGAAAGTCCTGGAATACAAAACGAGAGAATGTATGCACAGTACTATAATATGTCTGCGCGTCTTGTTTCCCGCTGAGCCTAGCTGGCATGTAAGGTCCACCACTGCAGCACACGGGAAACAAAAAAGAAAAAAAAAGAAAAAGAAACTGGTTTGACTTGTAAATACTAACTGCGTAGAAAATATGAGCAAGTCACTTCAATACGCATTGTGTCTGCTCAGACCGCAGATGCGGTTCAATACGTCTTTTGGGCATCACTATTCGCAGGTCCCTTTGCTGAGTTGTCTTGGATGCATTTTACCTTAGTCTCGTGTTTTCTACGTTTGTTTAATCGTGTAACGTTATTATGCCCCCCCCCCCCCCCCCACACACACACACAAAACCACACACACGCACACTGATACACACTTTATGCCCGACGGCCTCGGAGAGAAACTGAGCTACTCGCTACGACCGCGCCATGCTTCTGACGTCAAGGAAAGAGAGGAGCATCAGACAGCGCTCTTTTTCCATGAATGGCGCCTACGAAAACAGCGCTCCTCCGCATGCCCAATGCGCTGACAGACATTAAGCATTGAGTGTAGCAGACTTTTTTTTAAATAAAACTTATTTCGCAGTTTTTTTTTCTTTTTTTTTTTTTTTTAAAGTTGTAGCAAACGATCGCAGGAGAAAACCGCAAAGGGAGAAGAAATGGTCTTGGCGACCTCACCTTGACCTCTCCGTCCGCATCCTGGATGTAGGCGTAATGCACTCCGTCGGTACTGACGAGCACCCTGTAGCGCGTCACCCACTGGTGGGTGCGGTCCCGGCCCTGGGTCGTGACCCCGAACAGGGTCTGCACTCGACCCAGGTCCACTTCCACGAACTCACCGGGGCCTTGGCGCCGCGGTATCCAGGCTCCCACTGCACCACAGCGGCAGAAAACGAAGCCAGATATATACATATATATACATGAGTGGTTTCATCTCAAATCGTGCAGGCAAAAAGGGTCGAATTTTTAATTTCGATGAAAAAAATATATGTTATGGCGCCGTTTCTAAAACCGCAGTCGACACAAACCGCAAGTTTGTCCGATTTTTTGTTCTCGACTTATGAATTTTTGAAGAGGCCGCGGCGAAAAGCAGTGTTTTTCACACCCGTCGTGGGTCGGATGTTTCGCTTGATCTCCCGCCATGGATTTTCAGTCCAAATTATATTAACTTTTTTCAAGCACTCTGTGAACACATTTAAAAGGCTCCAATACCATGAAATAATTTTAGGCCTTTTCCTTTTTTTCTGTAAAAATGTCAAAAACGCCTCCTCGGTCAATTGTTGACGACATTTGACAATTAATTACTGGCGATCTACTTGGGTTACACCGATATTTTTTATGTCTACGGAGAGCCCAAAACACGCTCTTTATATTTATTATAAAATGCTTTGGCTGTATAAAATATCCTTTGCGGTACGTTTACGTTAATATTATACAAAAACCAAAAAGTGCCATTTTTGAAATTGATTTTCTCAAAAAACCCATTTTTTATTTTTTTTATTTTTTGTTCAAATGTAGATATGATAGTTGTCTACACGAAAATCAATCCTAGAAAGTGTATATTTTGTTTGCATGTTTTATATTTAGACCTCAATATCGGAAAAAGACGTCTTTGTTTTGCAAGACCTAAGTCAGACATAGCGACCCATGCGTCTCTATGAATTGTGAAAAAGTTTTCTTGAATTTTCTTCTGCATTTTGTAATCAATATTAAACGGATTTTGTGGTATTGAATATTTATGTATGTTTTGATAAGAGCGGGAACCATGAGATACATATCTAACCAAATCAGCAGGCCTAGTAGACTTTCAATAACCAAAAGGCACAGACGTTGTATTGTTTCGATTTATAAACCTTTCAAAGTAAACTAGCACGACTAGCTATTAGCTGTCATATTACTAAGACAAAGGAAGTCACCACATCGTCGATATATTATATACAATTCTTTACGAAACCAAACACTGAGGGTTGTCCACCGCACATCGCACAGGTCACCAGGGAATGTCCTTTCACTTCCGTAATACACAAAAGTGGTGACACAGAAACGGTCCGAAACACACAGAGAGTGTGTCATGGAGAGGGGTAGGAAATAAAAATAAATAAATAGGAATTAAATTGCCCAACTCCGATCTTAACGAAAATTGCGTTAAAAAAAAAAATAAAGTATTTAGGTTCGAGCGGTGGCAAGGTGGAGAGTCAGACAAAGAAGTCGACGGCACGTAAAGGTAAAACAAACAAAAAAAGCAATAATTTAATAAAGACGGGAAAACTCAGCCGCACATGGCAAGAACAAAAACCAACTCCCCCGGGCATTCCCTAAACGGGACGCAACCAAATGCGTGCGAACACGCTCTCTACATCACCGCCAGGCCGCTACGCCATGACGAAATAAACCCAACAACTGAACAGTGCTAACAAACAGTTAGTAAGAAAACATTGAAAAAAAAAAAAGAAAAACGTTCAGAAAAAACCGCACCCGAGAAACAAAGTTCAGCGGGGCGAAGAAACACACACGAGTCGGCCCCACGACATTGAAGTCTGGCAGGATGACGGCGTCCAGATGATGCTCGAATCTGTTCCTCCCTCTATTACGCACATCTACGACGGCTGTGCGGAACAGTGGCTGTACGAAAGAAAGTGAGGAATATATTCGAGCAGGCGATGCGCGAGAAGGTAACCGAGATTATGCTTCAAGCTTCATATCGGAAGAGGAGCTTTCGAGGTAGTTTCTGCAGTTACTCAAACTTTCTCTTTCCCCTTCCCTTTTTCAAAAGAACACGTCAGCCGGCGCTAACGTTTCATCTCGGGAGAAGCCCACTCTTCACAAACGGTTGTAGTTGACAAGGAGGCTGACTTCGACCCAACTAGTCTCCGGGCAGAATACAAACACAAGTATATTTACCAACACGCTCGTTTTAATGTCAGTCTCCGGGCTTTGCTGTTTCCGAAAGAGATAACCCTTTATAAGGACAGAACGAGCGGGTTGGTGGGGATAATTGAACTTAAACACTCCCTTCTCGTTTTCTTCCTCAAGTTTAATAGATAACCCTTCGGTGCTATCGGATCTCCCCGGAGAGAGAGAGAGAGAGCACGGCCGTTTCAAGGTAAGGATAGGGCGCTTGAAGCTATAGGACAAACAGGCGGTATCGTTTCGCGCATGCACGGATGGCTGGTTTCGAATTTCCCCACATCCCTAACGAAACCGGCCCATCTTCGTGTGTGCGTCTGCGGGATTTCTGTCCCGCGCCGCCGGTTTTAGCGCGCACGCGGCGTTGTTTTGGCTAGCAGAACAGTTGTTGACCGTCGACATTGTAAGGCCGTGGTGTCCTCATCCTTTCAGGCAACGATTCCTTTGCTTTCCCTTGTGCAATACTCTGACAGACTCCTCCTGGATGGCTGTCACTGTTCGCCGCGTCAACGACACAATCGTACCATTTCACTCCTCGTGACACAGGGTGCGCTGCTCGCTTTACTCTCAAGGGCCGTCCCATCTAACACAACGAGCGCGAAAGGTCGTGGTCATCTGCTGGCTCCGAAAGGGCGGGATGTTCATGCAGGCCAATAAGGGCCCCGAATCAATAAGACGTCTGCCGACTGCTACACGTTAAAAATGTACGACACCTGCTGGTCTGTTAAGAAGTGTTGCTTTCTCTTTTTGGAACTCCTCCGATGTAGCTTGCCGCCTATAATAAAATTTAAATAATAAATATATCAGGGTGGAAATACTGTATTTCATTTTTATGTGGGAACGTTGAAAAAAAGAAAAAAAACTATTTCCAAGCTTGTGAAGACGCGCAATTCGGAAGTCCATTTCGAGCCGTAAAAACACGTTTTTGTACGATATTGATGCTTAAATTTAGAACATACAAACAAAATATACACTTTCTAGGCTTAATTTTCGTGTAGACAACTATCATATCTACATTTGAACAAAAAATAAAAAAAATAAAAAATGGGTTTTTTGAGAAAATCAATTTCAAAAATGGCACTTTTTGGTTTTTGCATAATATTAACGTAAACATACCGCAAAGGATATTTTATACAGCCAAGGAATTTTATAATAAATGTAAAGAGCGTGTTTTGGGCTCTCCGTGGACATAAAAAATATCAGTGTAACCCAAGTAGATCGCCAGTAATTAATTGTCAAAGTTCGTCAACAATTGACTAAGGAGGCGTTTTTGACATTTTTACAGAAAAAAAGGAAAAGGCCTAAAATTATTTCATGGTATTGGAGCCTTTTAAATGTGTTCACAGAGTGCTTGAAAAAAGTTAATATAATGTGGACTGAAAATCCATGGCGGCAGATCAAGCGAAACATCCGACCCACGACGGGTGTGAAAAACACTGCTTTTCGCCGCGGCCTCTTTAAAAATTCATAAGTCGAGAACAAAAAATCGGACGAACTTGCGGTTTGTGTCGACTGCGGTTTTAGAAACGGCGCCATAACATATATTTTTTTCATCGAAATTAAAAATTCGACCCTTTTTGCCTGCATGATTTGAGATGAAACCACCCACATATATATAAACAAGGTGTTTTTTTTTTATTCTTACACATTTGTTTAAAAAAACGTGAAAGCTACAATAATGCGGTTTGTGCATGTGGGTTATACGGCCAGGCGGACATTATGTGGGTGGCTAATCTTTGCGATAAATCGGCTAATTACTTAAATTTGTTAATTAACTTTTTTAATTAGTGGAAATAGACATGATTTCAATTAGAAACTTGTAGAGCATCATCGAAAACCACTAAATCAACTATTTTTGGAAGGATATAACACCGGGGAAGCATTTTACAGTGTTCTGTACAAACGCTCTATTTGGACGCGTTTCTAGATTTCGGTTTCTTATCAGAGCGCATCACCGCGCCCGCGGTCTTGCTCCCCAGTGGCTGAGACGGGCAACACACGTGCGCCGTACTTCCCTCCATTCTACGAGGGAGGCGAGGAGGTGGCTTCGCGTCGCGACCACCTGGGAGCAGGATCGCGGGCGCGTAGATGCGCTCCGATAAGAAACCGAAATCTAGAAATCCGTCCAAATAGAGCGTTTTTACAAAACGCCGTAAAATGCTGCCCTGGCGTTACATCCTGCTAAAAATAGTTGATTTAAGGTTTTTCGATGATGCTCAACAATTTCCTAATTGAAACCATATGCTTATTTTCAGTAATTAAGAAGTTAATTAACGAATTTTAATTAATTAGCCGACTTATCGCAAAGATTAGCCACCCACATAATGTCCGCCTGACCGTATAACCCACCTGCACAAACCGCATTATTGTAGCTTTCACGTTTTTTTTTAAACAAATGGGTAAGAATAAAAAAAACACCCTGTATATATATATATATATATATATATATATATATATATATATATATATATATATATAAAAAGCTGGACCTACTTTTCTAATTTTTTCCATTGTGATCGCAACTCTATACAATGTGACTTGTGTAAAGGACAGCACCCATGATGTCATCTACACAAATTAGCGGTATCTGTAAAATCTATTCCTATAAAGGCCTTCTTTGTAAAAAAGAAAAAAGAGTCTCATGTGCTCCCTAGATAAACCCGAATCATGACGTTGAGAGTGCGTAAACAAATGTGAGAGCCCTAATGTCTTATCCGAACGTCTTACTACAACACCAAACAGTACTATAGTGTGCCGCATATTTAGGATGACAGTAGGAGAAATCATATCCGAGAAGAACAATTTCTAAAGGGGAACAATTTCTAAAGGACAGTTGCCAAAAGTCACTGCTTAAGAAACGCAGGGTGTGGTTTTATCCGTTCAGGCTTCTTGCTTCGTGATTGGTTCGCCGGCCTTCTTCTTGGCGAATATCGCAAGCTCATTGGCTGCGGAGCGATCAGAAGATGGTCGGGACTCGCCACGACCTGCACTCTTCATGCCTCCCAGCGACCATAAACGTTTGCAAGCAGCCGCGCTTCGAGAGCTGGCCTGGCCACCGTGGATAGAAAAGGCTTTGTTTGGGTGCCAGTCTGGAAACCGTGGGTACGCCTCAGCGATGCTTGACTATCAGTATCAAGGAGGTTAGAAGTACTAGGAGAGGGCACGTTGCAATATTGGTGAAGCCTAGTCATAAAAAGTTTAAACGATGTTGTGGCCAACGTGACCATAGATCTCTCTGGCTATTGGTGCGCGTGACATGTCACGTGTGAGATGGATGGTTGATTGTAGAAGGCCTCCTTGCAGGCTTGCGCGCGCTCCGTCCGGTAGGTTTTATCGGATCGAAGGCTAGCCTGTGGTGTATTCTAGTACCCCATAGCTAGACGAAGGCTAGCTACGGCCACGTGATGTGATCACGTTGGCGTGGTAAGTGAGGAGTGTAAGGAGGAAAATGAGAAAGAGGCGAGGCGTCAAGGGAGCATGGCTTGTGGAGGCTACGCGGCCGACGTCATGCCCTCTCCTACCCTTCTATCTTCCTTGATCAGTATGGTGCCTTGAACGCGTCTCCGACTGGTGCGTCTATCGCGTCCAAAAAAGTGGTCCCCCGATTTCCGCCCGATGACGTCATACAAGTGTCATGCTGTCGCCGGTCGCGATCCTGGCGGCGTCCCAACAGCTGCGGTTCATGTGGCAGATGCCTGTTCCGCTGCAGGTCGCCCTCCAATATGACAGTCCACGGAAGCTTCGGCAGTCAGAAGTTGAGACGCCGTGACGACAGCGACACTCGCGTTCGGTTGTGCTTCTCGCAGTAGCATTTCTACGACATACCACCAGGATCGCGAAATGCAACAGCATGACACTTCGGTTTCTGTGATGTCATTTGTTACCACTTCGGGACCACTTTCGATGCATGGGCAGCATAGGACACTAAACACACCAGTAGAAAAGGCACTCTATGGTCACCACACTATCAGACAATCTACCCACACCAGCAGCAAGATGGCGGCGCGCAGCGGCCGTACTTGCAAACGTCTAAACAATCCTACGTGCTCATTTGGTGATTTGAAAAAAAAAAAAAAAAGTCAAATTACAGAATAAGGAGCGTTTTTTTGTGGACAGCCATCGCATGTTCTCAGGCGGGAATCACTCACAAGACGTCCGCGTCGATGTGGTTCCAAGTCGGGAATGGTTCGGGTCAGACGCGGGACTTGCGCTGCTGGAGGCCTTGTAGCTGCTGGCTGGCAGTGGCATGGGACCGTTCACCAGGTACACGAACCGCTTGCACTTTTCTGAAACATCGCAGTGACGGCTGTATCATCTGTCACCTCCGCACACCAAAAAAAAAGAAAAAGGAAATCACGTGCGTGTCATTCCTCTTTTTGTTCCTCGGACTCCGGTTTTCAAGATGTGGGAAATCATGTCGGCTGTGTCTGTCAATTAAAGGCTACCCAGTCAAACGTTCACTTTTTCTTTGGAAACAAGAATGTTGTTTTTGCGTACATATTGGAACCGTTTAGAAAATTGCAAGTTCGTATCTTGCGAATGAACCACATAAATATCCTCGAGAATTAAGCGATGCAAATTATTATACATCCTCCAGAAATATTTTGTGAAGTAGTGAGGTCAGGCAGTGGGATCCTGTATGTCTTTTCAATAATACTTTCTACTTTTTAGTCGACGTGTTTGCAGTAAGACGTGCAAAGCACTTGACGTGCCTTACGTCACTGCATCCGGTCAGTGATTAGAAAAAAGTGATTAGCAAAATTATCAACTTCTAAGCGCGGTTTTGAGATTCGCTTTTCAAAGTTTACTTTTCGAAGTTCGGTTATATCATAGCAATCGATCAAATTTATTCACTGTGTGAAAACACTGACATACACTTTTCTTTTTTTTTTTTCTACCAGAGCGTCCATTTACACGCATAGAAGCAAAATAATACAAATATGAAAATACGGTTCCCTTTCGACTTGCATACCTGTTGTCGTTTCTACGGCGGTGTGGTTGTAGACAATGTCAGTCGGCGTACTGTATTCTGAAAAAAAGATTAAAAAAAAAAAGCATAACCTTTAGACTTTTACGCTTGTGCTTCGAGTGTATCGGGAGTCCGGTATTCGGAACTGAACTCGGAAAGCAAAAGCACAATGGTCGAGGTAGCCTTATTTTTTACATACCTCCCGATGTTTCTGTGGTGGTGCGATCGTAGGCATATTCCGTTGGGACATCTGTAAGTGTCGTTTTAAAGCAAGAATGTTAAAAAGGAGATGACGCGCGTACCCTACAAAAAGAATGCGTGTGGCAGACCTATCCTCCGATACAATGCTGTCAAAGCTGCTGGCACGAGCCCGGGGGCTTGATCTCGTTGATCATTTGCACGCTCTCTCGCGCAAACGAAACCATAGATGAAGCCACGCGCTCGCGCCAGTAGCTTTGACAGCGTTGTATATGAAGTATGAAACGAAGTCATACACCACATCTGCTTAATTTTGTTACGTCGTGGACACGCTTTCGTAAGCATCCAAATGGAGCCATAGACCGATCTCACCAGCAATGCATTGAGGGAACTTTAGTCTTTGGGCTCGTGCGACAACCTCGCTGGAGCTCTGCGCGAGTAGAGCACGAGACGGTCCGAGCCCTCTCGTGCACAGCCGACTGCCTCCTGTGAACCAAAGTTATGGCGGCGTCACGCATGCGTCGAACGCTTAGTGAGATCGGTCTATTGCAGGTTGCGTGGTGGGGTGGTGACTAGCGTCCGCCGTGTCGGCGTTGTTCAAAATAATCGTGAAATGTTTTGGGGCTCGATTCGAGTAATACGAAATTCGTATCGAGTGCTGTGACAAAAAAAAAAAAAATCTAGACCGTAATACAAATGACCCAAAGCTTGATTTCTACAGTGCAATTTCAAAACCAGGAGCGGATATGTTTTACAGTAATTCGGTGGCTGTACCCTATACTGTTATGACACAGTTGTAATCTCATATATTGCTATTACAAACAGTTCAAGACATTTTAGAAAAACAGGAAAGGGGGGGGGGGGAGCTTGCATAATCGCGTCTCACTTTAAAGTCACGAAAATATCCTGCCTATCATTAAGAATAAACAAAAATACCGAGACGAGCCCCAAGAAAGCAATTCACCAAAACGTGCCAGTATAGGACTTTTTTTAGTAACATTCCTAAATGTTTAAATGCGTCAGAATTTATTGCCTTGGTTCATGCAGCCGTCTTTCGTTTGGACGGTCGTGGTTTGGTTTGGACCGGACTGAATTGGACCGGTTTCGTGAGGCCCTTGCGCGGTTCCCGCCATGCTCTTTCGCTTGGATCGTTCGCTCGTTACGTACACTTTCCCTCTTACAAGAGGGAAAGAGTCTTCTGGAACGCTTCCAGTGACGCACCGCTGGAGGGGAGAGCAGGGGATCGAGGGGCCGTGGCGGTGGCGCAACGTACGCGAAAATGTAAAACCGACGATGCCGTTTGCACGAAACCGCCGACACACGATACGAAAGATTGGCTCTTCAAAGACAACAGTATGCGGACCGTAGGCGGCGATCGGATGAAGCTGCCGTGACTCCGAACACGACAGTATATGCGGACCGTTGCGAGGTTGGAATTCCCATCCTTCCCTAAGTCGGAACCCTTGAGCTAAATGCTAGCGCATTTCGTTGACAATCAGCTTAGCGACTGCAGCAATTTCGGCATCGTTTTTTACCTGTCGACAGGGGGGTGGTGCTGGTGACTCGGGACGAATCGCAGCCGCAGTAGAAGCGAACCGTATGGTCCAGACATCGACGGTTCCTTTGCGCATCGTTGGAGCAGAAAAGACCTTTCTTAAGGTCGCACACGACCTCCTGGCGAGGAACTGACGACTTGATACCAGCCATCCTCTCGAAGGCCACTCTGCACTGGATATCTAGCCGGTAAGGTTCATCGCAGACGAAATGTCCTTTGGCTCGTATCGCCTCCACCGTCTCGAAGTCTCCGTGCTCGTCTGGCTTTCGGGTGTTGTACCAGGGAGTCCAACCAGGAACGCAAGTCACCGGCAGAGTGACGTTCTCCATGATTACGGGTACGTCTGCGTTGGAGTACAAGTGCGTTGACTGAATTGTGGCATTTACACGCTCTGTGAAGGCGCATTAAACAAGTGTACCAAAAACAAGCTTTCTTCTTCGAGTTGAAAGCAAACTTCGTCTTGTTTCTTTTTTTTTCATTGATCAGGTTACCGTTGAAGCCTAAATAGCAATCTGTTTTCAAATCAATTTTACTTATTTTCATTAGTCTCCCAGTAAAAAAATCCACCAGACCGGGTTGGTGTGTCTGCTGTTTCCTCGTGTAAACACCAGACTTTCCTAATGTACCTTGATGTGTACGTCAGAGTGGCTTAGTGGGTTTTGGTGTGCACACCACACCAGCCTAGTGTATTCGGATGTGCACATCAGAATGGCTTAGTGTTTCGGTGGGCACACAACACCTGCCTATAGACCCTTGCAACTCAAGAAGGTAGGGCCAGGGTAAGACGGGCTGGGGAGGAGGAAGCAGACGGAGCGCTAAAGAGAGAAAGAGGTCCCCCTACCCCTTCTCCAGCGTTTCGTTTACTTCCTCCTTTCCGGCCCGTCTTACCCTCGCCCTACCTTCTTGAACTGCAACGGACTATAGTGTCTCCTGATGTGTACATCTGAGCGGCTTAGTGGGTTTTGGTGCGCATATCAGGTGGCTTAGTGTGTTTTAACACGACAGCGTTAAGGAGCTCGTGTCGCAGAGAAGTCGGTGGCGTGAGCTAAAATCCAAGATTGGTCGATAGGGTCATGACGTCACAGCTACATGACCTCGCGTGGGAATTTTAAACAACTCACATGAAACGTGACACAAGATGTGAAATTAAACTGACTAAAAAACATGACATGTAATGCGAATTAAAGGTCGCCGCATGTCTCAAATGATTTCGCTTTATAAAGTAATTCATTTGCTTTAAACAAAATTTGAAGAATTTCAGGCGGTATTCGATCCAACGACCCTTCGGTTGCGAGCCAGACACGCTACTGAAGGCCACGCAAAGCACGCTTGCACGGCTTGGGAACGAGCGGTAGCGTTTATGTCTCGCTATCGACCGAGTGTGACTGCAACGGCTTGCGATGTGCGGGTTGCTATAGTAACAGCTGCGTCAGCTCCAACAAAACGGGGTAAAAGCCGGCTTTGTTAAAGCCGTCGCAGCTGTTGCCATAGCAACCCGTACGTCGCAAGCCGTTGCAGTTGCACTCGGTCGGACTGCACGCAAGTGTGTGAATCGGCCTTTAAAGGCGAAGCTTAAGCGTCCTTCAAGTTTCGGTGTGCACATCGGACTGGCTTAGTGTGCTTTGGTGTGCACATCGAGTGGCTTAGCGCGTTTTGGTGTGCACATTAGAGCGGCTTAGGGTGCTTTGGTGTGCACATCGAGTGGCTTAGCGCGTTTTGGTGTGCACATCAGAGCAGCTTAGTGTGCTTTGGTGTGCACATCGAGCGGCTTAGTGTTTTTGGTGAGTGCATGAGAGTGCCTTAGTGTGTTTTTGTGTGCACATCAGAGCGACCTAGCGTGTTTTGGTGTGCACATCACACCAGCCTAGTGTATCCTGACGTGCACAACAAAGCAGCTTAACGTGTTTTGGTGTGCACACCAAACCACCTAGTGCATCCTGATGTGCACATCAGAGCGGCTTAACATGTTTTTGGTGTGCACACCACATCAGCTATAGTTATCCTGATGTGTACTTCAAAGCGGCTTAGTGTGTTTTAGTGTGCACACCACACCAGATATGTATACTGATGTGCCACGGAACTGGAGGTAGCCACGTCATCAAAAATAGGACTTCGCCTGATTCAGAAACCATGCCAACTATTGTGCAAGAGGCCTGGTCAGCAGGACGACTGACCGAATAAACGATTAAGCCTTTCCAAAATTGAAGTCTTGTCCCTGCAGAATGTGCTAGCTGTTGCATTCAAAATAATTTATTTGATGTCAAAATTATACAGTGATGTCTCGTTAATATGGACCCCGTTAATACAGATACCTCGCTATATGGACGACGTTTGAGACACCAAAGGAGTAAATACATGCATTTTTGTCTCGTTATGTGGACAAATTGATTATGAAGGACTTTTAGGGGGAAAGGATATGCATATTAATGATACATCACTGTATAATGCCTGCATGAGTACACCGGGATTACACCAGGCCACACTGGGCCCTGATCACACCAAACCGTGTCATGTCAAACCGGGTCATGCCAGGACACAACAGCCCACCAGATCCCGCGTATGAATTTCCGCTCTGATGTAAACGTCAGAAAAAACCAGAACCTGGACACGCCAGGACACGACAGTTTATCAAAAACCTCGTCTTAAATTCCGCTCTGTTGTTGACGTCAGGAAACACCAGAACCCGGTCTGGTGGAATTTTTTATAGGGCTTGACGGAGGGAAGCCCATCCATAGCTCCTGTCCCAGCCATCTGGTCTCAAGACGCCATTGTTCTTAAACGTTGATACGTCTGACAGAAAGACGCGCAATGTCCGGCCGGTCACTTTCGCAGCAAAGCTCACGGAATAAAAACTGAATGCGTCAACACCATGTGCAAGCGAATGAACGATAGTTGTATTATGCATCCCATTTATGCCACCACAAATGACTAAAAAATAAAAATAAAAAATCGCGTGATGCTGCATTTTTGTCTGTGACTGTAGGCGTCTCCACCTGGTCGTGGAAGGCAAACTTTTTTTTCTGCAAGCGTTTAGTTTTAGACAGTGGGATAGCTTTGATCACTGCGCTTACCTTGCCCGGGGACGGTCAGCAGAGGCAATCCTGTCGGCAGTGTCTTGCAACCGGGCATGTCTGTACAGAGCACGCCGTTGTCCTGGCAGATGCAACGCTCGCAGCCTTCGTCCACGACTTGATTCGCCTGGGATATTGACGTACAAAATTCTACACAAGCAGCAGAAAAGATCGACCATCGGTTTCCTTGTTTGTTTTTCTCCACAAAATTGAACGACTATCACGAAAACTAATGGTGTGGTGGAAAAAGACTCCTGAATGATCTGTCTGAGTAAGATACGCAAAAGTGCCGATATCATCTGCACATTCACTGTTTCGCACAGTGGACATATCTGTAATCTTATGCTTTGCTTTCCGGCTCCCTTCATCTGTAACGTTTGTAACTACATTTTAAGTGCTTTGCGTACTCGAGGTAGCACTCAATCACTGCGGAGGACCTTTCGAATGCTCGTACTCAATTCTACACATATTTAGGGAGCATGCACTGGTACTTCTAAAAAAACAGGTATTCCGTGGAATTTATTAGTTACCTTGCAAGTATATTTTCTCACGTTAAATAGTTGAAACAGTTGACGGTATTACTTGGCTGGTAACAAAAGCCTTCATAACCAGCATTAAACGTTTTTTGTGAAGTCATTCACTACCCTTTAGTGAACTTCTATATGTTTTCTAAACGATGTTTGGGCGAAACGTGAGGGTACCGGTAAAACTTTAATTGGAAAAGATTTTGCTTTGTTACTTTGTGGGTACACCTCATCTAGTGTATATCATGTAGAATACTCTGACTGAAGAAGTAAAACAATACATTTTGATCGTGTGAACGATACGTTCACAAAATTCACCCCTAAATGTACCGTCAGCTTTTCGGCTGAAATGTTTAAACTATGCTGTCTTCAGGTTGTTAAAGGGCCTGGAAACGAATTTTGGAATGGCATAAATGATTTCAAATTGAGACTTTACTGATCCCATATCGTTTAGTTGGCCAAAAGAAAGAGGGTAGAAAGTCAAAAGCCAGCTTTTCGGTACGAACATTTGAAAATATAGCGGACTATTTTGTACCTTCTTGCCTTCGAAAGCTCTCCGCATTTTCACTACGATACATCCGCGGTTCCCAAAGCGCGTCAGCGGTGCCAACCTGACGTCAGCCGAGCCCAGCTCACGCATTGGACACGAGAACTTCGTCACTCGCACGTATGTGCTTGTCAACAATCAATCCGTCGACGAATATTTGGATTCGCGTTCGTGGCCAATGAGTGCCCTGATGGAACTTATCATCACTTGTGAATGCTACGTTCTATGGTGTGCATAAAAAGCACGGTGAAAGCAAGGAGTCATCGCATCGGTGCCGAAGAATGTCACGACGACGTGATTTGACAATTCGCATTTGAGTTGAGGATTAAAGCCAAGGAGGAAGAAGTAGGAAAACCGTTTCATGACCCCTCTAAAGGCCGGTTCAGACACTTCCGTTTGAATGCGTTTGACAGCGTTGCGTCGAGAGCAGAAAGCGAGTCACCGGCACATCTGTGCTTCGTATGTAGTGTGGAATCCAATTCAAGGAATCATCTTGGCACTAGATATAAGCAGCAGGGATGTCCTGGTTTCTTGCAGCCGCAACGCAGTCAAACGCAGTCAAACGCAACTGTCTGAACCAGGCTTAAATCTAATCAATGACCCATTCAAATGCCTATCGCACAAAACAGTGGTTTACGTTCTGCAACTTTCATTATAGCTAAGACAGGGCCCCCGAACCGAGAAGAAATCACATTCGGTGTGGCGTTATTAATTTTTCGCCCGGTTTTACGTACAAATAAGTTCATACCTTACTTTTTACGTTTATTTTTGCCTGCTTGGTCACCGTTTCAGACACCGTGGTAGAGGTCAAAATACTGTCTATGCATATAGACGCTTTACACACGCGCCAGAATACAGCCGCCATTGCTGACCTTCTCTTGTTTTACCGAGATACCGAGACTCTGAAATTGGTGTGGACGAGCCTCCACAAAAGCCAATGCTGTAGAGAAAGACAGAATAAAATCTAAGATGGCAATAACCTAGCCTGCTATGCCAATAATGAAGTGAAGTAAACGTAGTAAGGGGAAACAAAAACTGAAGGTCAGTTATGGCGGTGCCCGTGCACAGCTGCTGCAAAGCGTGTATATCCTCCATTCGCGCGTATCGACATCTGGAAGCCACCACATAGCCGCCGCAGCGTAAATTGCGTACTTACTCCGATGATTTTTCCCTGGTACATGCAGCTGCAGTCCTCCTCCTCTATGCAGGTGACGTAGTCATGCCAGACCTTCGGACGTTCGCAGACAGACGCGGGACGGCAGCCAGGGAGGCAATCGTCTTCTTCGATGCACTTGCGCTGACGGTACAGCTGAATCCGAAAGAGGTTGCAAGTCTGGTTGCATTGGTAAGCACACCTGCTGTAGACTTGACCAGGAGGACAGGCTGCGTGGTTAAGGCGAAGCAGCAGTCTAAATGCTGGGGTCACCTTGGAGCAATCTTAGCATTTTATGTTCGCATACCAAAGGTTCCCGAATAAAAACAAAAAAAGCTTCAAAAGCAGCAGTTGTTACATAATCACTGGGTTTCTTGTACAGTTTTCTTGAAACATTTTTCGATAGAACGACTATATATTGTACTATTAACACTGTCTCTATGATTCTATCAAATGTCAACTTGTGAATTCGGTATGACAAGGTGCCACCGTTGCTGCTGTCTGCATGCGCGCATATTGTTATGTGGCGCTACAATACTTCCTTTATCGTCGTAGACAATGTATTAATTTAACATCTTCCTCGATGCTCACTACTACAGTTAGGGACTGCGACAGACAGCTTCTCGAGGTCAGAGCGTCGACATGAGCAATCAAACAGGTTTGAGTCAAAAATACGAAATGAGCTGGGACACTGATCATAAGTTGTTACAGACATATTAAGAAACGCAGGCCGTGGCGAGTCCTGAGAATCTTTTATCTGCGCTCCGCAGAGTATGAGGAGAATGACATCAGCTGACAACGTCGCCACAGGACGAATCATGGAGTAAAAATCGTGAACATAACTTGAGCTGTGTGTGACCACATAACACTTTACGACAGACTTACCGCCATGGAATTCATCACGCCCGGTGGTTGTGTGAACGGCACTGTACGGAGTAGTGTACCCTGCGTTGAAACGAAAGTTTCTATCAATAATAACGTTTCACAGAAACAAATAAACTAGAAGTTTGGCCGCTCAGTGAAATATATAGTTAAGCGAATTAAGCTGGTATACCATCTCTCTCCGTGGTACTCTGAGTGGGAGTTGTGACCCCGTTTTGTTCGTTGGGCCTTGTGGTTACTTCTGGAAGAAAAAATATGGCTGCAATCTAACGTCGTTCGTGAACGTTCTTCATTATTTTCGCTTACAATTGCAGTAAGTTTGGAACATAAATGCAGATTGAAGGCGCATCAATAGCGACGAGTAAAAAAAAATGAAAGACGTTTACAAATCTCTGTAATGCGAAATTAGAGCGCAGCTCTTCAGGTATTTTGATTTCGCGTTATACCGTGCTGAACAATTTGAGAAAAAAAATGAAACATGTTTACAAATCTCTGTAATGCGAAATTGGAGCGCAGCTCTTGAGGAGGAGGGGGTGAGGGTCCGGAGGGGAGCGTATCCCTCTCCTCCCTCTCCGTGCCCTCCCCTCCTCCTCGCCTCCCATTTAGCGAAAAATTTTCGCTAAAATTCCCGCTAAATTCAGCGAAAATTTCCCCACTAAATTTAGTGGGTTAAATTTCCCCACTAAATTTAGTGCGCAATTTAGTGAAAATTTCCGCGCTAAATTGAGTGAATTCAGTTTCCCCGCTCAATTTAGCGGGGAAATTTACGTCGCGTGGCATCAACACCAATTCAGTAAACTGTGACGTCCCATGATGCAACGCGCGCCCGGTTACGCCGACGGCGATGCCGCTCAACCCGGAAACAGCCACCTAAGAGCCGCGCTCTAAAAATTGCAGAAGGCTAGTATTTTTTACATGTTTATGAATAGCCGCTCAGAAAACAACGCAACAGTAATTATGACATTAAGAAAAAAAAATAAAGAGAAAATATGATAACACGCATAAAGAAACAAGGTCGTAATTAAAACGTGCAGCTTTTTTGAGTTGTTATCGTTAAATAAGTATTAACGTAATGAGATTCTGGATGGTCTAAATCAGTGGTTCTCAACCATTGATGTTTCGCGGACCCCTTGTGGATCGGTGGAGATGATGAAGGACCCCGTTTATGGTGAGGGGAAGAGAAGGTATAGGTTAATTATGATAGTGATTTAATAAATACATTATAACTAAGGGCAAGTGTGAAGTAAACTTTTATTATTGACATACACGCGTGAAAACTCACCCGAAAATTGGATCGTTTCTTCTCAATCTGAGAAAATACAACTTTTATTGCCGGGATTGATTAATAAGGCTGGGCTTCTCGGACGCCTAGAATGCCTTTGCGGACCCCAAAGGGTCCGCGGACTCCCATGTGAGAACCACTGGTCTAAACCAACTGCTAATTGGTGAGCAACCTCTAGGCTTATTTCCACTTGAAAGAACCGACCTAAACAAAATGGACTCCGTGCATGTAGGAGTTGGTCCTACGGCTCTGGACAACAGTCCCTTCTGCGGAGTGCAAGTTCGTTTGCTTCTTTTTATTTTTTTATTTAGAGGATACTACAAGCCATCGAAGGCCCAAGTAGGTGTGGGATACAACATATACATTCACACATACAACGAAAGCAAATAACACGACATTAAAAGGTTTACAACTAACTAGCAAATATACAGGATATATTATTTAAAAAAAAGGGAAGTTGGGAAAGCAAGCATCAAGCAGTATGTAATTCCATCATGCACTAATACAAAATGACCTATCCAGATGTAGTATGAAGGTTTATACAGTCCTAATGTCCATGCGAAAAAGATGAAGGTGCAGCAATGTACAAAGCAAAACATGTTAGTTATCAAGACGCTCGAGACCTTCTACAAAGTTGGTGTCGATAAATAGTTCGAGAGGTAAACCGTTCCAGTCGCTAATAGTGCGAGGGAAAAAGCTAAACTTAAACATATTAGTACGCGCAAAAATGGGTGTTAGTGAAAACTGATGTCTGTGCCGCGTAGCTCTTGACGCTAAAGGGGAAATATATTGCAATGGGTCTATGCGAGTCTGTCCTTGCTGAAGATGAAACAAGAATTTCAACCGCGCTAGTTTCCTTCTGGCCTGAAGAGTCTGTATTCCGTTAGCCTGCACAGGAATTGCGATGATGTCAGAACGCCGAGCTCTTATTGGTTGTTTGAAAAGTATAGTGGGTAGACCTCAAGGCGTCTTGCATTGAGGTCTACCCACTATATTTTTCAATCAAGACCAATCAGAGCTCGGCATCGTTCTGACGTCACAGCCACTCCTCCGGAAGAAGCAGACGACTTGCAATCTGCATAGCCATTTGCAGTTTAATCACAACCAATGTGATTGCGTCATTTGCCGATCAAATGCACAAGAACTAATCACGAAGCAAGAAACATGGGGATAATAAGCCAAGCCTCGCTTTTGTTACCCTTTCAGTGACTATAACTGAAATTTCTGTAGTACCGCAGGTTCACTGCTAACCAATCAAACGTTGATCAACACGTTCTTTCTCGGTCAGTTAGTAATAGTGGGCCTAAAAGAAAGCTCGAAATATTATGTACTAAGGTTTGCTTGACATGTCTGTATTACAGCGGTCGTGTTTGTCATTTGTTGTTCTGCCAAAACCAAAAACAATCTTCTTTTTTTTGTAATTTTTTTGGTGATTACAACCGAGCGCTCGTTACTTTATACTTCCGAGTAACTATGCGAATAATAAAAAACGTAACGCTCCGTCGTCTTTTATATTATTATTGAAATGCGCGTAAATGTTGCCTTTTTTCTTAAACTTAAATTGAGGCGTTCTTAGATAACTTTTACTTTTCTTCTTGCACACGGCCTGCACCAACTTGTTCTTTATGGCACGTTTTTCTTTTTATTTTCCTGCACTCGGTGCGACTGCATACAGTAAAACTGTGTAAAGCCGCAGGCAACTTTGCTCCTGCATCGTACGAAAAACATCATGCTGGTCGCTGCAGACATGGTTAGAGAGTCATCGGCGGACATGCCTCAAGTATGTTCAAAGCATGTTTGCATCATATACATATAAGAGAGTTTGAGGGAAACGTTTTTGTGCATCCGATTTGGCACGATGGGCCTTCCGGTACGAATTGCGCATGGGTTGCTGTATAAGAGTCGCGCATGCGCAGTTCGTACCGGAGGGCGCACCGTACCATATCGGATCTGCAAAAACGGTTCCCTCAAACTCTCTCGTGTCCGCATACTGTCTTTTTTACGATGTATTGCCAGTGTGGCCATGGATTTAGTCGAGCAGCTACGCGTGGCTGTTCCTCCGTTTTAATAGAGGTGAAAAAAAAACAAAAAAACTTACACGTATATATTTGTACAGAAAAAAATAGAGACATAGGGTAAGGTAGAGAAGTGGAGGGCAGAGAAAGAGGGAAGAGTCACACCGGTCCGACAGCGGTTGGTGTTCTTGTACCATTGACTTACCGCCATAGAACCCATCAGGCCGGGTGGGAGTGTAGACAGCAGGAGTGGGCTCTGCAATGAGGAAAACGTTTCTATTCTACTCATATTAACATTTCATCGAAGTCTAAAATAAAAAAAGTCAATTTGCATCAATTTAGACGCACCGCCTCTTTCCGTTGTGCTTTCGGTAGGAGCTGTGAACCCGTCCGGTCCGTTGGAGCTTGAGGTTACTTCTGGAAGAAAAGTATGCCGTGGCTGCACTCTAAAACTAGTTCGTGACCGTTCTTGGTTCTTCTTACTTACGAAGGTCGAAATGCAGGGACGTTAGGTTGTGTTGAATACGCGTAGCTATCAGGTACTACGTAGCCGCTGGTTTAAGAAACGCAGGACATGACGAGTATCTAGCATCTTATTACGAGACAATAAGCTGTGTACCTTTAGTTGTTGGTGGCTCTATGTTAAATTTTAAAATGATGCTAGTATTACTCGCATAGTTGCGAATAGCTGGAAAGAAAAACAAGCAAACAAAAATAACAGAGAAATAGAATGAGATAAAGAACGAGGAAATTAACGAAGATTGCGGAAAGTTTGAAATGAAAAAAAGTATCTTGACCAAGCCTCGTTCTGACTGGACAGAAACTTACGAATACATTATAGCTAAATTGAAAAAAAAAAATAACACACCGGGATATCAAACGATCAAACTAAATGTTCACACAACCAGGCCGAACGACGCTCGCTCAACGCTGTTAGGTACTCCTTTGTCTGCATTGGCGAGATGGCGATTTGGTACGGCAAAATGGCGACGACCGTCAATGTATGCGATCTTGGTGACGTAGGTACAAACTACGCATAGCTAGCGTTGACGAGCAAAACCGTCTTTTAGGGCCCGTCATTCGTTGGATTGGCTCCGTAGATCCCAGCGATTGGTCACCGCGTCCAGTGCGAACACTTAAACTTGCACGCACTATTTTTAGGATGTAGGGTGTACAGTTTAGTGCTTCAACAAGCAGTAAGTTGTGAATCTATAACGTTTCACGAGAGGCGGCACTTTTTGCGGTACGTTTCTTCAAGTGTAAACGGTTAGAGAGATTGGCTAGCTGCATGTGTATACAAAAAACGTACGCTATAAATTTACAATTTTTTTTTTTTTTTTTGCTGCCCGTTTGCACTCTTGCGAACTCTTAGAACTGGGTTCCTTAAAACCTTTAACAACGAGAGGACACACTGTCACCATCTATTGGGTAGCAGAGTAAACTTGGCGGTCCAGCACATTTTGTATTTCTCTCGCGCATTATCCTATCTTTCTTGGCTCGGAAAACTTTTGTCAACGTTATAAATGAGCCTTTCTTATAGGTATTACGCACATTTGACGTCGGAAATCCAGCAAAACCATCCCTCTTGTGAAATGCAGTTCCAGGGTCTCCTCATAGATGATGCCAACGTGCCAGTCGGTCTCTCTCGGTTGTACTCGGTAGCAAGAGGGAGAACGGGCCTTTAGATTATTAATGGCTGTGGCTAATGACCCTGGACCACATGTGTGGCAGCCTCTCCATGCCCTGCTAGAACCATTTTTGGGAGTGACTCACACCCACGCCTAAGCAATTGGCGTCATCGCAAGTTTTTTTTTTTTTTCGCTGCACCCATTAAGTGATAACCCTGTCAGGCCATAGCAACGCGCTGCGTTTCTTCGGCAGTCAGTAAATATAAGCGGGAAAAACGAATACGGCATATTTCTGCCGTATTTAGTGTTTTATATCAAAGCGTTTTGTGCGCCTCGTCATTTGCTGGACACGCTTCGTAGATTGCGGTAAATGGTTCACAGTCGGCTGTGTGGGCAAAATAGACTTGCAGGCAGTTTTATGGTGTACAAGTGCGCACGTCTCTGATTTGTTGCTGCATGTACGTCACGAGAAGCATACTTACTTCAACACGCAAAAATACCGTTATTTTGTATTTCGTTTCGTTCTAACAAAATTTAGGAAAACAAGCTAAGCAAAGCGAAACACTTTTCTTACTATCGTGAAAAACGCTGGTTAGCTTATTACAACTTACATAAACCCGAATTTACTCACCAGTTATTGCGACACCTTGATCTGGAGTAGCCGTTTCTTCCAGTTCGGAGCTTGGTGTCGTTTTCTGCGGTTCTGTAAGAGTTTTTTTTTTTTTTTTTTTTACCCTTTTTTCCCCTTTTTTAACATTTAGCGACTTGTAGCTCATGCGAACTTTCACAACTACTAACACGAAAAGTAATCGCCTATTTTATGCAGTAAATAAAGCACCTGTTTCAGTGATCGGTGGAAACGTTGAGGATTCAGAAGTTGAAGAGGGTGGTTCCTCGGTGGTAGTTGTTCCTTTTAGTCCTGGAAACGAGATTCCTCATTGTACATTGTTTCTCCATAATATGACGCCAAGTTATCAAGTGGATGACGTATTTTAATCTGTACTGGTTTATATTTGGCGTCGCTCTTTCGGAGAATATGATGGATTATTAAATCATTACAACGAGGTAATCTGAAAAACTAATTGATTAAGTGATTGTGATCTGTTCAAAAACAACTTAAGAAACGCCTTAGGTATATTGTTACTGGGATAGTGCTATTAATCCTTTAACAGCCTGATTTTTTTGTTTATGTATTGTTTTAATGAGAAAAATAAGCTGGTGCAAGAAGTTCAACGGTATATTTTGAACGAGTTTTATATTTGTTCTAGCTCAGAAATTATAGGTTTCTTTTTTTTTAGCTATGTTGCTAATTTTAATTGCATGAGTTACATTTGTTTATTATTTTGTTCGTTAATACTTAAAAGGCCGGGTGACATGGAGATTCCTAATGATAGCTAGAATTGATAACGTGCGTTAAAAAAAGCACCCGTATGAAAAAATAGTCTTATTCGTTCGCTGTGACATGTCACTCAACAGACAAAACCCCGTGTTAACTATCTGGTTTGTAACCAACAATCGCTTACTTGTTTTGCACACCACATCGTACCAAGCACATGTAGGAGCCGTTCCTTGCGAATCTAGAAAGTAACATTTTCGTGACTGTCAAATGTGCAGCATTGTCAGGTGAGACACCGAACTGGTGCCTGGTGCCTAAAACGCGTCTCCGACAGGCGTGTTTACCGCGTCCTAAAAAAATGGTTCCTCGATTTCCGCGTGATGACGTCACAGAAATGTCACGTTGTCGCCGGACGCGATCCTGGCGGTGTCACCGTAGCGTTGGTGGACATGGAAGACGCCTGTTCTGCTGCAGGTCGCTCTCCAACTTGAGAGTTCACGGAAGCTTCAGCTGCAACGTGGCGACGACAGCGACACACGGCTTCGTTTGTACCTTTTTTTTTTTCCGGACTTTTGTAGTACCAATTACCAGGATCGCAGCATCCGACAGCATACGACACTCCGGCTTTTGTGACGTCATTTCTTGCCACTTCGGGACAATTTTTAATGTACGAGGGACGGACGCTAAGCACACTAGTGGGAGACGCGTTCCAGGCGCCTAACCCTTGACTGCCGTTCCACCACTTTTAGAAAAATGGTTTCCAGTCATCTTTAGAAAAAATTGGGTTGCGTGTATGTTTATACAGCCTAGAACTTGGTTTGCCTCAACGGGCGACGAGTCTCCCAGCTTTAGATGAGAAATTTGGCCAGTGCAGTACAACCACTAGCCAGGGATCTTTAACGTGCATCACGCAGTAGTGATACACGACCGTACGCCGGTACGATGCTCATCCAGGTCGAAACGGGCAGGGGGGAGGGGGGGGGGATTGAACCCAGGATCCTGGGTTCTGCAGCGCGAGCTTTTGCTCCATGTGCTACGAGCTGGGGTGCTCTAGCCCAGCCGGCCACCGATCCCCCTTCCAGACATCTTAAAAACACAGCTTCGAGCGCGTTGTTTGTTCAAATGAACCAATCGAGTCCAAACACCGAGAAAACTTTACTTATACTGGTAGCAGACTGAACTATGAAGAGTGATCGTGTTGCCTCGAAACATTTTCACAGTGCATGCGCGAATGAGATGTGAAAGTGGCCATGAAACGAATTTTGTGCTGGGATAAAAGATTTTCAATTGGGACTTCACTAATTGTATATCGTTTAGTGCATGGGTCAAAAGAAAGAGGGCAGAAAGTCAAAAGCCAGTTTTTCGGTATGAACATTTGAATATCTAGCGGACACTTTCGTACCTCCTTTCCTTCGAAAGATCTCCGCCTTTTCACTATGATACATCTGCGGCACCCAAAGCACGTCAGCGGTGCCAATATGACGTCAGCCGACCCCAGCTCACGCAGTGGACACGAGAACTGCGTCACTCGGAAGTATGTGCTCGTCAACAATCAATTCGGCGACGAATATTTGAATTCGCGTTCGTGGCCCCCCAATGTGAGTTCCCGGACGGAACTTATTGTCATTTGAGAATTGCAAGTTCTATGGTGTGGTGTGCTTAAAAAGCACGGCGGAATCTTGGAGTCAGCGCACCGGTGCCCAAGCATGTCACGACGACGTGATTTCTCAATTCGCCTTTGAGTTGGATTAAAGCTAAGTTCTGCGGAGATGTAGAAGCTGTCATTTCAAATAAGGCGCGTCGCCATCAGCATCCACGTTACGAATCTACTACTATTATTAACTCAGAAATGTTCACACTGTTGCTGCATGCCTTTGGAGCATTTTCTGTTCTCCCATTTGTTGAACAATTTCTTTATTGCCATTACAGATTCACAGGAATTTATATTACGCACGTGCCAGTGTAAAATACACATCTCTCCCACGCGTTGTCCCTTCGTAGATAGTGTTTTAAATCAAAGCGTTTTGTGCGCCTCGTCATTTGCTGGTCGCGCTTCGTAGATTGCGGTAAATGGTTCACAGTCGGCTGTGTGGGCAAAAATAGACTCGCAGTCAGTTTTATGGTTTACAAGTGCGCACGTCTCTGATTTGTTGCTGCATATACGTCACGAGAGGCATACTTATTCCAACACGGAAATATACCGTTATTTTGTATTTCGTTTCGTTCCAACAACATTTAGGAAAACAAGGAAAGCAAAGCGTAACGCTTTCCTTGCTATCTTGAAAAACGCTGGTTAGCTTCTTATAACTTACATAAACCCGAATTTACTCACCAGTTATTGCGACACCTTGATCTGGAGTAGCCGTTTCTTCCAGTTCGGAGCTTGGTGTCGTTTTCTGCGGTTCTGTAAGAGTTTTTTTTTCCCTTTTTTTCCCTTTTTTTCCCCTTTTTTGTTTAACATTAAGAGACTTGTAGCACATGCGAACTTCCACCACTACTAACACGAAAAGTAATCGCCTATATTATGCAGTAAATAAAGCACCTGTTTCAGTGATCGGTGGAAACGTTGAGGATTCGGAAGATGAAGAGGGTGGTTCCTCGGTGGTAGTTGTTCCTTTTAGTCCTGGAATCAAGATTCCTCATTGTACGTTGTTTCTCCATAATATGACGCCAAGTTATTAGGTGGATGACGTATTTTAATGCGTATTGGTTTATATCTGTCATGATCTTTCAGAGAATATGACGGATTAACTTATTACAACAAGGTAAGCTGAAAAAACTAATTGATTAGGTGATTGTGATCTGTTCAGAAAGTACTCAAGAAACATTTTAGACATATTGTTATTGGGATCTTGCTATTAATCCTTTAAAAGCCAGATTTTTTGTTTGTTTATGTATCGTTTTATTGAGAAAAATAAGCTGGGGTGCAAGAAGCTCAACTGTATATTTTGAACGAGCTTTATATTTGTTCTAGCTCAGAAATAATAGGTTTCTTTTTTTAGCTATATTGCTAATTTTAATTGCATGAGTTACATTTGTTTATTATTTTGTTCGTTAATACTTAAAAGGCCGGGTGACATGGAGATTCCTGATGATAACTGGAATTGATAACATGCGTTAAAAAAAAAGCACCCGCATGAAAAAAGAGTCTTATTCGTCCGCTGTGACGTGTCACTCAACAGACAAAACCCCGTGTTAACTATCTGGTTTGTAACCAACAATCGCTTACTTGTTTTGCACACCACATCGTACCAAGCACATGCAGGAGCCGTTTCTTGCGAACCTAGAAAGTAACATTTTCGTGACTGTCAAATGTGCAGCATTGTCAGGTGAGACACCGAACTGGTGCCTGGTGCCTAAAACGCGTCTCCGACAGGCGTGTTTACAGCGTTCTAAAAAAATAATTTCTCGATTTCCGCGTGATGACGTCACAGAAATGTCACGGTGTCGCCGGCCGCGATCCTGGCGGTGTCACAGTAGCGTTGGTGGACGTGGAAGACGCCTGTTCTGCTGCAGGTCGCTCTCCAACTTGAGAGTTCACGGAAGCTTCAGCTGCAACATGGCGACGATAGCGACACACAGCTTCGTTCATACCTTTTTTTTTTTTTTCTGTACTTGTGTAGTACCATCCACCAGGATCGCAGCATCCGACAGCATGCGACACTCCGGCTTTTGTGACGTCATTTCTTGCCACTTCGGGACAATTTTTAATGTACGGGGGAATGGACGCTAGGCACACCAGTGGGAGACGCGTTCCAGGCGCCTAACCCTTTACTGCCGCTCCACCACTTTTGTGGGAATGGTTTCCAGTCATCTTAAAAGCACAGCTTCGAGCGCGTTGTTTGCTCGAATAAACCAATGGAGTCCAAACACCGAGAAAACTTCACTTATATTTGTAGCAGACTGGACTATCACAAATAATCGTGTTGCCTCGAACGATTTTCACACAGTGCATGCGCGAATGCATAGACGTAGACTATAGGGGGGGGGGGGGGGGGGGTGCATCGGGGCTCGTGCCCCCCCCCCCCCCCTCCCTGCCCCCTGGGCCATGATCCTTAGTTGTCTTGTTAATGAGCGTTTGACCTGATATTCTGCAGCCGCAGGCTTTATTTCAATGTATTAGAGAAAATATAAAGACTCGTGGCCGGGTGGATTAATGCTTCAGAAGCACAGGAACCTGGGTTCTACCCCCACAACTTCGCAGCTGGCAGAAGCTGGCAGAAGCATTTTGTTTTTCAGATTTGTGCTCGCCGGCGCATGCGCTGCGGTACCGGCGACGAACATAAGGCTACGGTTGCACGGTGATTGACATTGACACACAGCGACGGACACGTGGCGATATGCATACGAAGTAAAATGTACCCCCTAAAAGAAACTACTGATAATTGCCGGTGTAAACAAAATTGCGCAGAACCCCCACAGAGAACTTCTCAGCCTGCCCCTTCCGGGGGGGGGGGGGGGGGGGGTGAAAAGTCTACGCCGCTGCGCGAATGAGATGAGATAAAGGCATGCTGGGATACATGATTTTAAATTAGGACTTTACTAATTGTATATCGTTTAGTGGGCCAAAAGTCAAAAGCCAGCTTTTCGGTACGAACACCTGAAAATTTAGTGGACAATTTCGTATACCTTTTTTCCTTTGAAAGTTCTCCGCCTTTTTACTATGATACATCCGCGGTCCAATGCCTGTCCAGCTCACGCATTGGACACGAGAACTGCGTCACTCTGACGTATGTGCTCGTCAACATTCAGTCCGTCGACAAATATTTGTATTCGTGTTCGTGGCCAATATGAGTGCCCTGACGGAACTTATCGTCATTGGCGAATTACAAGTTCTATGGTGTCGTGTGCTTAAAAAGCACGGTGGAAGCTTGGAGTCAGCGCACCGGTGCCCAAGCATGTTACGACAACGTGATTCCTCAATTCGCCTTTCAGTTGGATTAAAGCTAAGGAGGAAGAAGGTCGTTCTGCCTATGAGGTACGGCAACATCGTTACACGCTGTGAGACATCTCACCAGTGCAGTACAGCTGCTAGCCTAGGAGTCTTTCACGCGCAAAACGCACTAGTGACACATGACGGCACACCGGTACGATGCTCATCCTGATGGAAACGGGCAGGGGGGATGATTGAACCTAGGCCGGTTTGCTCATCTTGCGGCCGCGGCCGTGGCCAAGAGGGATTTTTATGTCACGTGACCAGCTCCATAGAGACAAGGAAGTACCTAGCGTCCCTGCCTAATGGCAAAGAAATTCGTATCGCTTCAAGCACAACAGCCTAATATCGCTTGCAGAAACTGACTGCGGGGACTTTCAACTGGAGTCCAATTGACCGCCCCTTTATACTGTAGGAGCGGTAGGTAAAGTTACGGCCAGGGAGGGTAAATAGGAGCCAAAATAAAGAAAAACCACGCGAGGTAAAAGCGGTGGCAGTATATTTATATACCTCCGCCAGCGCCGGCGGCTCGCGCCCTCTGCTGTAGTCCAATAAAAAAAAAAAAAAAAAAAAAAAAAAAAGAAACTTCTGCTGTGGTTGAGAAGTTAGAGCGCCGGTACTTGTCGCCGCGGCGTGAAAGTTTCGGGTTCAAATCGCGCTAGGAACTTTTTTTTTTTTGTATTTTGCGCGTGTCTTACTTTTTAACTGTGATCCTTTTTAGGAAATCATCCACTTGCACTACTGCGCCTTACACGGTTTTTACTGTTAGTCCCACCTGCTCAATCGAAACACCGAGAAGAAAACAAAGATCAAGCAAGTTAACGCGCAAATACAATCGTTTCCATCATAATGTTCATTAAAAGGAAACCAAGGTAACGACATTGGTATGGCTTTCACACAAACGGAGCCGAAACAAGCATCCTTTCCCCAGCAACAGGTTATGTATTTTTAAATATACATGCGCTCTTGCTAAGACTCCTTTAAATAACAGGAGACGACTATTTAGTACTAATAAAAACTGCAGTTGTGACAATTAAAAAAGAACTTCCACGAAATAAGCAAAAAAAAAAAAAGACTACCAGCTGTGGATGCATTGATTAAGCGAAATCATACAGACAAGGCAGCAAGTCACACGTCTGAGAAAGTAGTAAAACCGAAATAAAAGAGATCATGCTACTTGCATAAAATGTGTTAAAAGGGATATTTTTACTCTTTACATTTTGCTGTGACAATCGTATTGCAATATTAACATATTACTTGTTGAATTTTAGTTAGCATAGCAGACGATCACAACCGAATGCAAAAATGAACCAGGCGTCGACATCACAGACCATCTCTCTAACGCAAACGCCTAAAATGACTTTGGATCAACAGATGGAATTAATTAGAGCAGTTGGAAAACGGAAACAACAAACTCTAGAGAAATTCAGTAGCACAGTTACCTGGCGAACGAAGAGACGGGCATGGGAAGATATTGTCAACTTGACGCGGAGTACACGGCAGATGCAGGAGTCGTGGCGGAAGTTGGTAAAGAAAGCCAGAGACACGTACGTATGCGCTCTTCCGAGGTCATGAACAACGAACTGGTTGAGTCAGAACTACCCGCCCAATAATTTTATAGAGCTCATAAGGCCTTGTCTACATTCTTAGTGGGAGTGCAGTGAAATACAAGAAAAAAAGAGAGAGTTACTGGCGCGATTTGAACTCGGGACTTACACGCCGCGACTTCAAGTACCGGCACTCTAACCTCTCGACCACAGCAGAAGGCGCGAGCCGCCGTCGCTGCAGATCAGATCCGATCAGAAAACGTTTATTGAATTAAAAAAAAAAAAAAAAAAAAAAAAAAAACTAGTGGTTGGTTTTTCCTAGTCCAGGATGCCGTTGGCTTCCGCCGCCTTGCAGGCCCTTTCAATCAGGAATTCCTGATTTTCCAGGTCGCTGCACGCTAGCTTGGCCTCCCACTGCTGCCGACTGTTGTCTTGTACCGTAGGAAGTGTGGGGTTTCGGGTGCATTCCCACGTGGAGTGGTAGAGGGTCGCCCTGGCTTGGCACCAGGGACACCTGTCCGAGTATGTTTCCGGGCTTATGTGGTGGAAGCGTAGCAAGCTGGGGAAGGTTCCCGCCTGCAGCTGTCGCCACCTGACGGCCTTGTTTCTGCTGAGCTTGGGGTGCGGGGGTGGGAGACTCATTCTCCCCGCTTTGTAGTAGTTGAGTACGCTGCTGTAGGTTTGAGGTACTGGTTCCGTTGGCCCGCTCGCTTCTTCCGCCGCTCGGTTGGTGTATGCTCGAGCGACGGCGTCTGCGATCAGGTTACCGGTCAATCCCTCATGCCCTGGGATCCAAATGATTTTGTGGATCACGCCTTCCTTCCAGGCGCGTTCTAGGGCTGCTGCTGATGTCTTATTGATAAAACCCCACAGGTAGTTCCTGCAGGCATTTTGTGAGTCGGTTAGGATCGTGTAGGATTTCTTTGTCCTGTAGCCGTGGATCATGGCGAGGGCGATGGCGTGTTCTTCCGCCCCCTCCATGCTGGCGTTCTTGATGGAGCAGCTGGATATCTCGTCGTATGCGTGGTCCAATGCCACAGCTACCTTGGCATCCCGGCGGTAGTCCCCTGCGTCCACGTATACGAATGTCTCGTTGTCTTTGCCTTCACGCTCATAGTATTCCGCTCTTGCTCTTCTTCTTCCCCGGTGCATGATGGGGTTCATGTGCTTCGGTATGGGCCTAACTATGTAGGTTCCCTTGACTCCGGCGCCCAGTTCCCTGGAATTTCGGATAACTTCTGTACAGTCGCCGTACCCGAGCTTTTGTATAAGCTGTCCGCCAGTCCCGCTCTTCTTTAGTCTGCTTCGTTGTGCCATCAGTAGGGCTTCCTTGTGTTCCTGGAAGGTGTTGTGCACCCCCATTTGTTCTAGTTTTGCAGTAGGGGCGTTCTGCGGAAGCCCGAGCGCTATCTTGTATATTTTTCTGATGAGGACTTCGACCTGCTCTTGTTCTTTCATGTCGAGGTAGTGATATGGTAGACTGTACACTACTCTGCTAATAACCAGTGCTTGTATAAGCTTCATGACGTCCTTTTCCTTGAGCCCTCTTCTCCGGTTCGTGATCCTAGTGATCATCTTGGTCACCTGTTCAGTTGTTTTCTGTAGTAATTGTATGGTGCGCGTGGCTTTCCCGTTATGCTGGATCCACATGCCCAGGATTCTCAACTGCTTGACCTCGGGTATGTCTTGTCCGTCCAGAGATACATTAATGGGTACTCCTCGGTCGTATCCATTCCTGTGAATCCTTATAATTTCGAATTTCTCTGGAGAGCACCTCAGTCCGCGGCTCTTCACGTACACATG